TGACACCCCTGACTCGGCCGAGAAGAATGGGTTCGGACATGCTGGCAACTCTGCGAGAACTTGGGCGTGCCCCAGCAACCTATTGGGGTTTAAGGGTGCAGGGTGCCCATGTTGTTGTTTGCTCGTAAAACGCCAGGAAGAGGCCAACCTAGAACTTGTCTCCCGAATCATATAATACGGGGGCTGGGGGGCTCAGTAATCAAAAAAGAACTGCACAAGGTCCTCAGCCAACCAAACAGCAGGGTTCTGGAATGGCTTTGGAATCACTATGACTATGGGGCTCATGTCCGAGAACCCAATCCCCGAAACCCACCCCGCACCCTAAGCCCCAAAACCTTGCTGGAAGCACCTGGGGCATGAAGTTTCTATGCACATCGAGGATTCTGGGGTCTCAGGGTTTATAAGCTGTAGTGGCTAGGCTTGGGGCTTCGAAGGGGGTTCAAGGGGTCTTGCAACATCTGGGCTGCCGGCACGTCTTCAGAGAAGCCGATTCTGAGGCGCAGTTCCGGCGCTAGTTTCTGGACGTTTAGGGTTTAGGGTTTAGGGGTTTAGGGTTTAGGGGTTTAGGGTTTAGGGTTTAGGGTTTAGGGTTTAGGGTTTAGGGTTTAGGGTTTAGGGTTTAGGGTTTAGGGTTTAGGTCAGCCCTACGAGCGCAAGCTTTCTGCTAAATTGTCTGCCGGCCATGGTTTAGCTTCTTCCTAAAATGGGTTTGGGCGTGTTGACATGCAAAGAGTCCTCTTATGTCTCGAATGCTGCGCAGATTGCGGAAGTCTAGCTCGTCTAGTTATTTTATAAAGCATTCAAAAAAGGCAGCCTCAACCTCCGAACCCTCAACCCCAGAATCCTACAACCACCTCCAACTTGAAAGTGGCCCCCGAACGCTTTCATCATCAAACCCCCAAACTCCAATCCCGCAAAGTGTGAAGGCGACTTACTCGACTGCTAAGACAGGTGTCGCTTCATCTAACAGGCATGGAAGCGTACTGAAGATTTCGAGTGAAGGCAACACCTAAACTTACCCCCCCCCCCCCCAACAAAACTCCAGAACATGAATGCACAGTTGCATGTTCTTCCTGGTGCGCTCATCTTCATGGTTTATCTTCATTGATTTGCTTCGCTGCGTGACGCTCGTATTTCCTAGGTTAGTTTCAGTGCAAGGCACGACCTCTATTTGTTCCCACGCACTTCTTAAATACAAAATTCATGTGAGCTACGAGGTGCCCAAAACGAGTTGAACACTGAACCCTCACGCCTCTAAACGGGAATCCTTTAAAATAAGCCACGCCTTCTCGCTAAACACTACACCCTAAGCCCTAAACCCGAAACAACCATAAACCCCCCACTCCCTAAACAATAAACCCTTAACCACTGCTTCCAAGCCAACCACAAGTGCTGATCGCTTCTGGATGGGTCCGCAATGATCTCTCGCGTAAACCCTAAACCCTAAACCCAAAGCCCTCTCTCAAAAAGTCGGGACAAAGGCACTTCCGCGCCGCCACGACGATGGGTGCCTCGGAGGAGTTGCCTCGGGGCTCCCACTTCTCCTGGCCACTGCTTGGAGGTTCAGGGTTTAGGGTTTAGGGTTTAGGGTTTAGGGTTTAGGGTTTAGGGTTTAGGGTTTAGGGTACTTAATAACCCAATGAAAACTGTACTGATAACCCAACCATAAGCCTTTTAGGGTACTTAAGGGGCTTCTAAGTGGGTTATAACTACACTGATAATTGGATTATAAGTTAGAAGTACCCTGAACCTCCAAGTACAGGGTTTCGAGAGTTTAGGGATTCTGGGCGGGTTTACATTTTCAGAGATTCGGGTTTTAGTGGTTTAACCCTAAACCCAAAGCCCCAAACCCTAAACCCCTGAACCCGGGTTTTGGTTCCAGCTCACAACATGTCTGCTTCTTTGTCAAGCTTTCAATGCAAGGTTGAGGGGTTGAGGGCTTAGGAATCTAGGAGATTGGGGATAGATTGGTGTCTGTAGGTTGACTAGGAACTTTCTGAAACTCCTAAACAAAGATCCTCTGAAACCCAATAGGGAAGAACATTCCAGAGCCTCAAAAGGGTTGCCGCGTTTAGGGCTCTCGGGGTGTCTCGAGTTTTAAAGAGGGGCTAGGGGGGGGGGGGGGGCTGAAGAGCTCCAGGAGTGCACGACTTTAAGGCTTCAGGGGCTTAAGGGCCCCCCCCGTAAGCCCGAAGCAGGGAATGGGGGTCTTGGCTTGGGTGAGTCAGCTGCAGAGGGGACCCTTACTGGCGGCACCTCGTGAGGGCTTAGAGTGATTTAGGTGCCTTAGAGTTTAGAGGTCTAGGTTCGAGGGCCATGGACTTAAGGCTTCAGCGTTTGTGCCCTAGAGGGGCTGGACCCAAAATGTTACATTTTCTGACTTAAAGCTTGGCTCAGGGGCATAGGAACTTTTCAGGAGCCCACCATGGGAAAGGCAACACGAGGATTGATGGTGTGCTGCAGGGTTCATGGTGGCGGGATGATGCCCGCACCCATCTGAAGTTTCCCCCCTGGTGCCTCACCAGTGTCGGGGTCCTTGACCTGAAACACGCCGTGGCTACGTCAGATAAGATGGCTCAAAAGGGTTCCGACTGCCTAGGCTGCCCATGGGTCGTGTAGCACAAGGGCCATACATCGGCAGGCAGGTCTTTAGCTCTCTCTGGCTCGCCTTGTCGTTACTCTCTAGACCCTACACCCCTACACGCCAAGTCCCTCGAAACCCTCGGGGTTCGAAGATTCTCCCACCTTGTCCAGCGTGGTGTTGCAGCACAGCAATCCAGAGAGCCTGGGACAAGGGCTTTCGGCTCCAAATCCCTAAATCCTGAGATCCCTAAAGCCCTGAAACCCTAAAATCCTAGAACCGGTTCCCCAGTAACTTGAGAGAAAAAAGGACGCTTTATGGCCGCCTTGTTTTGGGTCGAGGGTTCAGGGTTCCGCAATGGCTCGGAAAACGGGTATCTCGCGCTGCTCGATTTGGGTTTATAGGGACTGCACGTCCTAGGGTAGCATGGTGGGCATCCCAAGAACTTCTCTTCGTTTGAGGGGGTTAGGGTTGTGGGGGGTCTTCGGCCTTAGGGGCCTTAGGGATACGCCCTAAACCCCAAACCCTTCCGGCCCACGTCAACGCCAGAAGGCCGTCAGAGCTGAACCTTGGGGATGTTTCCCCTTATACGAACAGTCCTCAATAGGGATTCTGGTACCCCCTATTATAATCCCTACCAAGGGCTGTTAGTATAAGGGGGAACATCCCAGCCCAAAACCCGTGCGCCAAGGTGCAGCGTCGTCTTCACTCCGAGGTGATCCCTTGCGTCGACCGTCCCTTCCAAACCATGAGGCAAGCAGGGACGCACTTTGGGATTTAGGGGTTGAAGGCATGTTTGGTTTTTGTTCATGCAATGAGCCCTTGAAAAGGGAAGCAAGCTCCCATTGTAGGGTAATTAGGGTTTGGGGGTTTAGGGTTTAGGGGTTAGGGTTTAGGGTTTAGGGTTTAGGGTTTAGGGCCTTAGGCCCGTATCCCTTCAAGGCTGCCAGCAGGTTTGGTCTTCGTGTATTCACCAAAAAGATTGGGGGGTCAGGCTAGAGCCAGGGCTGTTCAGATGATGCTCTAATGAACCCCCAGGAGCTGCTGGATGGCACGTGCCAGACCTCGACTCTTTGAAGTTTAGGCTTTCGGTTTCGGATTTGGGCTCCAATAACCTCGGTTTTTGGCGGGTTCAGAGCCATTCTCCAGGGGTTTTGACGAAACTCTGAAGCCTTGCCTCGAGCAAAATTGCACTTCTAAGGTACGAGGGCAAACACGTATCCAACAAGCATTGCAAATTACCCTTCTGAAACGGGGTACAGCCTACCCAATCCCTAAACGCCCTAAACTCTGAACCCCAACCCCGGAACACTCTGATAGAGTCCTGCCTCCCGGTGCCAGCACCTTACCAACGGTAGGGTCGAAGCCCTTGCCACCCACTTCGTAGGTGATATCCCCAGACCACATGCTTACCTCACGCTGGGATCCAAGGACCCTTGGGGCTCTGAAGGTTAGTTTTGGGGTCCTGCCGGGCCTTCTGGCAATTTCTTGCGTGCTGGGTTGGGCTTAGGGTTTAGGGTTTGGGGTTTGGGGTTTGGGGCTTGGGGCTTGGGGTTTGGGGTTTGGGGTGTGGGGTTTGGGGTTTGTGGTTTGGGGTTTGGGATTTGGGGCTTTAGGGTCAGACTCCAGTTGGTCTAAGAAGTCTCTGCGGTTTCATCTTAAGCTACCGGGAAGTTCAAGTACCCAGCAACGCCGGGCTTCGAAGACACAGCAAAGAATGTAACCCTACATCATCCCTTAAAGGGCAATACAAGAGATTTGATGTACCCATTTCAGAAATTCCACACTAAGAGCCAGTAGCAAAGTCTAAGACCAGAGAATACCTGCAGACCGTTCTGCAGCTTCGGTACGGGGCTTCGGGGGCTTCGGGGGCTTCGGGGGCTTCGGGGGCTTCGGGGGCTTCGGGGGCTTCGGGGGCTTCGGGGGCTTCGGGGGCTTCTGGGGCTTCGGGGGCTTCGGGGGCTTCGGGGGCTTCGGGGGCTTCGGGGGCTTCGGGGGCTTCGGGGGCTTCGGAGTTCTGCCGGGAGGGTGGCGGTTCCAAACTTCAGGGGCCTTGGACTGCCCGTTTAGGCGTTGTGGGTGGTTGAAGGGTTTTGGGGCTGTGGGTTAGCAACTTAGGGTTCAGGATTCAGGAGACTTCGCGCGCGCCATATAGGCTCTACATCGAGGCCCTACACCCTGACACTTGCCAACTTCCTCCCATCCTCCGTGGGCAGCTGCCGAGCGGCCATGGTCATCTTGCCTGAACTTTCTGCTCAAGATTGAACCCAGGCCCTGCAAGGACCATAGTAGTAGAGCATTGGGGCTTACAGAAATTCCGGGTTCACGACTTGGACTGGCAGCCTCCCGTCTATCCGGAGTTTCATGGGCATATAGTTGCGGGCGGAACTGCACGTACTTCAAGCTCTAGTCACCCTGCTTACGACCCCATCACTACCACCAGTCCACCCGGAACCCTCATCCCTGAACCCTGAACGTTCAAACTTCCTGTCATGTGGCCCTCTGTGAGGGTGCCCGTCTTGTCGCTGCAGATCACCGACGCTGAGCCCAGGGTCTCAACGGCAGCGAGCTTGCCTGGGAGGTTTGAGGATTTGGGGTTTCGGGTTTAGGGCTTCGGCTTCCCAGGCTTGAGGGTGTGCTTTGGCTGAGGGTGGTCCATCCAAACACCAAAGTGAAGTCCTTATGCCCTTCAAGAGCCCAAGCAAATAGCCCCCAATTTCTCCGGCGCCAAGTGACGGACCAAGACATGCTGCTTCACCATGTCGCTGCAGCCAATGGAGAGGGAGATGGTCACGCACAGCGGGATGCCCTCAGGGAGGTTACCAGCGGATCAAGCTGTACCCGTTTGCAAAGGAACCGAGGCCCGCTGTCCTAAACCCTAAACCCTAAACCCTAAACCCTAAACCCTAAACCCTAAACCCTAAACCTGCATACTCCTTGGGGCTTGCAAGACCTGCCCTGAGGGTTTTTCCGGGCTCTGGCCTCAGGGATGGCTGCCACGGCCAGCGTCACGGCAATGAGCACCTGGCCCCGGGCTGGGTCATGATGGAGTAAAACAGAACCCTTAAAGGTTTAGGGTTTGGGGTTTTGAGTTTAGGGGTTTGGGGTTTAGGGTTTAGGGTTTCGCGTTTGGATTTAGGGCTTAGGGGCTACGGTTCAGGGTTTAGGGTTTACGGTTTAGGGTTTAGGGTTTGGGGGTTTTCAGGTTTAGGGGGTTTAGGGTTTAGGGTTGTCCCCCATCACACCCCAAACCTCCCCCCAGCTTGACTTTAGAAGTAGTCATGCTGTGGACACAGGCGCAACTCGATCGCTACCCTGAAAGCACGTAAGCCCTAAGTGCACACTATGCCTGAACACCTTTCGGCCCCCACTCCCTCTGATTCAGATAGAGGGAAAGAGGGAATGAGGTATATAATCCCTGAAAGGGTATGTATAGGGCCCTCAGCCCCTCATGCCCTACTAAGAACCAGGGGTGATAACCCTCCCCGCGGCGCCATGTACAACGCGGGTGGGCTGTCTGGCGAGTCTAGGTCCCGGCGCTGCAAGACCACACCTCGGTTCGGGAGCCGTTGGTTCTATAGGGTTTAAGGCTCAGGGTTGAGGGGTGAGGGGTTAGGGTTTAGGGTTTAGGGTTTAGGGTTTAGGGTTTAGGGTTTAGGGTTTAGGGTGTAGGGTGTAGGGTGTAGGGTTTAGGGTTCATAAGGCGCCATCAGGCACGGCATGCTCACATGATGACTCTGGGGGGTTGAGAACCGTTTCGAGCAGTTTCAAGGGGCCTCAAGGATCCAATAGGGCTCCAAAGCATTGAGGGGTTTACGGGGGGCTCCAGGCTGAGCACCCATAAAGGGCATTCAACAGGCTGCTGGGAATCAACAGGTGTGGCTCAAGAGGCCTTGTAAAACTCGAAGCCTCTGTGTGTGTGTGTGTGTGTATGTATGTATAAATATGCATATATATATATGTATATGTATATATATGGTCGTACAAGTAGGGGCCAGGCCAGTGAAAGCGCAATCATTTCGAAATCAACACCAGCATAAACTGCTAAATCGTAAGTCCCAAGAAGCTCTAAACCCAAAACGAAACTAAGCCTTGAACCCCAAACACGAAATCCTAACCACTTTCAGGGTTGGGAGTCCAACATGGGAGGTCACTGGGCCGTGTGCCCCTGAAGTTGCGTGGCTCTAGGAGGTAGTCTAGGGGTTAGAGTTCAGGGTTCAGGGATTGGGCTCAAGCTTCAGGGTTCGGTTTAGGGCTTAGGGTTAAGTTTAAGGTTGAGGGAAACACCATGGCTCAGCAGAGAAGAGGGCCAGTCAGCAAGGTTCGCGCTAAAGTTGCATGTCTAGAGGATCTATCCCCTCTAAGCTCACAGCTTGCAAGGTCGGGAAGAACTCTGTTTGCCTACGTAACCTCTTGCCATCGTTTGGTGTGATTCCCATGTGCGTGGTAACCCCAACCCCTACAACCAACATACACACCCTACACCCAAGTGTGAGCAGCCACGGCGCCAATGATGAAAACGACCACACAGACCACGATGGCCAGGATTCCGATCTTGGCACCCAGCTGCTCGAGATTCCTTTTGGGCTTTAGGGTTTAGGATTTAGGGTTTAGGGTTTAAGGGTTTAGGGTTTGGGGTTTAGGTTTAAGGTCTGTGTCTAAATGGAGCTTTCGTGGTTTGATTCGGGTTTCGGGAGATGATGGGGGATATCAGGGCCAGTACACGAGCAGTTGGCGTGCCCTTTCGTGCACCGCACACAGGTCCGCCGCATCACATGCCCTCCGTTTAAGGCCCACAGCCTGATCCGTCCTCTCCAAAGTCTCCCAAAGCAGATGGTTGGGGTCACTTTCGTTCTGATACAGCAGTACCGTAGACCGAAACCCGCACGAACCCAAACCCTGAACCCTGAACCCCCCCCGACTCGCCTAAAACCCTCTCCAAAATACTCCAGAGTAAGATCCTCTTCAACCCAACACAGGGAAGGAAAAAACTAAACCCAAAATCCTAAATCCTAAGCCCTATAAGCCCTAAACCCTAAACCTTTTTGTTACATAATATATGAGACATCTCCGGCATCTCTCTACACCGGTGTCCTTTGGAGCGGCGTCTGGTTCGCGGAGGTGTCGGGCAGGCAGAAGCACTTCTTCTTGGGACCCTCCTGCTTGGGGTTTAGGGTTTAGGTCTAGGGTTCCAGGGTTTCGGGTTTCGTGGCCCTCCTCCCTGCGTCGAAGCTTTGGGGGAAAGCGCAAAAAATCAGCTGGAGGGTTTCTTCGGGCTTCGGACTTTTAGGGTTTGGGGTTATTGGGGTCATTGGTGTGTGGGTTGAGGGGATGTGGGTTTAGGGTCGTTTGGGGTTTCCAGGTCTAGGTGGGACCCTTGAGCACTGCCGTGGAAATCAATGGTGAAGCAGAGAGGGAACCTGCTCTTGGAGTTTAGGGCCAGCCTTGCAAGCAAGCCCGAAACCAAAACCATTTACCTCAATAGTCGGACCCGACTTTTAAGAGAATAGCAGGCACCTGAGCCATTTCAACAAGCTCTGCTGAAACCCTTACACCCCGAACAGCGCATCCTGAACCCACGAACACCCGCTTGGGCTTCCCTCCTCGCCAGCGATGAGCTGCGCAATACGACCGATGCGGGTACCCATGCCGGTAGCTGTGACAATGCCCCGGCCCTGTCCAAGCAACACAGCTGCAAGGATGCGAGTTGGGGGCTTAGGGTTTGCGGAGGGTAGAGCTCAGGGTTGTAGGACAGGAATCAGGGACTAGGCCTACATTGCTTCTTGATGTGATGTATGTGTATGTGCCTGAACTTGTACACCCTACACTCTACACCCTGAAACCCAACCCCTATCCTCCCTGCAGAATGCCCCCAACACCATCCCTCAAACCTAAACCTGCAGAATACCTCAACCCTAAACTCCCTACCGATCCGGTCCACTGATAGCTCAGGATGCAATTCCTTCGGTCATCTGTTGCGGCACTAGGGTTCATAGGGCTACCCGAAGGCCCATATCAAATGTGGTTCCTTTATTGCTCGTTTAGGGCTTAGTTTGGGATTACATATGAAAACCAGAATAAAGCCAAAGTGAACTACATTAGGGCAGCGTTTAGGGCTTCGGGGCTCCCGATGCGGGTAGGAATATGTAGTTCCAAGAGGGGTGCGGGTTTTGTTCCACAAAATCGAGGTTGAACACTTGGGAGGGAAGATCTCATGTCATAGGGGTTCAACCCTAAAAGCTTTACCCTAAACTTGGGGCGGGGCTCTGCCATCATTTGCAGGCCTCTACTATGACAGAAATCGCAACGGGGCTTATAACAGGAAAACTGCAACGGAAAGGAGCGCTGTAATGGATTTGTCGCGGAGCTGTAACGGAGCCGTATGCTGTAATGGAAGCTTTAACGGGGCCGTAGCAGCAGCAGCAGCAGCAGCAGCAGCAGCAGCAGCAGCAGCAGCAGCAGCAAGTGGATAACGGACCTGTAACGGAACTGTAACGGAGCTGTATAACTGAGCTGGAACGGAAGCCGCAACGGAGCTGCCATGGAGCTGTAACGGAGCTTTAGCGGAAGTAACGGAGGTCTAGCAGAAGCTGCAACGGAGCTGTAACAGAGCTGTAACCGAGGTGCAACGGAGCGGTAGCGGAGGTGCAGCGGAGCTGTAAGCTGTGACGGAGCTGTAACGGAGGTGCAACGGAGCCGTAACGGAGCTGTGACAGATGCTGTAACGGAGCTGCAACGGGGGGCCCACGTGCAAATGATGGTAGAGCCCACCCTAAACCCTAAACCCAAAACCCTAAACCCTGAATCCTAAACCCTAAACCATAAACCCTAAACCCAGAAAACCCCTAAACCCTAAACCCTACCGCGTTGGGCCTTAGATTCATGGGGGGTTGCCCCGTTTGGGAGGTCTGGGGAGCTTTACTCAAACCCCTCCTAAACTCAAACAAAAAGCCCTACATCCCCAAGTCATGAAGGCGTAGAGCTACACCCGAGCCTAGACCCTAAGCCCTAAATCCGAACCCTGAAACACCAAACATCTAAACCAACCCCCCAAACATGCGTCCGGACCATCTTGGGGGGCCTTGCCATTCGTCACGTTGCAGCCCGAGAACACGCACACTTCGGGTGTCAACTTTTCCGGTTCGCCCTGGCGTTCGGGTTTTGAGGGGCCTCTCGAAGGCTTTCAGGTGTGGGCTTCGGGGCGTTCGAGGCATTTGGGGTTTACGAAAATAAGGGACCCCTAATTTAATGTAGACCCCACATAGCAGGATGCCCTTATAATGAGGACCCCAATAAGGCACCCCTCTAACATCGTAAACCCCCGTGTCAGGGTTGCGGGGGTATGGAGTTTTTAGGGTCCCCGTACTTCGGAATGATAGCGACTTTCGGCATGAGGAGAAGTGGATGGAACCCTAGAACCCACACTCTCCAAGAGGAATCTCAACTGAGGAGCTATGCCAGGCTAGAGATCGTGAGGCCCCAAAAGGCCTCAGCCCTGTGTTAGGGTGACTTAGGAGGCGGGTTTAGGGTTTTGGGTTCAGGGTTTAGGGTTTAGGGTTCAGGGTCGAACCACAATCCGACATTCAACTGAAGCAATCCCTAAACCCTAGACCCTAAATCCTAAACCCTAAACCCTAAAGCGCCAAGCGGCCTCCTTTTTAGGCTTCAGCTTCCATGTCTTGGAAACCTCGAGAGAGAATGGTGGTGGGCTAGTCCTATGATACTACCCATGCCTCGAACTTGTGATATGGCTATGTTTATTATCAATCACGAGGAGTATTACTACAATGACATTTATGCAAGATATGTGAGGCTTACTCAAGGGCGCAATGGGCCCTAGATTCTGCAGTGCTCTTGGGCTTGTATTTAGGTTCAGGGGTTCAGGGGTGCGGGTTTGGGGGATCAGCTCTCTGTTGTAAGCCAAACAGAATGCAGTCAGACCAACACGGGATGATAGGAGGGTTTGGGGCCAAAGGTTTGGGGTCAGGGGGTCGCCAAGGGCAAGCCGTGGTTCTAGCCCTATGGAACCCTAAACTCTACAAACCAAACCAGAGCCCAAAGCCCCTACAACGCACACAACCCTGCACCCCAGCTGAAACTTAGAGCCTGAGCCCCCACCGCCCTTTTGGCAGCTTCTTGGGCCCCAGCATCATCGGGCTCGCCTGCGATAGGGGCTCGAAAGGCTTCAAGGCTACTGTGGTTTGCTGCTAAGACTAGGGCTTTTGGCTTCTGGTTTCAGGGTGCAGGGCTTTGTAGGTTCAGGGGTTTAGAGGCTTCAGGTGTGGAGCTTTTGGAGGTTTTGGGGGTTTCAGGCCTCGGTTTTGCTGGTAGGGGTTCAGGGGCTCTAAGGGTACGGCTTTGAGGTTTAGGGCGGTGGCTTTGGGGTTACATCGGGTTTAGGGCGTGGTCCCATGCAACGGCAAAAGACCCCACGCCCTTCTACCCCCCTGCTGCACGAAGCACCGGCCACCTCCCGTAGTTCTGCAAATATTCTATGGTTTGGCACTCCGGGGATTCTCTGGGCATACTCTGGAGGAGTCGACCCGGGAGAGGAGACGAGTTTGGTTGCAAATCAAACGACCCCACACCGCGGGTGTGGAAAAACACTTCCCATTCATCCACCACTTCTGATCTGGTTGCGATAGCTTCAGGGGAGGCTCCCGGGCCTGTAAGCGCCATTTCGCTGACCTTCAGGTCCTCCGACTCTGCTAAGCGCATGTCCTCGGCTTCCCAAGAGCCCCGAAAACTTGAAACAATACCTTCTAAATCTATAAACTTGATGAAGGGGTGGCTTCGTGGTTTGGGGCTTGGGGTTTGGGCTTGTAGGGGTTTGAGTTGTGTTCGGGCTTGGAGGAGCTCAGGTCTAGCTTGGGCTCCAAGGCCCCAAGTCTTGCCCAAATCCGCAAGTAACCCAACCCACAATCATCCAGATGGTCATGCTCTTGAGGGCTTCGGGATTTCAGGCACTAAATGGGATTTTCCGAAATTAGGGTTCCTGCATGCCCTCAAAAGTGGGGGGCAAACAGCTCCAGGAAACCCAGAGAAGCTTCAAGAGAGGGCTAAGGCTAGATCCCGACCCGCAAGTTCTGAGCACTCCTAGGTCCTAAGGCCCCCATACCCGCCCCAAAATACCTCTGAGCCAACTGAGTCTGCGTCCGCTGGGACGACGTCGCCCGTGCCCAGCACAACCACGTCGCCGCGAACCACGTGGTTGGTGGGAATCTGGACTTCCTGCCTGGATTAGGTGAAAAGGGCTTCGGGTTTCGGGTTTGTTGTTAGGGGTTCAGGGGTTTAGGGATTATGGAGTTTATCGGCTTGCGGGTTTGCGGCCACAGGGGTTTCGGGGTTCAAGGGCTAGGGTATCGTTCTGGGGGTGTAAGGCTCATGCGGGCCGTTCTGCCGAGGCCTGGGCTGCTACTTGGGTAGGGAGGGTTGAGGAAGCTTCGGGGTCCAGGCTTTACACGGGTTAGAGTGTGGGGCTTGGGGGCGTGGGTTTGCAGCAAGGTTTGGGGGGCGGGGGGGGGGGGGTTGTTTGCAGTGTCTGTGGGCAACCCAAAACAGAAGCAACTCAGCAGGCTAGCAGCTTTGCATGGGGAACACCTGGGGATCGCTCATCAGCTTGCGATTGCATTCCCACAGTGTGAAATGCTGATTTCTAAGCTTCAGCCAGAGATGCCCATCTCGAACCACCTCAGGAAGCAGAAGCAAGTGGGTATCTCGAGCAATCCCAGGGTTGAGACATTCGGGTGACTTATAGTTCCTTCTCACCACAAACAATGACATGGCCCCATGTTCTTCTGACAGTGCGTGCGAATGTGAACCAGGCCAAGCCCCTGGCATAGATTGATGCTTGGGTCATCTTGGAGAGCGCCTGCCAAACAAGGTACGACGAGGAGGGTTTTCGGCTAGACTGCGCTGGACACCAAGTTTGGCTGCTTGCCCCCCTCCCCACCCCCCACCAAACCCCCGAACCCCCGAACCCCCGAACCCTAAACCCTAAGCCCCAAGACCAAAACCCGAGTTAGCCTCCAGCGCGTCTCCGGCTTTGTGCTCGGTCCAAGCAGCGATCCCTGCATTGAGAAGGACCTGAGAATTTGGGGATTAGGGGGCTTGGGGCATCTGAGGCCTTTGGGGCATCTGAGGCCTTTGGGGCCTCTGAGGCCTTTGGGGCCTTTGCGGTCATGGGAACTTAGAACTAAGAGCTACGAGGGCTTCTCAGCGAAGATTGAGCCTTGGCTCTATAAACGGCGGATGAAGCATCGATCTAGCTACCGTCGCATGCTCACTGCCTTTGCTCCTGAATAGGCTACCACTAAGTCACCGCGGCCCATTGCACAAGATCTTCGAGCAACTTGTTTGCCGACGCTTCCCCTAAACTGAAACATGTTGAGGGCTCAGGGCTTAGGGCGCACAGGCTTTCGAGGTTTCGATCGGGGAAATCCCTGGTCGGGTATGAGGGTCCTTCTTTGTAGGGTTTGGGCGGCCCAAATCAGAAACCAAAGACTCAAGGCGCAAAACTCGTAAACCCTTGAAGGCCCTTAAAGCTTGTGTGTCCTGGAGACCAAAACGGGCTGTTGGGTGTAGTGTAGGGTTTGGGGTTCAGGGTTTTGGGGGCTAAGGCATAGACACCCAGCAAAGCCCAATCTCCAGCCCAGCCACGATCACGAAAATTGCAATGCCCGTCGTGTACGACAAGGGGTCTTCTGCTTTAGAGCCTGTCGCGTTCCTCGGCGCCGGTGGGGCGGATAAGTCGGGTTTAGGCTTGGGCTTTGGGTCAAGTCCCGAAACCCTGTACCCTCACCTGACGATCCAACACTCAAATCCCCAAGCTTGTACCAGGAGCTGCAAGCAAAAAGTGGAAACTTCAACGATCACCCTAGCGATCCAGGTATGCAGATGGCACCCCTTTTGGGGGCTCCGAAGTCTACCAGCCCGCTTCATTCTCATCTCCCCCGCTGAATTGGGGTTTAGGGTTTGGGGTTGACGGGGTTTGGGGTTGAGGTTGTGAGGGCCTCTGTCTGTCATGACGCACCACATCAAGTAAGGGTCCTTGTGAAAACTAGGGTTTAGAGGTCTAGAGGTTTAGGGTTTAAGGTGTAGCGCGTAGGGAAGAAGGTTCAGGGTCTGGGGTTGGGCTAGGGTTGAAATGCACAACCAGAGGCCATCTCTTATGGCGGTTCTTCTAAGGTCCCTGGTGTGGTCCCTCTTGTTGCATAGTCTTGTCAGAAAAAACCGACCATCATTTGTAACAACCCCCAAATGGCTTCCTATCCGTGCTTCGCTCTCAGTCGTTGTTGCCGTGAACCTTGAACCTTTGAGATTCGCGCTTGGGCTGTAAGAACAATCTCCAACTCAACATCCGCGAGTTCGGGCTCAGGGTCACTGCCATCGAGGCAACGGCTGCAATGATCAGGAGGATGATGATGAATCCAAGCAGCCTGCCCCACGGCTTAGGGGGGGGGGGGGGGGGGGGGGCAACTCGAAACTTTCCCCAAACCCTAGAAACCCTAAAGCCCAACAGCCCTCGACTCAACCTTTAATACCTTATTCAACTTTAGGGCTGGTTCTTATAAATAAATATATATATATATATATACATATGTACATATATATATATATCCGCCGACCCCAGCTGGAGCGGGGGCGGCGTCAGTGAAGACCCATAGTGCGCTCCATTCCCTGAGTTCCCATGGCCTCAGCACGCCCAAACCCTCGCCGGTACTCCATTCCCTGAGTTCGTTCCCGTGCATGCCCAAACCCCCGTCGCTCCACCTGTGCCACCCATGGCCTCAGCACGCCCAAACCTATGGGGCCTCATGGCCCCATGGCCCCAAGGTCCCATGGCCCCATGTCCCTAGACCCGAAGCAGTCCCCGACCCGAGGCTGGCCTGGCCCCCAAGGCCCACGGCCCCCATGGCCCCATGGCCTCATGCACGGCACGCCCGCCCACTCCGCTCCCCTCTTGCTCTCCTCTGACCCATACGCGGTCTCCTCTCATGCCCCCATGCCCCCCACACAGACCCTCAGCTGAGTTTTAAGGGCTCTGCTCGCTCCGCTCCCCGTGCTGTCCATGGCCCATAGCTGAGTTTTAAGAGCTCCAGTGCAGTGCATGGCCGCCCCCTCGCTGCCCCTCCTCTCCCCGCCCGCTCCGGCCAAGCCCCATGACCCCCATGGCCCCCATGACCCTCATGCCCCCAATGGCCTCCTGGCCTTATGATGGCCCTACCGTACCAGGCACCAGGCATGCCCATGCCCCCATGGCCCCATCCCCCGCTACCAGGCATGCCATGCCCCCCCCCCCGACCTAAGGAGATGCCCGCCCGGCTCTCCCCACCCGCTCCGCCCGGCCATGTACCAGGCGATGCCATGCCCTTCATGGACCCCACGGCCACCCATGGTACCAGGCACGCCATGCCCCATGGCCCATGACCCGCATGGCTGCGGCCCCCATGGCCCTGGCCTCCATCATGACCCTGCCACACCATACCATGCCCGCATGGCCCTTCATGGCCCTGCCGTACCAGGTACCAGGCATGCCATGCTCCCATGGCCCATGGCCCCCATGGCCCCCATCCCATGTCCCTAAAAAGTTTTAAGGGCTCCAGTGCATGCTCCCATCCTGCTGTTTGCTCCCATACTGCTGTTTGCCCTATATATCCGCCGACCCCTACCACCTACTCCACCCCATCCAAAGCTCGACCGGCCCCCAGTGCATGCCCGCCCGCTTCCATGGGGCCTCATGGCCCATGGCCCCAAGGTCCCATGGCCCCATGTCCCTAGACCCAAGCAGTCCCCGACCCGAGGCTGGGATGGCCCCCAAAACCCATAGCTGAGTTTTAAGAGCTCCAGCGCAGTGCATGGCCGCCCCCTCGCTGCCCCTCCTCTCCCCGCCCGCTCCGGCCAAGCCCCATGACCCCCATGGCCCTCATGCCCCCAATGGCCTCCTGGCCTTATGATGGCCCTACCGTACCAGGCACCAGGCATGCCCATGCCCCCATGGCCCCATCCCCCGCTACCAAGCATCTCCCCGCCCGCTCCGCCCGGCCATGGTGCCATGCCCTTAATTCATGGCCCCCACAGCCACCCATGGTACCAGGCACGCCATGCCCCATGGCCCATGACCCGCATGGCTGCCATGGCCCCCATGGCCCTGGCCTCCATCATGGCCCTGCCACACCACCCATGGCTCCTGGTCCCATTCTTCATTCCTGCTGGTCCCATTCTTTTTTTTGGACCTGCATGGCTGCCAATGCTGGTCCGAAAAATGGCCCCTCACCCCCAACCCCCCCCACCCCGCACGCACCCTTGCCCCACCGCCCGCGCTTATGGACCCATGGCTCCTGGCCCCATGGCTCCACCCCCACCCCCAACCCCCACCCCCACCCCCCACCCCCATGCTGGCTCCACCCCCACCCCCAACCCCCACCCCCACCCCCACCGCCCCCACCCCCACCCCCCACGCACCCCGCCCCCCACTGGACCCATGGCTCCTGGCCCCATTGGCTCATGGTCCACGGCCCATGGACCGGAGCCCACAGTGCCTTGGCCCCCCTTGGAGGGGGTCGGCGGCACTGGCGGTAGCCATTAAATCCGGCCCCCGCGCCGCCCGTGGTCCAGGGCGGAGCCCGCGTCGCACTAAAGCGCTAGCTTTAAGGGGCGAGCGCCCGAGCCGCCGACCCCGCCCAAAATTGCTTCAAATTCGCGCGGGGCCCTTCGGGAGGCCTCCAAAACGGCATCCAAGGGGACGCAACACGCGGTGGTGCGAAAAGCACGAAAACCTCGTAAAAACCATGGGTTTTTACGAAAAACCGAGGCCACAAAACACCCGCAGCACCCCATTAAACCCTCACGGGCGCGCATCATCGGCCCTAGCTTTTCACATGGGGCGCGCGCCAGGCCGAAACCACGTTTTTCAAGGTTTGGGGGGGGTACCGGAAGCCCAAAACCAGGCGAGCATCATGAGCATCAGCAGCCCTGGCCCGCGGGCCCAAGGCAATAAAAAACGCTGAAAAACGCTGAAATCACCGTAAATACCGTGTTTTTATGAGGTTTTTCACGCGTGCCTCCGACCCCCACCCCTGTTGCCCTTGACCCGCCCCCAAAGTGCGCATCATCGAAACCCACGTCCGGGGGGGGGTCTGCTGATGCTGCTGATGCGCGGGGTCCGGGCGCATCATCGAGCCATCGCTTCTCTTGGGCTTCGTGGGGGGGTCCGGGCCCACGGCCCAGAGACCCAGCTGATGCTCATGATGCTCGGTTTGGGGGGGTGTTCCAACAGCAGAAAACCTCGTAAATACCGAGTGTTTTGTGGGTCCACGTAAAAACGCCCCTAAAATCGCTCATTTTACGCGCTCGAACGGCTTCGTGCCTACAAAACACCCGAACAGCAGGACCCCGAATGCCCTTAAGGGCATTCGGGGTCTTGCTTTTGGGGGTTTCGTGGGCACGCAAGCGTTCAAGCACATACAATCGGCGTGTTTAAGGGGGTTTTGGATGGCCTGGGGGAGGCCGCTGATGCTCATGATGCTCCCTTTCCTGGGTCCCAAAAGGCTTCCCAAGCCCAAAAACACGTGTTTACAGCGTTTTCTGAAGGTTTTTCGAAGGCAAAACGCATGCATAGAATGCTTTTAAGGCCCCCAAACCAACCCCACTGATGCTCCTGATGCGGGTGCGCGCGCGCGCGCGCCGCGCGCGCGCGCGCGCGCCGGGGGGGGAGGGGGGGGGAGGGAGGGGGGGCGAAGGCAGGAGAAAGAGAGACAGAGAGAAGGAGAGGACAAAGACACGGGAAAGAGAAGACAGTGCCAAGGTTCAAGGTTTCGTGCTTTGGGGGGCGGGGGCCGGCCCGTGCCGCTAGGCCTGAAATCGGGCAGCGCGAGGTCCCCAAAGGACCGAGCAAATGCGGACCTTTTAGCCCGGGTCGTCCCGGGAATAGCCTTGCTGGCCTCTGGCCTTCTGCGAAGCAGAATTAGGCCGGACGCCAGTGCCGCCGACCCCCGCGTGCCGCCGGTGAACGGTTTTTTTTTCGTGGTTTTTTGCGTCGCAACGGAGGCCCCCAGAGGGCGCGCATCATGAGCATCAGCGGGTCCAGCCCGGGACCCCCAGGCGCGCATCAGGAGCATCAGCGGCTCCCGGGGCGGGACCCCGGGGGCGCATCAGGAGCATGATGCCCCCCAAAGGGCGGGCATAAGCGATGTGTCTAAGCCCGGGGCTAGGAACAGGGGAGTTTAGGGGCCTTATAAAGTGCTTAGAAACTTTAAGGGAGTCTAGGAGCCTCAAACGCTTAGAGATGAAGGGAGTTTAGGGGCCTGAAAATGCTTGGAAACTTTGAGGGGATTGAGGAGCCTCAAACGCTTAGAGATTTTAAGGGAGTTTAGGGGCCTCAAAATGCTTAGAAACTGCTCGCCCCGCGCTTCTGCCTGCGCTGCCCGCCCATGGGCGCAGCCCCTTAAAATATATATATATATATATATATATATATATATATATATAGATATATATATATATACATAATTATATTATGTAGATAGGGCCCTAATTCCTTGGCTTTCGTGCTGCTAAGGGGGCCAAGGAGCTGCATGATGAAGAGCATGAGGAGAGTCGGCTTCGGTGGCTTATGCAGCTCGTTGAGGCCGTCCTCCTGGCGAGAGAAACTGCCGGGGGTTTTGTTGGTTTAGGGTTTAGGATTCAGGGTTTAGGATTTAGGATTTAGGGTTCAGGGGGTTAGGGATAGGCTTTCCACGAGGCCTGTAAACCCTACAAGGCTTGGCGTTTTGTGCTTGGAGTTTGGGGCGCAACGCGCATTCAGGGCGGGCGCAGGCGTCGGGGGATTTAGGGGGCTTCGGGTTTGGGATTTCCAGGGCTTTACAAGGTTTAGGTTTCATAGGGCTAGCAGAACTTACAGGGTTTACCGGTCTTAATAGGGGTCTATAAGGTTTATTGGCTTAAAGGTGTCGCATTTCGGGTTGAAGGGGCCTCCAACCCAAACCTGAAGGGCTCCCTATAAGATTTTACCCCTCCCCCCCCCCCCCCCTCCCCACGCACCCCCCCAAATAAGGGACCCCATATGCCACTGATAGCTTCTTCTGTCGAATTGGGTCTCGTTTGAAGATGGCTTGAAGGTTGGGGGCAATGGGTGGACTGGAGGTCTTTGGCCGTCTCATCGCCAACCTTGACTCCCTTCGCACATGTGGTTCATGGGTTGAGGGTTTAGGGTTAGGGGTTCAGGATGTAGGGTTTAGGGGTTTAGGGTTTAGGATTAGGCGTTTGGGGCTTTAGTTTAGGGCTCTCTGTTTTTGTTGGTGCCATCTCGAGGACGAGCCAGATGCACGAGTCTCGACCCCAAGCCAGGGTTCGGTCGTTGTAGGGCTCCGGGGTGCCTCTGGGGTGCTTGAGGCCTTTGGGGAATTACCCCTGTGCACAGTGGGATGTCGGAAGATGAGGTACTCGCGCCTCACAGCCTTACTTGCACCCCACAGAGGTGAGAAAGCCTAGACAAGGAACAGGGTAATTTACTCAGCAACCTCGAAAGTGCAGCGGTTGAGAGTTGAGACTTCCCTCATGACCTAGGGAAAAAAAGAAGGTGCGCGTACATGGGCCTAACAAGGGAGCCTAAATTCTAAATTCTAAGCCAAGGATTGCGGGAACAAGTGTACTTTGGGGCATCCTGCATCACTGTCGGTCCTTTAGCTTCGTGTCGGCTGCCGAAGTGGACAAGCCTGCCCACGCTGCCCCTTCTTGAGGTTTCGGGCTTCGGGTTTTGAGTTTTGGCTGGGCTGGGTCGGTTCTGAGACTAACAATGATAAAAACCTAGCTCCTAAACCTTCCTTCCTTAAGTTAAATTGTTTTTGAAGGCGTACTTGTCCAGCTCGTGTCCGAACGCCCCATCAACCACGTGAACCCAGTAGCTTCAGCCGAGGCTCAAACTGTTTCTTGGGTTTTGATGTTGAGGGGTTTTGGGGATTTGGGGATTTTGGTCGCAGATGCACGGTGGTGAAAGTATGGGAAAGCCCGCTGAGACGGTGGCGACCCTGGTGAATTTCAGGCAACATCATGGCAGCTTCTAAAATTCTGAAACCTCATACCTCAACCAAGACCTCATTCACCCTAGGCCCTAAACTAAACCCACTTCAACCATGCTTCGGGTGTAGGGTTCAGGCCGTTGAACCGCCCGCGGGCAACACGTGCGAACCAGAACTCCCAAAAATGGCCCCTATGACCCTATGACAGAGTGCGGTCTCGGCCTAGTGTTGTTACTGGGGTGAGTCGGGAGGTTTGCGGCGGTTCTGGGGGCATGAGCTCGGCCCATGGCCTGCTCTGAGGTTCGAAGAGTAGCGCTCGATCACCTGCCATCGGTGTGTTGTGCTTCAGACAGGCTTGACGAACTCTGCGCAACACTTGAGCAGCGACCCAAACTCTTGAAATACTCGCACACGGAATGTCTGCCCGTCAATGTGAACACTGCGTTATTGACCCTAAACCTGCAGCATCACGCGGTAAACGCACAACGCCACGACGCCTCTAAGCCCCCAAAAAAACTAAACTCTAAAGGCCTTATGGCTTAGCAGCAACAATTTCCTTAGTTTCGCTACTCAGTTTCGTAACTTCTCAAAGCCCCGACTCCAAATCTGTTTTGCTCTCTGCAGCAGGCCATCACTAGGAGCTGCTCTGCGCGATGATAAAGGCAACCAGTGGCGACTCAGTTGGATCCAGGTTGTACCTTTTAGGGCCAAGGGGGTTTAGGGTTAAGAGTTTAGTTGCCTTGACCTGAGCTGAACACCGATCAAGCAAAGCCAGGTCCGAAAAGGGGGGAGTTGCACTTGGCTTAAGCCGCCTTAGAAACAGCAGCTCTGAACCAGGATAGCTTAGGCTTTTGGGATGCCTTCTGGCGCTCCCTCATTCCCACTGAAGCACCAGTAGGCCACTAGTTTGCCTTCTACTGCAACATAATCGCCCAAACCCGAAGCGCCGGGTCCATCGGCCCGGTGCAACTTAAAGCTGGCCAAAGCCGACACATACACCTCATGAAAAGCCCGCAAATCAACCAAAGGTGGAAATCCTGAACCCGAGACAGCACCCATGGGGAGGCTGTAATTGCAGTTGCCCCACTTCTCACTCTACATATCCCTATATATCCCTATACACCCTATACCTGATAACCTATTCCCTATACCCTGAACCCTAAACCCTAACAGCTCTCCACTTGGCAAGGGACTTGTCGGAAAGGTTGGCGACATTGGCCTTGAAGGACTCCAGGGCTCTTGGCTTCCTTTGTTGACAGCGACCGGGGTTTAGAGTACAACGTCCTGAGCATATAGAGGTGGGTATGTAAATGTACGAATATCTAAATATGTACATGTAGATATTCTGTATCTGTACCGTATGTATACATATATGTATATATGCAGGAATACTTTAGTAGCATCTTATTTTGTATATAACTAGTGTTTGATCATTGCGTTGTACTACAAGCACTACTGTCTGGAAAACATTTTTTGACTGGAGAAAGCGCCATTTGCCTAGAAAATGGCCTTTTTGCCCGGAGAAGCCCAAGAATCCAATCGGCCTGTGAGGTGCAGTTGCTGTCCTTCACTACCCGGCTCTCGGACAGCAAACCCTGCACGATCATGAATTCAAGCCTGGCTTATGTGCTCCACACACGCGACACTGGCGGAGGAGGGCGGGGGAGGGGGTGTAGCATGTCCATATATACATATGTGTATATATAACCTAGGCTGAACAAATGTAAACTTATCACTTGGTGCTCAGTTGAGCATTCGGACAGTTTTCGTTTAGATCAACTCAAGAAGTGATTGCAACTGTCTCGAAAGCCCCCTTCTCGGGCAAAAGCAGCCAGCAAGCCCCGAGAACTCATACAGTGTGGCCTAGGATTTAATCGCTTTTTATGTACCACTAAAGCTTGAGGGCCCACAAAATTCATTGAAACATGGGAGTCCTTTTGCCTTGCTACGGGTATTTCAGGCGCGCGGCTCATCCCAAAGCTGCACGGCGGTTTCGAGGTACTGCTCTGGAGACTGCCGTAGGAACTCAGGGAGGCTGGGCACCTTGCAGAGGGATTCAACTGGGTGCTGAAGGGGCCCGCCTCAGGGGCGATTCCTGAATACCCTGTAAAACAGGCACCCCTATTTTGGGAGATTGCCCCTAGAATAAGTGAGGCTAGAAGTCGGGCAACTGCATATAGAACCCTCACTGAGGTACATCTGACCCTACTTTCAACTACGCCCGAACCTTTAAGTATCCATGGCTTGGAATGGACATCCAGTCAACGAACTGTGTTCTGAGGGACATGACATCCCAAAATAACTTATGCAGTGTGTGAGGGTGGGGGGGGGGGGGATCAAGGTCTAGGGCTTGGGGTCTAATGCTAGATCAGCAACAGGAGGCAACAGGAGGCTGAACTTAATCCGGATTGACAACCAAACATTGTCATGAGCTTGGTCGGGTGGTTGCCTTCAGCCGGTGTAGCAGAAAGGTCAGCAGCAAATGCAGGGGAATCACGTTGGCGAGCTCCTGCCAAAGCCACTGGCAACTACTTCTGGTTGCTGCTTACAAAAGCACTGTACCCGACGCGACACGCTCCTAAGCTCCGACGATACAAAGCGGTGGACGCTCACCGTTTTGGGGTCGGAGATGCTCCTCGAAGTCTTGGGACTCCACAGACGCGGACGCCAACAGCTTCGCGAACTCCTTGAGCACGGAGGCCTCGTAGCGCAGGTGGGAGGCATAGTCTGGGTCCAGGCTGGCCAGGAGGGTCTCGAGGGTCGCCAGCTCCTGGCGCAGTGGGGCCCGCGCCAGCGCTGCCGCCGAGAGGAAGCAGCGCATGGCAAAGCTGCAAAACTCCCTCAGGTGGCCCTGGAGCTGCCCAGCTCCGAAGAGGGAGAAGAAGTGGCGGCTCAGGTGGCTGCAAGCCTGGGGAACTTCAAGTGAACTTCGTCTGAACGCGCCGAAGGGTGTGAACTTAGTTTAAGCTACAGGAGCAGCAAATAATGTGGCTTCCTTAGGGCAAGGTTTGCTTTCTTGCAGAACAGGTAGTGAATTTAGTTGCCTTGCCTATCGACTTAACTGACGTTCCCGAAATAAGACAGCTTGCTTACATCCTGTTAACTCTAGTCGGGCATTCAGGGACACCCCCAAAAAGGGTACCCCTATTTTGGGAAGCCCACCGCGGAAGCCTGGCTCACGGCACCGAGTTGTCCCTCGTCGTTGCTCAGGCAGGCTGCGACCACGGCACGGCGTAGGGAGCTCCTGGGCGGGCCCTTGAAACCGTCGGAAAAAAAACACACTCCGAAGTAAGAGCCTCCAGCTTCATATTCCAGAGGAGATACTCTCACATCACATGTTCCTAGATTCCTAGATGGGATCCTCCTTTTAAACTTAATTGTAATTTGTTGTCAAAGCCCAACCAGGGAAAAACATCTCAGATTCCCAGAACCTACCTAGGCGCTGGAGACTGGTGAAGAGAGGCGTCACGACCGCGGCTTGGGCTTGTTTCAAGGTGCTCTGAACCTGCTCTGCAGTCGTGGCAAAGGTTTACAGGGTAGGCGAGGGTTGAGGAGTTGAGGGCTTAAGGGGCAGGGGGGCTTGCAGGATGTTTCGGGTCTTGCTTGGTGTTCCGAACCTGGTCAGTGGCCACAGACTCAAGGAACCGCGAGGGGATCAGCTCCCGAAGGGCTACCAGGGTGTGGTGCGCAATGCCGAAGAGCCGGGCATTGCGGGCGTGGCCAGCGGTAGGCATGGGAAGCGGTGCTTTTAACCGCAAGCGCCCATCCTCCTCCGTGAGGCACTGGATTACTGAGGATGAATCGACCACCTGCTCCAGGCGTGTGGCGAAGAACAGGACGGAGCTCCGGACGCTGCGCACGACGTCCTTCAGAAGCAGCTCCGGACAGCACTCCACACGCTCCAGCTCAGTCACAAGCAGCTGCACATAGCGACGCAGGTCGTGCATGGTAGGCAGCTCGTCCGTCACCGTCTCGCCCGTGCCCCCGATGCGCTCACCAGAAGCGCTCAGGCTCGACAGCAGCTTGTCCGGCAGCATCATCTCGATGGGATCCGTCACGCGTCGGATGGACTCGCCCAAAAACTCGTTCCGCAAGTCTGTGGCGGACTGGTACAGGATCTCGCGCTCCGTTGACTTCATAACCTTTCCACGGCCGAGCTTGTCGACAGCAGACACAAGGCTTTGGAGGACCTTGGGGCAGTCGGCGATCGCCTTTGAACGGAAAGTCCGGTCTTGACACACCTTTGCAAGCTTCGCCTTGAAAACACTGGCGGCCTCAGTCCAGAAGTGGCCGGTCAACGACCGAACCCCTGCATCCTCCAGCACAGACTGGAAGCTCCTATGGGTGACGGGGTCCGTCTTCGCTTGCACGATCTCTTCCAAGGCGTGCACGCGCTGCGTCTGCGCCACCAGCACCTGGACTGCAGAATCGTTTCTCGTTACTCCCCCTCAACATGAGAGCCGAAGTAGAACCCGATGACGGCGCCATTAGAAGCCAAAACCAGATCATAAACTGCCCAGACCCTGGGCCCTAGATCCCAACTAACCCAATCCCCTTTGTTCTGACACCAAGGACCCAAAACAATGTAAGTAAGCCCATAGCACGCACATGGCAACCAACCGTGGTGGGAGAGCGATTTGGACCCAAAAGAAACGACCGTTCAGGAGGAGCGTGTGAGGGACTGAGGCGGGATCAAATTAACCTCAACGAGCTGCAAAAGCCCCGTGGGTGAGGCCAGAAAGCCACGTTTTTTCACGACAACGAGCGACTGAAGCGCCAAAACGTGCCTAAACCCCAATATATATATATATATGTATATATATATATACATATACATATATACATATATATATATATACATATATATATACATATATATATATATATTATGAATACTTTAATAAATTCTAAAAGCCTGGCCAAGAATTGGCGGACCCAGAAGGGCCGGGAGTGCGACTTCGACCCAAAGCGCCTCGTGCTTAGAGAGTCGCGCACCAAGCTCCCGACTCTTTCTCTCCTTGACACTTGATTTGGAGAAGCCCTAAATTCATGTGGGTGTATATATATATATATATAATTTTTGTTTTTTGTTTTTAATTTATATGCCACCAAAAGCCTACAAAGAACTCTGAACCCAAAACTCAAGTTAGACCCGAGAACCCCGAAGCACCTGCAGGTTCACTTCCAGGCCCTGCAGAAAGCCTGCGGCAGCCAGTGGCGCCTGCCGCACTTCCTCCAAGATCAGGGGATTTTGGGCTCCTATACGGGCTTGACCAGGGCCATTATCGAGCGATGCGACCCAAAAAGGGCTTGTAGGGGATTTGAGGATTTGACTTGGGGCTTTGCGGTTCAGGTAGAGGAGTTCAGCGCTGGAGGGTTTTATGAGGGCATGGTTTTAGGGGCCCATAAGGGCTTTGAGCTCAGGCTCACACACACTTGAGGGCTTCTCAGGCCTTTTTGTTGAGGACGCTTCAAATGTGGGGCGGCTTGTGGGCTTCTGAGGGCTTAGGTTTGCAGGGTTTAGGGTTTAGGGTTTAGGGTTTAGGGTTTAGGGTTTAGGGTTTAGGGTTTAGGGTTTAGGGTTTAGGGTTTAGGGTTTAGGGTTTAGGGTTTAGGGTTTAGGGTTTAGGGCTGCAGGGTTCGAGGTTCAAGAGGGGTCTCAGGTTTTTTCGGCGCTTTTTTAGGTCCTCCAGGAGCTCGGCCAGAAGCTTCTTCAGCTGAGGCCACAGACAGTTCAGGTTGAAGAAGACCTGGGGTAAAAGCACTCTCAGATTTTGGTTTGGGGTTTGGGGTTTGGGGTTGGGGGTTTGGGGTTTGGGGCGTGGGGTTTGGGGCGTGGGGCGTGGGGCTTGGGGCTTGGGGTTTGGGGTTTGGGGCTTGGGGTTTGGGGCTTGGGGCTTGGGGTTTGGGGTTTGGGGTTTAAGGTTGAGGGTTTAGGCTTGTGATGTGTTCACAGACGCCGGGGGGGAAGGCTGTGAGAACCCCAGCTTAAACCCATACAAGGCATCACACCGCGCGCCTGCAAGGCTACGCTCAGTGCAATGTGGTTCCCCTGGCGCACCTCATGAGGGCAAAGAAGGGTTTAGGGTTTAGGTAAAGTTTAGGGTTTAGGGTTTAGGGTTTAGGGCTTAGGGTTTCGGGTTTAGGGGAGCTTGGATACATGGGTGGGGATGAAGGGTTTGGCTACAGACTCTGCAGGGAAGATACCAGTACTCGAAAAAGAGCTCAGAAGCTAGCAGCGAACTTGCGTAAGGAACCGAAGGGCCGGCCACTGATGTGATACCCTGGCCCCAAGCCCTAAACCAACTTCCTTAAACCCTAAACCTTAAACCCTAAACCCTAACCTAAACCCTAAACCCTAAACCCAAAACCCTAAACCCACCGAGGCGCCCCCGTCCGGAGGTCCTCCTCAGACTGGCGGCGGACTTTCGCCCCCACGTCTCGGATCCAAAGGACTTCGGCCCTCAGCACATCCACCTTCTCCAGGCTGCTCTCCTTCATGCAAGCCCCGCTCTCATCACCCTCACCCCTCTACCCCCTGCCCTCTACCCACTACCCCCTAAACCTACCACGCCCTCCCTTCTAGCTCTACCCGAGAGGCAAAAAGGGTGTTTAGGAGTCAGAGTTCGTGGTGGAGCCGCGGTCCTCATGTCTGAGTGGGCTTTGCAAGGACCATGCCGTACACCCTGCAACCCTACAAGCCCACACGGCAAACACCAAGCCCTACCACCCCAAACCCGAAATTGCCCAGGGCTTCAGGGCACTCTCCTGCAGTACTGCCTCTAGCTCGTGCAGCGTGTGAGCCGCCTTGGAGAAATCCTTTCCTTACTTGGAGGTTCATGCGCCACATAGCAGTGTTCAGGGCTTAGGGTGCGGGTTGAGGGTGTATAGGGTGACCGGCCGTGAGAAGTTATAAGTATCTTAAATTGGCTACCCTTAACCCAATGGTAACTACCCTCCAAGTAAGGGTCGAAGCTTTCCAAGAGCCGTGAACCTTTGGGATTGCTTCTTTTCATTTTTTCTGGCGCTCTTAGGCTTTGAAATTTGGGGCTAACCATCGGACTTCCATAAGGGGCAAGGGGGTCCTACCAGGTTGCCCAGAAACCCAAAGAACAAAAAGGCGTGCCTTGCTTTGTAAGGGACAGCCTGCGTTGCCTCTAGTTTTCCCAGGCAACTTGTTTTCCTCAATATTGGCAGAGAGGGCGCTCGAATTTCTTTTTTCAAGAGAGAAACCTCCATTGTTCTCTGCGCTCAATGAACAGGAAGAAAAGCAGCCCCCCCCCCCTCCCGCCCCCACTCCGACAAAGACAAGAAAAAACACATGCGTATATATATATATATATATATATATATATATATATATATATTATATACAGATCTACATATTGAATAATAACAATAATAATGATAAATAATAATTGATTAACTTCGAACATCCCCACCTTAGGGATTTGGGGGTTGAGCATTCAAGGGAGTCTCTGGGGTTGGGCGCTCCAGGGAGACTCTAGGAGCAGACCGGGCGAGGAGAAGCGTTCCGGGCGAGGAGAAGAGTTGAGTTTAAAATCTAACAACCCCACACCGAAGGTGGGGAATAACAAGAAGAAGACTTGTAATCATGAATAGTGGGCCCGCCGAAGCTAACCCTCCAAGAAAAAGGGGTACTTCCGGGCATCCCAGCCTAAGTGGGCATTTCCCAAAAAAAAAGCACCCTTTGCTCTCATTAACCTCCAAAATAAGTGCCCCACACCCTAAACCCAAACCTATGCCTATTACCTTAACCCCCAACCCCTAACCCCTCACCCCTCACTCAAAACACCTAACACCTAAACCCTAAACCCTAAACCCTAAACCCTACACCCTAAACCCTAAACCCTAAACCCTAGACCCTACAGAAGCCCCCAAGTTTCCAGGCGCGTCCATCTGGCTGCGCAGCTTCCGGGCATCGAAGAGGAAGCGCAAGAGCTTCCGGACCTCGTCTGCGCGGCTCTGCAACAAAACGGGTTTAGGGTTTAGGGTTTAGGGTTTAGGGTTTAGGGTTTAGGGTTTAGGGTTTAGGGTTTAGGGTTTAGGGTTTAGGGTTTAGGGTTTAGGGTAGGCCTTAGGGCTTAGGGTTTAGGGTTAGTAGGGTTTAGGGTTAGTAGGGCTAGTAGGGCTAGTAGGGCTAGCAGGGTTAGTAGGGCTAGTAGGTTAGTAGGGCTAGTAGGGCTAGTAGGGCTAGCAGGGTTAGTAGGGCTAGTAGGGTTAGTAGGGTTAGTAGGGTTAGTAGGGTTAGTAGGGTCAGTAGGGTTAGTAGGGTTAGTAGGGTTAGTAGGGTTTGTAGGGTTAGTAGGGTTAGTAGGGTTAGTAGGGTTAGTAGGGTTAGTAGGGCTAGTAGGGTTAGTAGGGTTAGTAGGGTTAGTAGGGTTAGTAGGGTTAGTAGGGCTAGTAGGGTTAGTAGGGTTAGTAGGGTTAGTAGGGCTTTGTGGGCTTCGGGGGTGGCTTTAGGATTTGGGGATAAAATCGAGGGAACCTAATCCCTTAAACACAAAAAAGGGGGACAAAAAGGGGTACTGCGCATCAAAGGGACTAAGACGTTCACGGCCTGCATGCGTTCCAGCAGCTCCACGTTCCCTTTCACCTCCTGGTCTAGGTTTAGGGTTTAGGGTTTCGGGTTCGGGGTTTCGGGGTCAACCCCGAATTTAATTGAAGCCCTTGGCCTTAAAGATCTCAACCGTCTAGCCTCAACACTTCAGCCCTTGAACCCAAACCGTCAAGCCTCAGCGCGCAGCCCCCAAACCCATCACGAATGGACCCTAAACCCGACAACATCTGCAGCCCTCAGCCTGCACATGTCTGAACCCAGCTAGGGAACCCCAGAATAAGAATTTCCTAGAGTTCCCGGACTGCTTCTTTGCAGGGACACGAAGAGCAACCCAAAGAAATTATTGCTCTTAGGTTTTCTGGGTTTAAGGCTTGCGGTTTAGATTTTAGGGCAAACTTACCTCGGACTGTGGGCAGAAGATGCAGGGTTTAGGGTTTAAGGCTTAGAGCGCCTGGCGGTTTGAGGATGCGCTGGTCCTTGGACTTTGCTTGGAGGTGCATTTGGGTTTTGGGTTTAGGGTTTAGGGTTTAGGGTTTAGGGTTTAGGGTTTAGGGTTTAGGGCTTAGGGCTTAGGGCTTAGGGTTTAGGGTTTAGGATGACCATGATAAGTAGGGGTTGTGCACACAGACCGCCACAAGCGAGTCCTGGAAGGGAGCCAGCATGTCAGTCCGCACACGCGCCACAGCGCTTTTCAGCGTTCCCACGATGTCCTCAGCTGCATCGAGGGTAATGTAGGGGCCTTCACAGTATACTTACAAAAGAACTATAAGGAAATATCAGGAATTATTACGACCCCTATATTGGCTAATTCAAATGTCATGGAAGGCGGTGAATATGGTGGGTTCGCAGTATTACGGCATCCTTTGCCTCGCTTTGTCCAGCTTTCGCTCTTGCTGAGTCTTGCTGTGGTCTTCACTCCCGTGCCGTGGGCCTTCTCCTTCTTGCCACCGTTCGTCTCTTGAGGATGTTTTCTTTTAAGGCCGGATGGCTTCTCGCAATAGGCTAACTCTCCTAAGGTGCAAGCAAGGCATCAGCATTCTGAGCTGGCTCTTTTGCCCTCACGCTTGGCAGGAAGCTTTCCGGTGACAAACCGCGCGTGTATCTTCGCTACATGGGAGCCACATGGTTTGCACATCTGCCTTGGGCTGCTGCTTCTGGCAAGCTCATGAAGCGTCGTGTCCAATGGATCGATGGCAGAGTTCGAGGTTGTAGCTTTTGGAACGTGACGATATCTCTGAGTAGTCTCTCTCCAGGCCTGTTCCTTCCCCATGTACACGCGTGAACAAAGAATGAGCTCGCGCAATATTCGGGCGAACGCAAAAAGTGAACAGAGCAAGGGAAAGTCAGAAATCAGACAGAAGCAACGGCCCGTGTCTATTGGACAATCAACACGAAGCACATTTGAACTTCACAAATTGGGCTCTTCATGAACCTCGTTGTTAGAATAAAGAGACTTTATGAGTTCAAGCTATAAGCATCTTTGACATCTGGACGAAACCCTAAGCCCCAAGAAGCCCTCAAGAGGCTTCAGGCCAGGCCGCGCTGGCTTCTCCCAGCTGACCTTCGAGGTCGCTGATGCTCCCGGCGCAGAGCAGGAGCTCCTTTTGTTGAGTGCTGACGAGGGCTTTGATGGCTTTGAGGGCTAAGGGTTTACGGGGCTTCTACGGGCTTAGGTTGGGATGTCCCCCCTTATACTAACAAGCCTTAAAAGGGATTCTACTACCCCTTCTTCAAGCCCCATCATAATCCCTATTAAGGGCTGCTAGTATTTCAGGGGGAACATCCCAATGCTTAAGGGTTGAGGTTTCGGGTTTAGGGCCAAGTTTCTCTGGCATCTTGAGGTGAACAGAGCCCAGGTTCTCAAAGCTGGGCGAAGCTGTGCCCCTAACACGAGCTCCTCCCAACCGTAGAAAGCCCAAGCTCCCCAACCCTAAACCTCAAAACGCAAACCCTGCGCACGCACACACACACACACATCTTAACCTGTAAGCCGAATTGGGTTGTTGAGGGTTATGGCCCGAGCTGGGGTCCTCATGGCAGGAGGCAATCTCCCGACGCCTTGGCAGTTTAGGGTTCAGGGCACTGACAGGATCATGGGTGTACAACTTTGCATGCCTCCAAGCAGGCTCGAAGGATTAGGGCTCACTATGTGGGGTTTAAGCTTTACCGGGCTGTACGGTTTGCCCAGCTTCAGGGTTAGGAATCTAAAAATTATCATTCAGGAGTCATGGTTTAGAGAGATGCAAACAAGTGTTCCAACTGCGAACGAGTCATCAGCTTCTCAGGTTTCAACTAAATCTTAGGGGGATTTGCCTGCGGCATCAGGACTCCTCACACATCGTGTCAGATGGCAAGGGGGTTCAGAGGTGACTAAGGGGGATTCCCAAAGCCGCCGACCCGGGATCCCTAAATTGTCTTCACAAACCTGGAGCCTCAGACCCTACATGAGCCCAAAACATGTTGTCCGCACGGAGCACACGCGGGGGGGGCCTCAAAAGAGCACAGGGTCCGAAGTCTCCAGGCGGGAGATTGCAAGTGTGGTCCCACGCCCGAAACCCTAAACCCTTCTTAGTCTCTTGTGGCCCGTGACCCCTAAACCCTCAAAAAAGAACTCCACAGCATGCACTGTAAGTCTCATCTCTTGCATCTAGCAGCTCTACTCGGAGGTTCATGGCTCTTCATGGACTGGCCTTGCAAGTGATGCTTAGGGCTTAGGCAGCCACGAGGCAGGTCTTCCTCTAGGCTGCTGGCTGAGTCCTGCAGCTGCTGGGACAGCCGCAAAGCCTTCTCCTGGCCCACTGCGTCTTCTTCTTTCTGGGACTCGTAGGGCATTGCTGTTGAGGGGCCCTAGAGCCTAAAGCTCGAGGTCTTAGTATGTGGGGTTTAAGGTGCCCAAAGCGCAGATCTGAAACCCCTTAGCTCGAAAGGGACGCCAAAAAAACAAACTCAAGTAACTGAACTTGCCAGACGAGCCGCCTGCCCAGAAGTGGCTTCCTGCTTGGCTGCAGAACTGGAGTCGAGAGTTGAGGCCCTAAACCCTGCAACTTCCTGAACCCCAACCGAAACCCAAACCCTAAACCCTAAACCCGAAACCCTAACCCCTACACCCTAAACCCTAGATTTACAGCTCGGGCCTCGGGTTTGGGGTTCAGGGTTCACATGGCTGCGTGGCCAGCTGCTGTCGAGCTTTCACAAGAGAGGTGCTCGCTGATGCTTGTAACTGGGATCATTCTTACTGCTCTGCTCAATGTTTTGGATATGCTCTTGAAATGATCGTCATGTTTCGGTTGATATGCGTGCAGCTTGGTTCAAGGCTTAGGGCTCAGGGAAATGCAGCCGGAAACCTTGGACGCCCATTTTTCAACCTCTTTCCCGACCCTAAGCCCTCAACCCTAAACCTGAAAAAGCTTAAAAACCTCAAACTCCAAACCCGCACCAATCCCTGTCAAACTCCCCTACCTTCAACCTTGAAGCCCCCCAAAACCCCAAGGAACCCGGCAGGCCTTGACGAAGGCGGCGACGTTGAAGTCGGGCTTCCGGAAGGTTTCGAGCAAGGCGTTGTGTCCGCCGCTGGCCCGCATCGCTTGGGCTTAGCCCCTCTGGGACGGCTTTGGGAAAACACCCTGCAGCCCTAAAGCCTGATACCTGGAGCCTAGAGCCTCAGCGTGTCCGTCCATCTTCCGGCACTGCGCAAAGAGCTTCTGGGCTCTACAACGTCGCGGTTGATTGTGTTGTGTGTTGCCAGTGTCGTTGTTATCGTCATTTTCCTTGTCAGTAGATGCTTTCACCCTGGTTGAGGCCCTGGTTAAAGGCTTCAAGGCCCCCAGGGCCCAGGTCATTGGAAGTGCTTCTCTTTGGTACCGGAGCCAACGGCAAGCAGGCGGCGAATAAGACTGTCTTGCGCTGCGTTGAGGGTTGGAAGCTGAGGGTTTAAGGGTTTAAGGGTTTGGGGGTTTAGAGTTTATGCTGCAAGGCTCGACATGAAAGGATAAACCAAAACAAAGTTCGGGGAACGCTGAATCTCACGGAACCGTCGACGAAACCTGTAACACCCACGGCTAATCTCAAAGTCCCTGCGATTCCTGTGCCTTTGCTGAATCCTAGCATCCCTTGCTGCAAGCTCGTAACCACAAACAACTACCCTACCCGAATCTCATAACACCTCAGAACAGCCCCTCACTAGGGATGTGGACTCATGTCCCAGTCCTTAAAGGCCAAAAAAGCCTCCCGAAACCCTGAGGAGCCTCAACCCCCAAAAGCCGTAGAAGCTTGGCCTCAGCTGGAGAAACCATGAGACCCCTAAACCACTCCGAAACCTGCCACTGCGCAGCCCTGGTCCGCCGTCCGCCTGCTCGATGACATCCTCAGCATCGCGCGCGGCGATCTCCTCTGCCAACTCTGCAGACATGTTGCTTCCTGGCCCTGGGCAGAGATAGGGATTCACCCGGCGCCCTAAACCAAATACCCGAAAGGCTCTCCTCATTCTTTAGGTCAACGCCCCCCCAAACCCTAAACCCCCTGACCGCCAGGTGGGCGGCAGGGCGGAGTGTGAAGCCCTACGTTCTTGGGTGAGGATATGGATATGGCGTTAGGCTTTTTAGGCGGTTTGAGGGTGCTACCGAAATACAGAAGTACGGAGCTCTTGCATCCCACTTTGTGTGAAGAATCCGCAAATGAAACCTTCAAGTCCCTAATTAAGGGACTTGGGGATCGGGCTTGGGGTGTAGGGTTTATAGGGTTTGGGGGTTAGAGTTTAGGGTTTGGTTTAGGGTTTAGGACATAGCAGCCGCGAAGATGCATTTAGGAAGCAGGATGCGGCACCTGGCTTCAAGTTTGACACTCAACCCGAACCCTCAAAAGCCCAAATTCCCAAAAGCCCTCAGACCTCAGACCCTCCCTGGACCCTCTCGACAGCGCTGGCACAAAGGAGCTGCTCCTGGCCTAAGCCCCATCCGATAATCCCCCAAACCGCAAGAATCCCGAAACCTCTTCTTCGAGGCAGGCACCAGGCCAGTCGATGTCCTACGGAAAACAAATTGGAGACTTTCGGACCTCCCTGTTTCTTGAGCCGATCAGCGTGAGCTCCGGAAAGCGAGCGATGTACCGCTGCCATTCTCCCTAGCATAGGGCTTATAGGGCTGAAGGTGTTTGGAACCTGCGAAGCACCACCAAACCCTAAGCCCTAAACAACATCCCCGACACCCCCACCCCAAAAGCAGCACATAAGCAGCAGCAACGATCTTGCTTCTTGTAACGACGGTTGTGTTCAAGAACAAACAGAGCTAAAACTCTTGCCCTAAGGGGCGTCTAACGGTTCAGGATGTGGGGCGCTAGTGAGGCTAGAGGGTCTTCTCCTGCCTGCGTCCAAACCTAGAGAAGCCCGACACGCCAACCCCAAAGCGCGTTTGTTTCGAGCTGCGCACACGGATGTCTCACACCTGAAGAGTACCTTCTTGCTGAGCCCTAACCCTACACCCTGAACCATAAAACCTTAAAACTCAGGCTGAGGCTTCAGCTGAGCCCCTCAACCACCCCCACCCGCCCCTCAACCACTCCCCCCCCCCCCCCCCCCCCCCCCCCCTCCGCTCCCTCCCCCGCCCTATGCTCCAGACCCTCACACAACCTGGGCAACGTCGACTCCCCCAATCCCTTGAGGCTCAAGCCCAAACCCATGAACTCCGAAGCCACTAGACTCCTAAACCCCGCAGCCCACTAAGCCCATGACCTCACAACTATAAGGGCCTTGAGAATAAGAATAGGTTTGGGGTGTTATTCTGTTTCTATAAAGGGGCCAGAAGGGAATACCATTAGTAATTATACCCTAAACCCTAAACCCTAAACCCTAAACTCTCAACCCTAAACCCGAAAAAACCCTCAGGGCCGCGCCGCGATGCCACCAGGCCCCGGCAGTGGCAGGGGCTCCAAGCGCGAGGCCCGCCTCTGGCTGTCGGCTTTTGAAGGACTTCGGGTTGAGGGTGCCCGAAACCCGAAACCCGAAATAAACCCGAAACCCTAAACCCTAAACCCTAACCCTAAACCCTAAACCCTAAACCCTCTCCCTAAACCCTAAACCCTGCAGCTTTGGGTCCCGGATTTCAGGGCAGAGGATGCTCCCAAGGCGCTTCGGGGTCGTCGCGTGCTCCGCAGTCAGCAGTGGGTGCTCCGGCATCTCCCTGGCAGTGGTAGCTTTTAGAGGTTCCGGCTTCAGAGTTTAGGGTGTGGAATTTGTACTAAACCCTAAACCCTCAGCCCTAAGCCCTGAGCCCAAAGCCCTAAGCCCCAAGCCTGAGCCATGAGCCCTGAGCCCTGAGCCCTGAGCCCTGAGCCCCAACTAAGCCTTAAGCCCTAAGCCCGAAGAAGGCGCTGTGTAGGGTGCACCCCCTCAGCCCCGATCACTAGCTGGAGCCCCCTTCTTGCCGAAAACACGGAGGCAATAACCCTAAACCCTAAACCCCAAAACCTAAGCCCTAAACCCTAAAGCCCTAAACCCTAAACCCTAAACCCTAAACCCCATAGCCTACGGCGACCCCGCCGAACACGAAAGCATGGGGGGGTTTGAGACAAGGAGGGAGGCTCGGCCAGGAGCTGACACCACAACGCGCGAGCAACCCCCCCCTAAAAATGCAAAAAACATCATAATAATAAGAATAATAAAAAATGATAATGATAGTAACAATAATACGTATAATAAGAATAATGACAATAATAATAATACTAATAATAATAATAATAGTAATGGTAACAATGTCGTCATCATCATCATCATCCTCATCATCATCATCATAGTAATGATATCAGTGATAACAACAATAATAATAGGTAGAAGAAGAATGACAATAATCATAACTAATGAAATGATCATCCTAATATAAGGAACGTGCTGCACTAAAATGAAGACTCCTGAACACCCTCAGCTGGGGCCCTTTTTTATTTCGGGTAGGAAATCAAGAAATTCAGGGTGCCCTCAGCCTGCGCTTGAATTCTGGGATCTATAGTCACCAAATTGAGAAATCCAGGGTTCCTGTCTCAGCTCAGTTCTGGGCTTGGGATAGGCCCTGCAATAAAGGGTTTAAGTCTGGAAACGAGCAGTGGGCCCCAGACCCCAAGCCCTAAGCCCCTACATCCCCCAACTCTGCATAGAATCCTTCCCGAATCCTTCTGAACCATCTTGACTTCTAGCGCGCAAGGGAGCTTCGTCCATGAATGGAGTCATCGAGCCCACTCCCATAACTCCCTCACATCTACAGAAATCTGCAAGGTAAATCAAGGCAGCCATGCTTGCAAGCCTACGCCCCTTTGCCTAGGCACTCCCAAAACCAGGACTGCGCAACAAACACACCCCTCCAGCCAAGACCACAGCCTCTTGAGTCCCAAGGGAGTGCTCTAGTCGGACAATGAACCTTAGACCCTAAACCATAAACCCTAAACCCTGAACCCTGGACCCTGAACCCTAAACCCTAAACCCCAAACCCTAAACCCCTGAACCCTGCGTAGTCCAGCCTAGTGGATGTGGGTGCAGTCTGTAGCGCCCGACGCCATGCCCCGTCCTCACGGATTGCGGGGGACCTACATAGCTTTTAAGGTTTAGGGGTTTAGGGTTTAGGGTTTAGGGCTTAGGGCTTAGGGCTTAGGGCTTAGGGCTTAGGGCTTAGGGCTTAGGGCTTAGGGCTTAGGGCTTAGGGCTTAGGGCTTAGGGCTTAGGGCTTAGGGCTTAGGGCCCAGGGTTTCGGGTTTAAGGTTTAGGCTTTGGAGTTTAGGGCTTAAGGGCCCCAGGGTTTATATGACTCTCCAGGGGGCCTTCGTTTACTTTGGGGCCAGAACCAGATTTACCACTACTCTCACTACATCCCCCCAAAAGACCCCAGAAAGCCTGAAAACAAAAGCCCCGAAAATATCTGAAGCCTCCTTTTCAAAACCTAGAGCACTTGGGTAGTTCTCAAAGAACGGGTCCGTTTTGGGAGCCCTCTTTTTCAGGTGCCGTACTATATAGCGACACCCAAAAAGGGACCCTATTTTAGAGAACTACTCACTTTAAACGACCAAGGAAAGCGGTCCTTGGCACAGTTCGGCAGGGGCGCGCCGCGCGGGGCAGAATCCGGCTTCTGCTCGGGCCTACGTCGAAAAGGTTTAGGCGTTAGGCCGTTTGGAGCCGGGCTTAAGGATTTAGGCCGTTGAGGTTCGGATTACGCGCAGTTATGGTGGCTTAATTAGGTCATTTCGGGATTCGGGCTGAACCCTCCCGCTGCAGCCTGAAACTTCAAAACTCCTCTAAGCCCTGAAATCGTTTCAGGCTTTTTGACTTCTGTAGCCTGGGCGTGTAGATTTCTGACGATGGCCAACAGAAGACCTCTGGAAACCTCCCCTGAACCCTAGACCCTCGCGAACGCTAAACCCTACCCAACCCTCAACCCCAAACCCTACAGAACCTGGAGCCCTAAGCCCGAAACCCTCAAATCATCTGAGGCCCCTGACGCCTTGGTGTCCCAGAAGAGGCTAGACAAAGTGCGGAAAATGTCGCTGGGCCTGCCGAGGGCTTGGGCTTCAGGGTTTAGGGCAACTAAAATGGGTTCACTAGTTTTTGCCTGCAGTTGCGGCACTCGTTGGGTTGACATCTTCCGCTTTAAGGCTCTGACTGTATGACCCCGGAGCATAAACATTGAACCATGGGGGAGACAGTGAGCTGCTCGATCTCCGCCCCCAACTCTGAGAAAACAGTGAACGAGCTGCTGGATCTGGGCTCCCATGCCTCAGCCCCAAAGGCCCAGAGGGAGCCCACAAAGCCACGTTGGAGACGCCGCTTAGACAGTCCGCTTGGGGCCGCAGGCTCTGGTGAAGATCTGGTGCAGCACATGCTCCGTGTGAGGCAGCCATGCCCAGCGAGAGGCCACGAACGCAAGCTGCGTTCTGGCGGCCCGCTGGAATGTGGCAACAGCCAGCTAAATACCCGAATGCAGCTCAAAGAGCTTCGGGATCTGCTGGATGCTCAACGGCCAATATTTTCGGACGATAGGGCAAGGTGCACTGGCGTTAAGGCGCAGAGTCGCCTTTCTGCCTTCGACGGCCGCTGTTGGTGGGAGAACAGTGTTCGATGGCCCTTTGCAATCGGGCCAGAGCTGCCCTTCGCATCTTCCGAAGTGTTTCGAGGCTACCCTGCATCCCAATGTGCCCCATACTGTTGATGGACAAAATCTTGCATGACCCCCTATGCTACGCGTGTGCGACGGCTGGTAATCGAGCTCCCCGCGCCCCTCGAGTTTCAATGTTGCGTGCGCATATGGGTGATGCAGGATTTCGGTCATTCACACACATGCAACTTCGAAGCATTGCAAGGACAGCAATGTTAAGATTCAGGGTTCGGAAGGGATGACCTGCATAATAAAAGTGATGCAGGATTTCGTCCATCAACAGTCTGGAGACTGGCAAGTTTTCGGAAACTCTGGTCTCTATAGTCACGGCTGACCACAGTCAACTGAGGGCCGTGTGTGAGGGGCCAGGATGGGGGCAGAAAGTCCGAAATCAGTTTCAAATTAGTTTCAAAATCCAGTTGCAAAATCGCTGTTAAGGGGGAACTACAATTTCTGTCCGCGCTTTTTGAAAACGAGGAACCTCTGAGATTACATCTTTTTTTTTGAATGGCGCATAGAAAAATGCAGTTCCCCCTTAACAGCGATTTTGCAACTGGATTTGGAAACTATTTTTGAAACTAATTTGAAACTACGGAAACGAATTTGAAACTTGAAAAACGCGGCATTTCTGCTCTTTGGCGCTTGGCCACACCCGAGCAAGAGGAGAGCTTTGGCTTGAATCTGCCAAAGGTACATTTCCGACATTCTTCCCAAAAGCCATTCCAGCAACAACTCTTGCCAACAAGTCAGTAAATTATCTTGTCCGAGACAGTCTGGAGACTGGCAAGTTTTCGGAAACTCTGGTCTCTATAGTCACGGCTGACCACAGTCAACTGAGGGCCGTGTGTGAGGGGCCAGGATGGGGGCAGAAAGTCCGAAATCTGGTATTTTTCAAGTTTCAAATTGTTTCCATAGTTTCAAATTAGTTTCCAATCAGTTTCAAATTAGTTTCAAAATCCAGTTGCAAAATCGCTGTTAAGGGGGAACTACAATTTCTGTCCGCGCTTTTTTGAAAACGAGGAACCTCTGAGATTCTTTCATTTTTTGAATTGCGCATAGAAAAATGCAGTTTCCCCTTAACAGCGATTTTGCAACTGGATTTGGAAACTATTTTTGAAACTAATTTGAAACTACGGAAACGAATTTGAAACTTGAAAAACGCGGCATTTCTGCTCTTTGGCGCTTGGCCACACCCGAGCAAGAGGAGAGCTTTGGCTTGAATCTGCCAAAGGTACATCTCCGACATTCTTCCCAAAAGCCATTCCAGCAACAACTCTTGCCAACAAGTCAGTAAATTATCTTGTCCGAGACAGTATCACAGAAAAACCCTAAGCCTTGAACCCAGAGCCAGAAACCCGACACCCTAAACACAACCCCAAATCCCAAACCGCCCCCCAGTCCTGGGCCCTCCTGTGCTTCGCAGCACGGGCCGGGGACACTCGACCAGGCCTCTGTGTGTGGGGCGTAGCACTTAAGGTATAGGGCTAAGGTGTTCATGTTTCGGAGTTTCGGGTTCCGGTTCTGGTGTTGAGGGTTTACAGGGCTGTGGGGTTCGGTGTCAAGGACATGCAACAGCAAAATCTGCCCTCCAATCGAACCCTGTAAACCTATATAAACCCTCAACTCCGAGGGTTTTGGGGATCAGGGTTTGGGGTTTCGGGTTTCGGGTTTCGGGTTTAGGGCTGAGGACGTGAGGGCCCGGCCAGCGCCAGGTGGCAGGATGTGATCTGCCGGCTCCTGTCCGAGGACGCAAAACCGGGTCTTTTAGGGGGGTAGTACAGGGGTGGTATAAGGGGGGTATAGGGGGGGGGTATAAGGGGGGTATCAGGGGGGGTATCGGGGGGGTATAAGGGGGGATATAAGGGGGCTATAAGGGGTTCTAGGGGGGTTTTAAAGGTAGGCCAGGCTTCAGAGGTGCTCGAGGTAATTTCAAAAGTCCATAACCATTTCTTGCTGTTACCATGAACCTCCGAGTAGGGCTTGGGGATTGAGGAGGGGCTTAGCGTGTTTTCAGGGTGTCAAGCTGTTCCATGGTCCGTGCTGAGAACCGCCACGACACCCAAACAACAGCGGTTTCGTGCAACAGTCAGCTCCTCAGGGGCAAAGCCCGCTGGAAGATCGCTAAGCTCCAGGGGCAGCGGACAAAGTACCTCACGGAAGGGAACGAGGACCTTCCCGATGTGAGCATGCATGCGAGTGTGTGCGCGTGACGATGCGTGCACGCAATGGAATCCTGAATGTCCGGACTGCATGACTGCATGAACGAATGAATGAAGCAACGAGTGAACGAAAGAATGCAAGAATGAATGAATGCACCGACGAATGAATGTGTGCATGCGGCCCAGCCTTAGGGCGTCTATTTGGGAGAGGTCAGGGATCGGGGGAGAGGGGGCGGGGGGGGGCAGGGGGAGGGGAGTTTCAAGTTTCCAGTGCAAAACCCTTGACTCTTACACCCTAAACACAGAGAACCCTCAGCTTCAAAGTTCAGAAAGGCCCTAGTTTGGCGTAAATCCTGTAGGGTTTCGGGTTTGGGGGCTATCGTGCTTTATAGGGTTCAGAGATTTAAGGCGTAGGGTTTAGGGGCTTAGGGCTTTTAGGTTAGGAACCTGGTGCTGCTTCCAAGCCGCTGAATGCATGATTGAAATCAGGGTTGAGGGAATCAATCGCTTAGGGCTTCTGTATTCAGGGCAGGGTTCAGTCTGTCTGCTTAAGCATTTGGACTTCAACACGCCTCGGACTCTTTCAGCGCGTGCTTGCTCAACGCCTGCGTTGACGCCTGCCAGCACCGAGATTCTTTGCCTTGTAGAGTGTGCCTCGTATCGAAAGGTTGTGTTTCATGGTGTAGTATAGTTTGAACAGCTTCTGCATCTCACATCCAGCTTCAGCAGCGATAAGACATACGTAGGCTTGGGGTTGTTGATGTCACAAGACATGCATTGTCTCACCTTTGTGAGATGTTTGCTCAATTCCCCTGTGGGGTGTGTGGCCTGAGATCGAAACCCCCTCCCCTGCATAAAGGAACAACACGCTCCGTAGACCCCTACCGAGAACAGCAAAGCCCTAAACCCTAAACCGCCACAGCGCCAAACCCTAAACCCTGAACCCTGAACCCTAAACCCTAAACCCTGAGTGCAGGCAACGGGCTGCGCCTGCGCAATGGTGTGATAGGCGCCGCAGCGCACGCTGACGCAAGCCCTGGCAGAGCTTGCCGGAGAGCCCAAGACCCAATTATTAACTTACGGGAGCGTAAGCAGCCAACACGGTCTGGGGTTTAGGGTTTAGGGTTTAGGGTTTAGGGTTTAGGGTTTAGGGTTTAGGGTTTAGGGTTTAGGGTTTAGGGTTTAGGGTTTAGGGTTTAGGGTTTAGGGTTTAGGGTTTAGGGTTTAGGGTTTAGGGTTTAGGGTTTAGGGCTTACGGTCGACAGCAGAGGAACCGCCTGAGAGCAGATGCGACGGCGGCAGGAAAGTTGAAAAAACGAGGCGTTTGGGAGTCTTCAGGGCCTGAAAAACCCAAAAAAACGGGCACTTTGAACTAGATCCGCGCACAACTATCCCGGACAAACATGACGCCAGTGGGGCTTTAAACGCGGACCTTCAAGAGCTGAAGATTATTGAATAGTCCGATTTGGCCACGAACCCTTCTGCCGGCGCAACAAAGATACTGCTCAAGCCCCTAAACTTCGCTTTGGACTTTGCCCCAGAATGAGACAAAGCGAGCGCGTTTAAACTTTGAAGGCCTGCACCGCTTCGTTTGATGCCAACATGGCGCCTGGCCCAAAGCGAACCCAAAAAAGACCCAAAGCAGCCGCCAAAGGGTCCTATTCAGGTAGAAAGTTTGACCCACGACCCAGAGGCATCAGCAAACACAGGCAAACATGGCAAGGCCAAGCCCCGATCCCCCCTAGACTCCTAGCACAGCAGGACTCCACCCGCACAAAATAGCAGTATATTCTGGTGCGTAGTTCGCGACTCCGCGACTCCACAATCTTGGTAGGTCGAAACTTTAGTCATGAAAGACCCTAAAGTTCAAACATGCGCATTTTGAAGTCTTCAGCCCCTGAAATCCGTGTGCTGTTGAACTTGTCCTGCCGTGGTGGCGTGAGGCCCTTTCTCCCAGCTTCGTGATAAGAAACTGCACGCCCGCATTTTTTCACACTCACTGTCATCACAACCCCAATGTTGAAGAGCAAGAGTTGCAAGAAGGCTAGTATGGCAGTTAAAGAACTTTCCAGATTCCTCTGCATCCCCCTTAGTCCACAGTAGGGGTTTAGTGGCTCAAACACCCTAATCCCTACTCCCTAAACCCTAAACCCTATAACCCTATCACCCTATAACCTTATAACCCTATAACCCTAAACCCTGAACCCTAAACAGACCCTCAACACTCAACTAGGCACCTTTTGCGGAAGGGTCCCCTCAAGCACCGCCTTGGCCAGACCTGGCGCTGGCAGGTGGGGCTTCGGGGCTTAGGAGGTTTAGAGGTTTAGGGGCTTAGGGGTTTAGGGTTTAGGGTTTAGGGGATTAGGGGTTTAGGGGTTTAGGGGCTTAGAGATTTAGGGGTTTAGGGGTTTAGGGGTTCAGGGGTTTAGGGGTTTAGGGGTTTAGGGCTCTAGGGGTTTAGGGGTTTAGGGGTTTAGGGGTTTAGGGGTTTAGGGGTTTAGGGGTTGAGGGGTTGAGGGGTTTAGGGGTTGAGGGGTTTAGGGACTTAGGGACTTAGGGACTTAGGGGCTTAGGGGTTTAGGGTTTAGGGTTTAGGGGTTTAGGGGGTTTAGGGGTTCACTGCATTCTGGTGCAAGGCTTCGGGCATTGGGATCCAAAAACCCCTTAACCTAGCAGAGACGAACCCAGAGAGCCCAAAGTAGCATGATTAAGGAATATGCCTCAGTTCGTGATAAAGATCCCTTTCTGTTGAAGGTAAATTCCTCAGGGAAGAAATCGACCTTCAACACGGAGCGGACCGTCAAATTCAAGATCAGAACGCCCATAGGGTTCAAGCCCTTCCTAAGCCCTAACCTAAACCCTAAACCCTAAACCCTAAACCCCAAACCCCAAACCCCAAACCCCAAACCCCAAACCCCAAACCCTAAACCCTAAACCCTAAACCCTAAACCCTTAACCCTAAACCTAAGCGCTCTCTGAGTAAGCCAGTAGGCCTGCTGCCAGGGCTGGAACTGCCCAGTGCTCGCAAAGCCTGCTCTGGCTGAGGGGGATTCAAGGGATTAGGGTTTAGGGCTTAGGGTTTGGGATTTAGGGTTGCATTTTGTCAAGGTAGGGGCTGAACGGTTTTGGGGGTTAGGGTTTAGGTAAGAGCTTCGAAATGTATGGGCTTGAAGTTTTAGGACTAGGGGCCCTCTGCCATCTAGGGTTTAAGGGATGGGTCCGCACTAACAGCCCATCTGTTGGGGTTCTTCTTGACCTAAACAATGTATGTCCTCACATACCTTGAAGGCCTCTAAGTCCTAAACCCTAAACCTTATACTAAACCGCTAGCTCTCCCCAAGGCCAAGGGCCCATACTGCGGGCCCGTGCCAAAGACAGACGTCTCCCAAGCGGCAGGCAGGTTGCGAGCTTGGGGTTTCAGCTTTAGGGTTTAGGGGTTAGGGTTGTTTTGGTGTTTCGGGTTGTTTAGGGTTTAGGGTTTCGGGTTTCGGGTTTAGGGTTTAGGGTTTAGGGTTTAGGGTTTAGGGTTTAGGGTTTAGGGTTTAGGGTTTAGGGTTGTTTGGGGTTTCCGAAAGGCCCAAAGCTCCGAGGTGTAAAGGCACCTTGTTGGTGCTGCGTTGAACCTCCCTCAACTCTTTACCGATCTAGGGGTTTTACCTTGGACCCTGGAGGTTGTACCCTTGGGTTTGGGGACCCTCTTGAAAGATCCTTAAGGTAGTATAATCTTAGGGCTTAAGGTAGTATAGTCTTACGGGTTAAGGAAATCTAATCTTAGGGGTTAAGGTAGTATATTCTTAGGGGTGCGAGTCTTGATCCCTTGAACTGACAGGCCGCCACAATCATACGTAGGCCCAATGCGCACGTGCGAAGACCCAGCTGCCTTGCTGTTTTTTGTCTAGCTTCGCAACCAGCAGCTAGACCCAGAGAGCCCCATACCCCTCAAAAGGAGTCTATACCTCATCTTTAAAAAAAGTAAAAAAAGGAGGGCATACTCCTTCACGAAGCGGAATTGGGCTCTCCGAGACTTTGCGAGTTGGATTGCCGTGAACCTGGAAGGCCCAACATTTGGTCAGTGTTTCTATTTCTTCTTTTACACTTTTCCCTTCATGGTGTCTGCTTATCGCGGGTGCAATCTTCTTGCGATGCATTGAAGCTACTTGCGGGTGCGCAATGACGACCTGCCAGCATTTGCTGGGGTAAGCAGCGACATCGCAACAATCTAACACTCCGTAACCCCCCCCCCCCTATAAGCCCTAAAACCCCAAACCCAAAACCTTAGTTAACCCCCAAGCCCAAACCCTAAACCCTCAACCACGAGCCCTACAGCCAATAACACCATCCCCACAAAGACACTGCATTCAGGGATGAGGGTCAAGGGTTTGAGGGCTTACATCAGAGGGTCGAGAAGGAGCCGACTAAAGCCAGAACATCAAGTCCTCACTCGGATGAACCCACCTGAACAACCCACGACATAGCAAGCTTGAAGCCGCTCATAATCACACATCCATGGATCCATGGAGCCCGAGCATCCACAGCAACTAAATCCGGCAAGTCAGAACCCCTAGAGCTCTAAGCCCTTGCACCTTCAAAGCTTAAACAACCTGGATCCGAGGCTTGAGAGTCGGTTTGAGATGCCGCTGCCTGCTGACCCTGGGTCGCGGGCAGCTTTGCCTCTGCGCAGAAGGAGGTTTCGGGTTTGGAGCCTAGGGGGAGTAGGGGAGTTGCAGCGGTTGCGGTCTTAGAATCCGAGACCCTGAAGCCCTAAAAACCTGAAGTCGTGCTAAGCCAGTGTAAGCCACCCGTGGTGCGATGATACTATTTCCACGTAAAATGGAAGGGGCCCAAATCCGTCCATGAAACTCCTACCCTAAACCCTAAACCCTACACCCTAAACCCTAAACCCTAGACCACAGCGCCTCCACCCAGCTTCGTCGCGCTCCATCCCGCACCCAAGCGGGCGGAGGACCTTCGGAAAGGGACCCTGAACCTGCAAAGCGTGAGCCCTGAGAGGCCTAAATCCCAAGCCCCAAAACCTCAGAAGCCGACAAACCCTCCACCTGAAAAAGGTCAGAAAGCCCCGAAACCCCCGGTCGCAGGGCTGTGTGCGCTGTATTTTGGTCCCAGGGGTTGCCACGAGCACGTCTCAAGGTGTAGGGTCTGAAGACTTAGGGTGAACACCCTAAACCCTAAACCCTAAACCCTAAACCCCAAAAGCCGGAACCCTGAAGGCTTCCAGGATCAAGACCCAAGGCATGGCGGCGGATACGCCCCAAACACGCATTATGTCAGGCTCCCCCCTGAAGAGCCAGGCAAAAAGTCAAACACGTGGTGTACAATACCATCTACTGGATATTGTTCAACGGACAAGGTAATATGTAGAGAGGAGAAAAGAGAAAGAGAGAGAGAGAGAGAGTGTGTGTGTGTGTGTGCGTGTCTAATGTTTTACATACAGAACATAAACCTGAGCCTAAACATTGACACTAACGTTAACATTAACATTAAATTTAGCATTAACATTAGCATAAACATTAGCATTAACGTTGACATTAACATTGACATTATCATTAACCTTAACATGAGCGTTAAACGGTAGCATAAGCATTAGCATGACGTTTACGGGAACATGAACATGAACATGAACATGAACATGAACATGAACATGAACATGAACATGAACATGAACATGAACAGTAAACATCAGCATTAACATTAACATTACCATTAACATTAACATTAACAGTAACCGTAACATTAACATTAACACTAGCATACGCATATACACATACACATACACATACACCTGCACCTACACCTACACGTACGCATACACACGCACATACGCATACACACATGCGTACATACATGCAGACATACATACATGGACACATGGGTAGGCGGGTGAACAAGTGTGTGCGTGTATATGATTTATATATATATATACATATATATATATATATATGTGCATGCGTAGTCAACCCTTGTGCTCAAACGCAATGCTTCGCCAGGGGCCTCAGGTCGTCGAAGCCAAAGCCCAGCTGCCCGTATGCTCCGAAGCCCCAAAGGTACAGCAAGCCGCCTGAGTCAGGCCCCAGTCGTGCGGTAGGTTTCGGGGTTTGGGATCCTGAGACTCCAAGCAAGGTTTAGGGTTGCGGCGTTCAGGGTTTAGGGGTGTGGGCTGGTTGTTTGCGGCTTTAGGCACTTCATTGCCCAGGCACCGTCGGTTACGCAGGCTGCATGCGAGAATCCCGCAGCCACCTGCCAGCCAAGCGCTGTCAGATGCCGGCACTATACCCTCACCCTCACAAGAACAACTATGTGGTTTGTTGTATATCCTTCGCCTTGAGAGTCAAAATTTTGATGTGCTTGTAGCACAAAAAACCTTTGGGTTCAGGCAAGGATGCTGATACTTTTAACATAGCACAGTTAGCGGACGGAGGAGTGGGTGGGGGGGGGGGGGGTGACGCGGAAAATCCGTACCAGCAGCATGTTTCCGCAGAGTAGCATCTTGGGGGGTGGGGGGTGGGGGACCAGACCCCTCTGCCAGGAGCAGCTCGCGCACAATTGATTCCTCCCCACCCGCAGTACCCATTTCTCGGGCTGGCCGGGCTGGAAATCAGTGCTTCGGCGTACCTCACGTTTCCTGTCCCAGAATAAACAAACCTTGCGTACTGTTCGAGAAGCCTGGAATACTTGGAGATAAGTGCCTGAGGGATGGGATGGGGGGGGGTTGTGTTTGGGTTCTAGTAGGAAGTGAATAGGAGACAGAGAGAGAGAGAACAGAGAGAGAGAGGGAGTACTCCCTCACCCAGTACCTGGCTGGGCAAGCGCAACAATGCTCTACTCTCTCCTATTCACCGCCCATTAAACACCAAATCACTGCCCGCCCTTCCTGCCTGGGTTACCTTGACCTGGTACAGCGCGTCTACCTCAGTGTCTGGGCGATGGGTGCGGTTTAGGGACTTGGGGCCGTGCAGGCGGGGTTTAGGGTTTAGGGTCCAGCCTCGTGGTTTCGGTACTAATGGTCTATTAACATAATTGTGGGGGTGCGGGGGGGGGGGGCTTTTCAGGCCAAGTCGCAGTGCTTGCATTGGGTTGGGGAGTGAGAGCTGCTGATTTTTTGGGTTTGGGCTTTCGGGTTTAGGGCTTCCGGGTGAGGGTCTGTGCAGCTGGTGGGTGCCATGGTGTTTGGGATGTGTTTGGGCCCGACCCCAAACCCCCACCCCAAACCAAATTCCCAACTCAGACTACATACTCGTGTCGTTTAGGTTTAGAGCTGCAGGGTTTATGTGTTTCGGTTTACGTTCGAGGCCTGGGGTTTCTTTTCATGCTTGAGACTGATCCACGATCCCAAGCGTCAAACCTTACCGAGGACAACATATAGCTTGCAATGAGCGGTATCCATACCACTGGACAAACCCTTCTCTTGTAAGGTTACGCAGAACCCTAAACCCTAAACCGTAAACCCTGGATTTTCATCCTGAACCCTAGAGGCCCCGCAACCTAAACTCGCGGAGCGGCGGGCTTTGGCGTGGCTGCACCACGCACAGAAGCACCCAGTCCCAGCTCGCCTAGACATGATTTCGGGTTCAGTGTTGGGGCCCTTTGTGGTTTAGCTTTTGGGTTTAGGGTCGAAAGTTCATGTTGTTTTTGAGGCTTGACCCAAATGAGGCCAGCTTCTGTAAAATAGAGGCCCTTAGAAGGAAGACCTCAACAAAAAAGAAAGGGAGTGGGGGGGGTACCCTGATTGAATCAACCCCTCCAACGGGCTTTAATCGTAGGCTTCGGCTTTGTTTAGGTTTTAGGTTCATTCCCAGAGGAAGATGGCAAGCGACCAAACGCTTGGCGACGTGCCGCTGCAACGTTCTGTGGGCACGGCTTTGCCTGCTCCTTTTCAAGTTGGGCTCTCATTCAACAGAGGAGATGGCGATGCAGGGGACAGGATGTCTGGTGGTGATGATGATGCTGAGAGGAAGAGGAGGAACATGATGAGGATCATGAGGAGAAGCAGGAGGTTGAAGGCAGATACTGCTCCTAGTTGCAAAGAAGGACTCCGATTTAGCGAAAGGTGGGGCTTGGCATATCTGACTTTGGCTTCAGAGGCTTGCGCAGGAGACGCGCCATCAAGCACCCATCTTCTAAGCCCTAGACCATGGACGGCTAAAAGGAAGTCGAGGGTGGCTGAATAAGAGCTCTTGCTTCTTCACGCTGGATGTATAGTTTCAGGTTCTACACTATGCAGTGAGCCTGGCCAGATTGTCAGATTAGCACTCTCCCCTAAACCCAACACCCCTGTAGCGCTCTTTTCTGTCGCGAAGTGCGCGCGTCTCTTTTCAAGAATGATTTCCAAACTGCCTGCAGAAGTCGCAAGCTCGGTCTTTCAGCCATCGCTGGCAATCGAGAATAATTACGTATTCTTCGACCCCAAAGCCATGAAGCTTTGAGGCAGCTTATGTACAGCTCCAAGTTTACAACTTGAAGGCCTTACCTGCACAAGCTGAACTGGACAAGGCACCACAAGACTCAGTCTATATATGACTCAGTCTCCGTGACCGTGTCGAGTTCCTTCGTCGACAGCGATGGGCTCGGGTGTGGGGGCCAAGAGACGTTCTCCGATTTAGGGCTTTTGGTTTCGGGGGAGTGTGCAGTAAGCGACTGAGAAACACAAGCAGTTGTGAAATCGGGATTTGCGACTACAGCTGCCAAGAGAAGCACAGTGGAAAAAAGTGCATGGCAATTGGTGACACTTATATTATGATCTCAGTATAAACAAGGATTATAGCGTACAAGCGAATACAATAAGTGAATGGGGTACGAAATGATCCAGAAAATCGTTCACTTGTGCGTAAATTTCCTGTCCAGTTAGTTCTTTTTACCCACGCCCTATTAATATTCTCTAAACACACCCCGAGAATAGGATGAATGCTGCGGACAAGTGCGTTTAGAAAGTTATAAATTCTGTGTCACGGTGTTCTCTGCTTTTCTATCAGCATTTCCAAGTCAATATTCCTACGGAAATTTGGCTGCCAAAGCATGAACATCTGGTAAGGGGCATCATCCTACAGGGCTACAGGGATGCGCAATGAAATGTTCCAGCTGGCTTACCAAAAGAAGCAGCAAATGATCAATCACAATCTTTACCTGCGGCACAGCCATCTGTCCAGATGCTCACGCAAGAGACACCAAACAAGGAGGCATGTGTAGAGTTTTAGGGTCTGCCATGTGCCTCGGCCAATAGTCGGCCCGCCGACGCAAACCACCCGACCGATTTGACGGTCGCGCGTGTCGTATTGTCATACTTCTCGATTCGTCGCAACACAACATGTCATGCACGTGCAGGCAGCTGAAACGAGGACGAAAACCAATTCTCAACATGACGACAACATGAACTCGCCAGGAGGAACTTATGCCAATGAGATGCACAAGCCACCCTACTCAAAAATGCGCCCAAGGATCCGAGCCCAACCGAGCCCCCCGGCGATCTGCCTGCACAAAGTTGTAGAGCTGCAGTTTGAAGTAAATGGGCTGTGCGGAGAGGTCTGAAACATCCTTGGCTTCGGAGTTAAGGGTTTTCGACCAGGGGCTCGAGGTTTGGACCTTAAGGTCTAGGAGTCAGGGTTCAGGTGTGGAGATTTGCCCTTCCGTCTGGAGGTGGAGCTTTAGCAACCACCCTACACTCGCACTTCCTAGCCGAGCTCCGAAAGCCAACGCCTCGAAGTCCTAAACCCTAACCCTAAAACTCTAAACCCGTCGGGGCTCTGGGTTGATGTTCGGAGCCCTCACAAGGGAGAGGTGCGAGCAGTCTGCAAGGAGGCAACCTTCGCTGTCTGCAATGCCGGGCAGATGGACCTGTTGCGTTTAGGGTTTCGGATTTAGGGCTTATATGGGGGGGTTTAAGGGAGTTGGGGTTGATGGTTTAGGGTTTGGGGTTTAGGGATTACTTGAGCATTTGGCCCAGAGCATGAAACCCTGAATCCCATACATCCCCTTATCCCCCGAGACCGCGCCTGTTCTGCTTTCAACTGCAGCTTCGATGCTTCTACAAAAGTGTTTGTGAACCCTTGCCTAACCTCTACACACCCTTAAACGCTAAGCCCCTAAAGCCCAAACCCTAAACCCTTTCTCCACCAAGGCGCGTGCAGCGGACCAAGGCTCCGAGGAACGAATTCCTGGGATGTGTCGTGTGCATTCCAAATAGCCTCACCTTGGCAGATCCAAGCACCCTAAACCCTAAACCCTAAACCCTAAACCCTAAACCCTAAACCCTAAACCCTAAACCCTAAACCCTAAACTCTTAGGGTCTGGGATTTAGGGTTGTTTGCTTGCAGGGCTTAGGTGTTAGGACTGGCCTTAGACCCTTGAACTTCGCAGCCCCAAAGCTTTCAAGAATAGACTGAGAGCCACAGCTTCCAGCAGGAGTTTCAACAACGGAGCAACTACTGGGCGGCATTATCTCACCCTAAGCCCTAAACCCTGGACCTTCTCACTGAATCACCCTAAACCCTAAACTTAAACCCTAAACCCTAAGCCCTGAACCCACAACCCTGGACCCAACCCTGGAGCCGCGTCACCCGGCGGGGTCTGTAAACCCTATAAGCACTAATCCCAATACACCCCCCTACCCCCTAAACCCTACACCTTGGGATGTTCCTATAGGACCCTCCATGATAATCCGTATTAAGGACTGCCAGTAAACCATAAAGCCAAAACCCCCTTAACCAACACCTTGCCATGCTCCCATTATACTAACAGTCCTTTATAGGGATTGTAGTTACCCCCCCCCCCTCCCAATATGTTAGGAAAAAGGGGCAACATCCCAACCCGAAACCCGAAACCCTAAACCCGAAACCCTAAATTTAAACCCTAAACCCTAAACCCCCGAACTGAAGGCCAGCGAAGCCAGGGAACGCAAGTTGGGAAGGTTAGCCTTCCATTCCTCAGAGGATTTAAGGTTCAGGGTTTCGGGTTTCGGGTTTGGGGTTTAGGGTTTCGGGTTCGGGTTTCGGGTTTAGGGTTTAGAGTTGAGGGTTTAAGTTGACTTCGGGTTTATGGCACAGTTAAGGTTGGGAGTGTATTCCGGCCCTTGGGCAATCCGCACATGCAGCTTCTGGGGTTTAGGGTCAGTGCTAGGTCGAGGAAGGCTCGATTCCTAAAAACATATGTAAGCCCAGAACCCTAAACCCCTAAAAGGAATGACAGCCAAACACCCTTAACCTTAACTTGCCCTAAACCCTAACCCAAAACCCTCAGCCCTAAACGAAGAAAAACAATCCCTCAACCATCGGCCTGGGAAGGGATTGCCCGCTTCAGGCAGGGCATGCTGTGGACGTCATCCAGCCGAGCAAAGCGCACCCGCACCTCCTTGATGTCAAACCACTCCTCATAGGACTTGCGGGTCTTAAGGTTTAGGCCTTGGGGATTAGGGGCAGGGTCTGGGATCTCGGGGCATTGGGTCGCACGAAGGGTTGAGGCTTCAAAAGCTTACTGCTCAGAGTTTCCGGGCTTCACGGCCTTCAGGGGCCACAGGTTGGCTAGGGGCTTAGGGCTTCAGGTTTCGGATTCTGGGATTCCAGGTGTTGGGCATGGGGGGGAACGGTCACATGCTGGTAAGCGTGCGTGAATGCCTGATAGGCTTTTCGGGTCTGGGGGGGAACCCTCTCAATCCTAAACCTGCCTGCGCAGTTCAATTGTTAACCCTAAACGTAAATATAGGGCCCCAAGAGTTTACATAAGACCCTTGAATTTTTGCACGTAGGGCTTAGGGTTTAGGGTTTAGGGTTTAGGGTTTTTCGCTGCGAGTGCGCTTCGACCCCCTCCATGAAGTGGTTGGGGGTCGGCGCATGAGCTGCAATGCCCCCCCTCCCACCCAAAATACAAACCTTGGACGGGTTTAGGGTTGTCTACCCCCCTACCCCCCTATCAAGGGGGGATACATGGTTTGGTGGAGCAGAAGCAAACGTTTAGCAACCGTGACAAAATCATGAGAAGATCTTTGCCTTTCAACATGAACCACCGTCAGCAGTATCGACTCGGTTCCACTCCGCAGTTCTTCGAAACCTTCTCAAGGTTGGACGTTTAGCCCTTTCAGGATTGGCTGCGGCAAAAGCGGCAGGCTCGACTCGATTCCACTCCGTGGTCTTGGCAAACTTTCAATTCATGTTCAATGCCTCCAAGCCCTTACTTCCGGGCTTTAATTTTAGGTTCCCAAACCTTTTTTGTCAGCCTCCGGGCCTTAATGTTAAGTTCCCAAACACTTATTTCAAGCCTCCGGCTTAATTTTCGGTCCCCAAACCCTTAATTTAAGCTTCGGGCTTCAATTTTAGGCTCCCAAACTCTTAATTTAAGCCTGCGGGCTTCAATTTTAGGTTCCCAAACGCTGAATTTAAGCCTTGGGGCCTTAATTGCAGGTTCCCAAACCCTAAAAAGCCTCGAGGCCTTAATTTTAGGTCCACTCCGCAGTTCTTCGAAACCTTCTCAAGGTTGGACGTTTAGCCCTCTCAGGATTGGCTGCGGCAAAAGCGGCAGGCTCGACTCGATTCCACTCCGTGGTCTTGGCAAACTTTCAATTCATGTTCAATGCCTCCAAGCCCTTACTTCCGGGCTTTAATTTTAGGTTCCCAAACCTTTTTTGTCAGCCTCCGAACCTTAATGTTAAGTTCCCAAACACTTATTTCAAGCCTCCGGCTTAATTTTCGGTCCCCAAACCCTTAATTTAAGCTTCGGGCTTCAATTTTAGGCTCCCAAACTCTTAATTTAAGCCTGCGGGCTTCAATTTTAGGTTCCCAAACGCTGAATTTAAGCCTTGGGGCCTTAATTGCAGGTTCCCAAACCCTAAAAAGCCTCGAGGCCTTAATTTTAGGTCCACTCCGCAGTTCTTCGAAACCTTCTCAAGGTTGGACGTTTAGCCCTTTCAGGATTGGCTGCGGCAAAAGCGGCAGGCTCGACTCGATTCCACTCCGTGGTCTTGGCAAACTTTCAATTCATGTTCAATGCCTCCAAGCCCTTACTTCCGGGCTTTAATTTTAGGTTCCCAAACCTTTTTTGTCAGCCTCCGGGCCTTAATGTTAAGTTCCCAAACACTTATTTCAAGCCTCCGGCTTAATTTTCGGTCCCCAAACCCTTAATTTAAGCTTCGGGCTTCAATTTTAGGCTCCCAAACTCTTAATTTAAGCCTGCGGGCTTCAATTTTAGGTTCCCAAACGCTGAATTTAAGCCTTGGGGCCTTAATTGCAGGTTCCCAAACCCTAAAAAGCCTCGAGGCCTTAATTTTAGGTCCACTCCGCAGTTCTTCGAAACCTTCTCAAGGTTGGACGTTTAGCCCTTTCAGGATTGGCTGCGGCAAAAGCGGCAGGCTCGACTCGATTCCACTCCGTGGTCTTGGCAAACTTTCAATTCATGTTCAATGCCTCCAAGCCCTTACTTCCGGGCTTTAATTTTAGGTTCCCAAACCTTTTTTGTCAGCCTCCGAACCTTAATGTTAAGTTCCCAAACACTTATTTCAAGCCTCCGGCTTAATTTTCGGTCCCCAAACCCTTAATTTAAGCTTCGGGCTTCAATTTTAGGCTCCCAAACTCTTAATTTAAGCCTGCGGGCTTCAATTTTAGGTTCCCAAACGCTGAATTTAAGCCTTGGGGCCTTAATTGCAGGTTCCCAAACCCTAAAAAGCCTCGAGGCCTTAATTTTAGGTCCACTCCGCAGTTCTTCGAAACCTTCTCAAGGTTGGACGTTTAGCCCTCTCAGGATTGGCTGCGGCAAAAGCGGCAGGCTCGACTCGATTCCACTCCGTGGTCTTGGCAAACTTTCAATTCATGTTCAATGCCTCCAAGCCCTTACTTCCGGGCTTTAATTTTAGGTTCCCAAACCTTTTTTTGTAAGCCTCCGGGCCTTAATGTTAAGTTCCCAAACACTTATTTTAAGCCTCCAGCTTAATTTTCGGTCCCCAAATCCTGAATTTAAGCTTCAATTTTGGGCTCCCAAACTCTTAATTTAAGCCTGCGGGCTTCAATTTTAGGTTCCCAAACGCTGAATTTAAGCCTTGGGGCCTTAATTTCAGGTTCCCAAACCCTAAAAAGCTTCCAGGCCATAATTTTAGGTTCCCAAACCCTGAATTTAAGCCTCCGGGCCCTAACGGGCCTTATTTTTAAGTTCCCAAGCCCTTAATTTCAGCCTCCGGGCCTTAATTTTAGGTTCCCAAACCCTCAATTTTAGGTTCCCAAAGTCTCCGGGCCTTCATGAACCCAGGGGGAGGTTTTCAAGCGTGCCCGGTCGTTTGGCGCTGGGTTTAGGGCTATCTTTATATAGGCTGACAGAAGCGGCCTATTCGAGCGCCGCGTGGACCTGAGGTCCAGGACCCTACGGCTCGCCTTTCGGCCTTCGCCTACGGGTCCGCAGGCCCCTGCCGGTGGCCTGCTAACGACCGGCCCCTATCGCTGGAAAGGGGGCCGGTCTTCAGTTTAGGGTTTAGGGTTTAGGGTTTAGGGTTTAGGGTTTAGGGTTCAGGGTTCAGGGCTCAGGGTTCAGGGTTCAGGGTTCAGGGTTTGAGGGCAGATCCCTGAACCCAGAAACCTTCGAACCCTAAACAGCTGCGCATCGTTTGTATGGTGCCTACTAAATAGAGAGCTAGGCCCCAAGCCTGGCCGTAAACCCTAATTCAGAATCCAGTTTCAGGAAGGGCCTAGCAATCGCAACTACTCCACGCAGACCCGGACCTACAAAACTGCTCATTTTGGGGGTTTACAGAGTAGGTGTATCAGGGCCTTCGCGGCTGAAACAATTTGGGGGCTTTGGGGCTTTGGGGGTTTAAGGGTTAAAGGATTCAGAGCCTTAAGGGGCTAAGTCTGTAGTTGTAATGCCTTACAGTGTTTACGGCAATTATCGCGACTTTGGTTTAGGGGGTTTACGCGTTAGGGCAGAAACTCGCGTTGAACCAAGGACCCCGAAGTCCGAGGGGCCGTCTGCCCGTCCAGGAAGAGGTTGACGTCGACCATCTCCGGCCAGGAAACCAGTCTCAGCAGTCCGATGACTGATACGATTTGGGGCCTTAAGGGGTTTAGGGCTCCGGAGTTTTTGCATGTGTTAGATGGCTTGAAGTTGGAGTAGTAGGCTCCTTAGACTACCCTTATAAGCCCACCCTTCACCCTGCGTCCGGGAAACGGCATCTGAGTGTGACCACGGGACTGAGACGAGGAGAGCGGCGCTGAAGAGGCTAAGCGATATTGCCGAGCAGCCTGGAATTTTGGGGCTTCAGGCTTCAGGGGTTATCCGTAAACGCTGAAACTGCTGCCAGCAGGGAAAGGGCGGCATCTTACTGTAGGTCCTTCTCCTGCAACGTTTGCGCTGGGCCGACACACTTACAGCCTTCCGACAGGCCGTGTACACGCTGCCATGTTGAAAACGTTGAAAGTCTTGCATCTCTGCATGCAGTCCCTTGCCGCATGTAGTGCTTAGTTCGTGGCATCGGCAGGAACATCTTTCTGTGTAAAGACTGCACGTCATGTTTCACAATGCACAGCCACACAACCAGCCATCCACCCATACCCGCCTGCACGCAGGCACGAATGCCCACAGGTACAAGTGCACTCGCCCAAACACCCGTGCACATGTCAACGCACCCAAGCACACGACCACGGACAGCACACACCTCACGAAAGATCTGCAAAGTCACTAGATGAATAGCTGCAAACCAACCCCAGATGTAGATAAGGCCTTCATGCTTGAACCTTAAACTGGAGTACCTAGACGGGTACGCCGTCCCTAAGCTAGCCAAAAAGCCAAACTCACGATTGGGCCTGTGCAATCGCGGCTTGATCCACAAACGGCCCGGCGCCCTGGACGTGCGGTTCGTCAGAAGCCTCTGGATCTTCCTCTGCTGCCCATATCTGCCCATTCAGGGTTCAAGGTGCAATGGGAACCTATAGGACCCAGGACCCTCCGCCTTCATGGTGGTAAAACAGGCCCCAAGCAGCTGTTCGGGCCCGCTAACAGCCCTGAAATCTTTAAAGCCCGAGCAAACAAAAACAGGAATCCGCGATGAACCGAACTCCATCGATCTAAGGCCGTTTTAAGCTCGGAGCGCTTGTTGGGGAAGGGGGGGGGGGGGGCACCTATCGCCTCTGCTTTTCTCTTGATGCGGAATTCTCAGGAGAACTTAGATTGCGGTGAGGAAACTGATAATCCGAAAATCCAGCGGGTATATTCTGCCGCAAACCTGTATATGAAAAAGCAAAACGGCTGCTCGTAAAAGCTGGGCGTCTTTTATGCCCAGGATGAAGCGATGCTCTTTGCCAATCCTGTCTGAGCAGCGAGTCCTGCCCGGGAGGTAGACAAGGAAGGCGTCACCCTTCACCTGGCTGCCATTGGCCTTTCTCCTTGGCTTCACGAAAAGAATCTGGATGTTTACGACGTTCGAGTTACTTTATTGGGGTCGTTATGAAGCCCTCCCCCCCCCAAATAGCAGGGTCCCTGAGAAAACCCTACTATTTTTGGGGGAGGGCGGGGGAGGGGCGGGGAGGGGGGACGGGGGGAGGGGACGGGGGAGGGGGGGGGTCCATTATACTAGGGCAGACACTAGAGCGAGCAAATGAAGGCCACTGAGAACGAGCATCAAGCCCAAACGCATGGCCGGAGGAACCAAGTGAGCCAAGTTGGCGAGCTTGCCAGCGTATTCTGAAGAGCTCCTCTTGGTAAACGTCAGGAAGGTCTCGATGGCCTCGTATATGGAGGTCTTGAAAATTAGGGTGTTCTTATGTTTTATGCTTCGTGCTTTGTTTCGGGGGGGGAGGCATGTCAAGGAGATTATACTCTATTTGCAGGGGCAGGGCTGAGGCAGTAACAACAACATGAAGCAAAACGCCGTTGTGAAGTCTTCATAAACACTGCCTTGGCTTCCACCACAACTAGTCCACTAACCCAATCGCTTCTGCTCTGTGATTGGGTTGACCGCACTGCCGACCTGTGAACCCGTTCAACCGCTAATATGGTGAATGGGTTAACCCGCTAGTCCCAGGATTTTTGGCCATTCATTGGGGCATCGGGTAAAGGTCTAGAACATCATCGGGCGAAGTTGGCTGGGTCAACAGAACAATCATGGCGCCAGACTGATGGGGTTGACGGGTAAATTGTTAAAGGGTAGGGGCCAACATGATTGGCTTGACTGGGTTCTTTGGTTACCTGGCTAACTCAATCATGGGGCCAACCGATTGAGTTCATGGATTTTGGTCTAATGGACAACTTCCAGCCAATTAGGGTATTCTTATGTTTTGTCTTTGTTGCTTTGTTTCGGGGGGGGGGGGGGGTGAGGCATGTCAAGGCGATTATACTCTATTTACGGGGGGGCAGGGCTGAGGAAGTAACAACAACATGAAGCAAAACGCCGTTGCGAAGTCTTCATAAGCACTGCCTTGGCTTTCACCACAATTAGTCCACTAACCTCTGCTGATAAACCGGACGGTGTTTATGAACAGCCCCCAGTTATAAAAAGTGCAGGCTTCGTCTTCTTGCTGAGACCTCGAAGGGTCAACCTCAATGAATGAGTTAATGGCACAACTGCCGGGTCGAGTGGGTCACGTGAGCTGACAAAGGCCCAGCCAATGCTCATGATGCTCCAACCACGCGGGAATTTGGCTTTGCAAGCGTCTGGAAGGGGACCACATTGTGGCCCGACAAAGTACCCCATATCCCCCTGTATATACACTTTAAGGGATTATGTATGGTATCTTATTCCCCCATTCCCTACCAACAGTAAGCATCCTGCGTCAGTTGTGTCCATTTTGCTGAGTCACTGAGGCAGCTAGTTTTGAAGGCATCCGGTGTCTAAACGGCCCAAACACAGGGCCACATGATGGGGTTCATGGGTTACTGGGTTCATCGGTCAGCCACCCAAACTGATTAAGAGGATGGGTCAATGGATCACCGGGTTGCCGAATTAATCCAATCATGGATGGTCTCGGACCCAGATAAATCACAGAACCAACAGCGAAATTCACAAAACGCAGGGTGGATCAGCGGGTTGAGGGTTTCAAGGCCTCGTCTGGAAGTACATCCAGGAACGACGTGCCAACTAGGCCTTGACGCTCAAGCAACAACTCCAGCGCAGTTGGCCTCGCAGGGTCTTGGTGTTGTGTGAAGGTTGAGGGTTTAGGGTGCGGTGTTGAGGGTTGAGGGCTTGGCCTTTCTGAGATCATGAAGTGGCTGTCCAGCACCACTTCCGCATCCATGGAGCTTCGAAGCATACCTGTGCAAAACAGACATCTGCCATGAGAGTGCCCCCATAGCCCTTCAAATACACCCAAACCCCTCAGAGTTGACTCAACAACAAACATTGTTTGGTTCGCCCAACCTCTGAAGCCTGCCAAGGCATCCTTTGCGTCCAGCTCGGACTCGGCGATCATTCTTGCCATTTGCTCGACGATGGCACAGAGAGCGAGTGAATTGATGTACCGAATAAGGTTGCTGAAGAAGGCGTTGGGGAGGGCAGTGTCATAGACCACACTCTGGCTCCAGGAGTCAGCTATAAAAACCAAGGTAAGGAAGGGAGCCGCAAACTTGACGTCGTGCTGAGCAACTCCTTGGCTTGCAAAGGTGTTCATGAAGGTTTTTGGCCTTCTTGCTGCTACCCGAATCTTGGCGAATTTAGGGTTTACGGCTCAGGGCTTGGAGTGTTATGTGTCTGTTGCTTCCGTTTAGGGGTGGGCAAGCTGCGCATTTGGGCTGAGTGCCGTGGCGAGCGTCCGCAAGACAGCGCAAGCAACATGTCCAGCTGGTGACTTGTACTGTGATGCGCAACATCGGCAGAAGCTGCGAGCAAAGCACGCAAGAAGCACATCACCATTACTCCCGCAAACATGGTACGGAGCCTCCATATGGTGATGGATGCTTGCTTGAAGCAGATCTCGATCGTTTGGACGTATAGGAGGCCCCAGAGACATAGCCGGGAGACGGTCAGCAGGCTTGGGTTTCTAGCCGCATCAAAGAGTATCCAGCCAACAACGAAGGGCATGGAATGCACTGTGGTCGTGGATCCCCATACCTGCATGAGTACGATTTGCTCCTCAACTTTCGCCGTCAATCCTCAGCGATCAGAAAAAGATGCAAGAAAGTAGGTGCAAAGCGGCTGTCTAACGTGCCCTAAACCGCAGCGCTACAGTTGATCCATGCTGGTGCGAAGCTTTTCAGAACGGTTTGGCCCTGTCAGGTTCAGTTTAGACGCCTGAGAACCGCATTCCGCCGACCTAGCATGAGTGCACTGACCACCAGGAGTCTGACAAAGAAAAAGTTGCATTCAAAGCCAGTCAGCTATGTCTACGACAGGGTTGTAATAAGTAAGCAACTAAACCCTTCTGAAATGGTGTGCAGAGCCTTCCGGGCACGCTGAGAAAAGTGTCAAGCGCCCAAGAGTTCTTTCAACCCCTAACTGGAGTAAAACAAAAGCTCGAGATTGCAGCACATCTAGGGTTCGTGAAACCTCAAACGTCTATCCACAACCATTACCTTGACACTGACGTTGCAAAGAGCTTTGCATACAACATCCAAAGGAATCGCGGGTGAAACTACAGGGTCTAGAGCGAACGGCATTGCAGGCACTGGCATTACAGGTAGTGCCTAGCAATCTCCTGGATCTGACAATATCCTTAAACCCTAAACCCTAAACCCTAAACCCTAAACCCTAAACCCTAAACCCTAAACCCTAAACCCCAACCCTAAACCCTAAACCCCAAAACATGACTTTTGTGGCTTCTCATGGTTCGCGATGCGGGCCTGCTACAAGCACAGCCTGAAGGATGTCAAACATGGGGCATACATGCATGCTGGTTGCCTGGACTAGAATATAGTAGTCATAGCAACAAGCACTAGAAAAACAATCCCGGTTATAGTCAGCGTACGTATGGGCCAAATCAATGTACCAGCGGTAGCAAATAGCAAGAGCAAAGTTACAGTCAAGCCCATAGCAATAGTACTCAAAGTAATGGTAGAACTAATAACCCTAAACCCTAAACCCTAAACCCTAGTAGAACTAGTACTTATCCATATACGGACCGACTTGCATCGGCTTCGAGTCTCTTTTCTATGCACTTGAGAAGCCTCGGAAGCCTGTTGGGCCCTTTAATCCCATGGCAGGCAGACACCTTCCGAGGTCTTAGGGTTTAGGGTTTAGGGTTTAGGGTTTAGGGTTTAGGGTTTAGGGTTTAGGGTTTAGGGTTTAGGGTTGTGATTTCCGCTCGTTTTACGTACGTGGCTGCCTTTGTCGGCCGTATGCCAATGCTCTTAAGTAATTGCATGTTTTTTTGTATCTGCTTTGCGTGCGAAACTCCCTTCTCACCATAGGATTGACACATGTTTTTACCTGCTGCTTTTCGTTTGTCTCCTGCATCCGTCTTATTGTGTTGTCGGCTGTCCATTGTTTTCAATCCTTGCAATGTGGCAAACAATCCCTGCACTTGACTCCGCGTTGTTCGACGTTTTGCTGGTGTCGTTTTGCTTCGGCCAAAGACTGACAATTAGCAAAACAAACGAAACTCTCCGGTGCAAAAAACTCTTCTGCACAAACAACATTGTATCATACATTATCGCTGATGTATTCTGGGATACATTGTACATTGAGTACATTAAGTCGTTGGAATGTAAAGACCAGCGCCGGGATCCGAGAGCTTCCGAATATGCGGCTCTTTATGGGCAGATCTCGGACTCGAAAAAAACCTGCGGCTGGTCTCGACCCTTTACTGAAGAATGAAGGGAGCCCCAGTGATCGGAAATGAAGGAGCTGTTTCCGTTTTTCACAAGAATGGAAGAGCCCCCGTCTAACTCCGAGAGGTCCACAACCAGCATACAAGCGTATTTTTGTACGTGTATATTTGTACATTGGGATGTTCTCCCTTATACTAACAGTCCTTACTAAGGATTAGACTTGGGAGCTACTGTAATCCCGACTAAGGCATACTTTCTTTGCTGCTGTTCCGGGAGGGCGGAGGGGGGGTGGGGAGAAAGCCTCAAAACTGGGACCGATAACCTCCCAAAAAAAGCCAAACAGGCCAAGGGCTCAGGAAAGGAGGCCCATACGGCCAATACGGTTTTACTCTAAAGACCTCCCTGAGAAGCCGGTGGGCGCGAATCACCCTCCTTCTGCATGAACATGAAAACCGCCTTCTTCGCGATGGTGGCCATCACATCAATCGGGTGGCCCTTCACTCCTCAGCTTTGGTAGGGTTTGGGAGGGTTTAGGTTTAGGGCCTAGAGAGAGCTTAGGGCCTTGCAACAATAAAGCTCAGCCCGAAGCCACCCGACTCGATCAGGCCCGTAATCGAATAGAATCCCTACAAAAAGGAACTGCCAAGAATGGGAAGCTGCCAAAAGACATCAAGCACACAGCACAGAGAAGCCTGCAAAGTCCCCTGATATGGGCTTCTTCAGCTGCCAAGTCTGGGTCTCCCTAATCAAGGCCCTGATCCGAAGCCCCTTACAAGAACAAATTGAGTTCATGTGTCCGAGCAGTTTGACGTGACACATGACAAAGACTCCCACGACGAGGCATGCCACGCCCAACGGCAACATGGCTCTGAGAATCTTCGAACTTAAAATCGATTCAAACAAATGGGCAAGAAGACCAATACGGCAACTCCTTGATCCTGCTGCGGAAACGATGCGAGCTTCGATCAACCCGGGCTTGCACACAGAATGCGGAATCAGCCTGCAGGTTTGGTTTATCAGATTTCTGGGGTTTAAGGGTTAGGGTCAGCGGGTTGGGATCTGAGGACATGCAAAGGCCAGCACCGTCACTGCCAAGCTAAGTGTCCTGCACTTCTCGTTGCTGCCCCAACTGTACACCTCGGGGTTTACTTTGCGCGGTAACCGAGTTGGAAAGCACATGCTACAGTCTGCCCAGGCTTCAGCATTGGGAATTGAGAGACACCCGTATTTGCTAAGAATTCTCCTGCTGGACCTTAATTTTTCTTTGGGGCGTGGGGTGGCGGGGAGACGTTCCATGGAGGCTGGGCCTGGCATGCTGCGTACTCCTGTGCTGGCAGTGGCGTCCTTGCGGGGAGAAAAGGAATCATGCGCTGCTGCCCCGCTCGACACGTCGACAGCTGACTGACTCCTTGCGCACAAAAGTGAAGGCGCGCAAGACTCGACAGAACAGCCGGGCTGGGTTAGGGTTTTGGATTTGGAGTTGAAGAGTTTGGGGTACGGAGTGGTACGGACATACATGTTGTAGGAAAGAAAGGGAGAATTCACATCGCCAGCAAACTCGGAGGGAGCACAAAAGGGAGATAAGAGAGCAGATACTTGAGTAGTGGGAAAAACGCAGTTGCCTGCACGACACACATGCCCAAAACCACCCAAACTCCGAAACTCCTAAACATGTTAAGCCACTAACCCTATTACCCTCAACCCCGGACCCCCAGACCCTAACTTTAAAACCATGCGCAGAAAAATTCCTATGCCCCAAACCTGAAACGCCTAAGCCTTCACTCCAAAGCCCCCAAGCCCCAAACCCCAAACCCCAAACCCCAAGCCCCAAACCCCAAACCCCAAACCCTAAACCCTGAACCCTAAACCCCCGGCAAAGCCCCAAAGGAACTCGGGCAGCCGGCCCAACCCTGCTTGGTGACAGCGAAGGAGCCTCACCGGATTACTGCCAGATTGCGGCTGAGAGGGCTTGAGGCTGTGAAGCTTCTGGGCAAATAGCTGGGCTTAGGGTTTCGAGGCTCCCGAAATAACAGCCCCTGTACATCTAGCGGATCTAGGGGGGGGGGGGGAGGGTTGCAGGAACCGAGTAGCAAGAGACTGCAGGTGCAAATCGGCGTCTACAGCTTTTGCCGCAAGAAGGTGGTTTTGGGTGTGGGCGTGGACGGGTCTCGCACCTGACTACCTGTTGGTGGTGCAGGTTCCTGAAGAACTGGTCTCTCCACTTCCATCGGTGAATCGGCCCGTCTCCATGACCCCAGCGCCTTCCCTCGTAGTCGCGGATCTCGACGACGGCATTCGGAGCGGTCTTGACGCCCTCCATCGTATCGCGTAGCTTGCGAAGTCACCGCAGGCACATCCTGTGCACATGCCGGAGTTGCGATGTCCTTTCCAGCAACTGGTACATCTCCGGATATTTCGACTGCGAGGATCCGACATTGGATGCTATTTGACGTGCCGCTGACAATGAATGCATGGCCAACGCACGCCGACCTTTGCCGATCAAGTGTCCTTTTCCTCGGACACCCACAGCTCACCCATCTACCCCAAATCTAAACCCTATGCCTCCTATCGCGTCGGCCGTGCACGCGCCACGGCGGGAAATCGACTCAATATCATATATATCTATATCTGCATACATACATACATACATACATACATACATACATACATACATACATACATGCATACATACATACATTGGGATATATAAGGGGATAAAAGGGGACACCCGTATCCCATCGAGAAGAGTTCTCTCTTTCGTTTTGCGGGCCAGCTGCCTTTGTGCTTTGGCTGACTTTGTGTTGTGGCACTGGGCGTGGCTCGGAGTGATTCTTAATGCGAAAGCTTCGACTGGACGACTGGCAGCGGCAAGGTTGTGGATATAAAACTATCAGAAGATCAATTCGAACCATACTCCCTACGATCCCACATTCCTCCTTAACATCTTCTGCAAGGTTCAAGCCTCCGGGGCGGTACCTCTTTGCACTCTGCATGAACTTAACCCCTCAATCCTGAGAATACTAAGCCCTGAGGTCTACAGAGGCCAAGATGCAGTGTAACTTTAACGACCGCCTGGGGGGGGGCATGCTGATAAAGCTCTGTATATGCTAAAACCCACACCATAAGCCCTAAACCCTACCTAGAAGCTTAGGGTTAGGGTTTAAGGTTTAGGCTCATAACCATATTCCTGTTTTTAGAACTTACGTAGCTTCCGTATGATGGTAGTGTGTAGTATGGCTTGCGTCAAACCCCTCCGCCCTGACTCAAGCGCCAAATCCCACAGCAGGAGCATTGCAGCCCAAACCCTTAAACCCTTAACCCCTTAAACCCGTAAACCCTTAAACCCGTAAACCCTTGAAGCCCTTAAACCCTTAACCCTTAAACCCCTTAAACCCTTAAACCCTTTACACCCTTAAACCCTTAATTTCTTCAACCCTGAAAACCCTTAACCTGAAACCCGTACCCAAACCTCTGGACGATTGTAAGCGCGGTGCTTGCAAATCCCGCGGCCAGTGCTTTGATGCCTCCGCGTAGGGACGATTCAAGGGGTGTGATTTAGGGTGTGGGGTTTAGGGTTTAGGGTTCAGGGTTTAGGGGCTTAGGGTTGTCATAACTTATACTGTTGCACCTGCCTTAGTATATTCCCCCCCCCCTCCCCCCGCCCCCCCCTCCGATGCTGATCTTGTCCCTCTTTAGACGGTCCCGGCGTTCTACATAAATGATTTTGAAAGGGGATGAACTTTATATGAACTTGAACGAGAGGCCCGGCAACTGATTTTAAAGGTGCGACGCACGAAAGTTTCTTACGACACTGGGAAGACTTGACTTAACTGCGGACCACCCTAGTCCCCCAAACAGTCACAGGGTCCTGAATAGCTCGGATAGACCAACATTGTTCTAATTCGTTGCGGGAAACAAGCTGAAGAACAGAAGGAATGCATGTTACATGAAATGGCCCTTCGGCCCTAACGCCAAACCCTAACAAAGCCTCAAGCCAAAACATGGCCCAGCCTCAGGTCCAGAGCTAGTCAGGGTTTAGGACTCATTGCTAGGATGTTCGCCCACGGACCCATAGCACCCAACTGTGATGTGCTACAAACCTTCCGAAACTCACATGCATGGCTGAGCACCGGGGAAATGAGTTTTTTGGGAGTTAAGGGGATGTGAAGAAGTGGAAGGCTTTCGGGTTTGAGGTTAGGGTCTTGTTGTCGAAGCAAAGGCTATGTACAAATGGTTTAAACCCTACATCATTTAACTCAAAAGCGCTCCTGGGCTCCGCACCTCCCTCGCACTCCTTCGGGAAAGACACCTTCCAAGACACCCAAAGCCCTAAAGCTTTAGGGCTCAAAAATCAAAGGTGCCCCAAAGCAGCTAAGACCCTACACCTCCGACCCCCCCCCCCCCCCCCCCCCCACCCCCCCAAACCCCCCCCCCCCCAAAAACAACCCAAACCCCCCCCCGCCCCAAAAAAAAAACAAAACCAAAGCCCCCAAAACCACGATCCAAGGCTCCTGATCGCTGAACCAGAAGCGTTTCAACACTAGGGGTGCGGGGGGGGGGGGGGACGTGCACCTTAGAGTTTCAAGCACCAGGCAAGTACCAGAAGCCCCCAGAAGCACTCAAAGCCCAGCTCCAGCAGCCAAGTTAGGGTTGAGGGTTTAGGGTTTAGGGTTTAGGGTTTAGGGTTTAGGGTTTAGGGTTTAGGGTTTAGGGTTTAGGGTTTGGGGTTTGGGGTTTGGGGTTTGGGGTTTGGGGTTTGGGGTTTAGGGTTTAGGGTTTAAGGTTTTCTGGTTTAGGGTTTAGGGTTCAGGGTTTTGAATTCAAACTTCAAACACAGTGCTACAGAGGCCTACAAGTATAGGGCCTAGTGGTGGTGAAGGTGTCTGGTAAGGACCACATTCAGGGACCAGGTAACTAATTGGCATAGTCAGACCCTGAGCCGCTGGGATTTTGAGACTGGACCGTGTCGCTACGGGTGAAACGCCCTGATTTAGGATGAGCCCCCTTTAGCAGACGACTACTGCCCAAGCTGCGGAAGGCCTTGCAGGGAGAAGGGCCTCAGCAACACTTCCGGTTCAGTTTCAGGCGCAGGGTGGGACGGTTTATGGGCGGAGACCAGACACCGAAAGCTGCGAAAGCCGACTTGGGCTCCAGGAAGTCCGGGGCCGTACAAAGCTCACTTTCTCGAGGTGTCCTGAACTCGAAACTCCAACCCTCCGGCTCCAAACACTGCCCAAGCCCCCGAAACTCTTGAAGCCTTTCTAGTCTCGCCCCCAGGCTGGACATTTGAGCAAAATGTCGCATTTTTTGTGCCCAGCAAAGGTTTGAGCAAGTTCTACTTCCCATTAGGTACGGGTTGTTTTCAAATTTATAAGTGTGTTTTGGATCTTGGCTTGGGTTTTGTGAGGTACTTGTGTTTAGGATTGTGTTATGAGACTTGTTGAGGATAATGGGGGGTGCTTCGTGTTTTGGATTTTGTTATGGGATTTGTTGACGATATTGGGAGGTGCTTTGTGTTTTGGGTTGTGTTGCGGACTATTGTGTAATTAGATCTTGGGAAGCGCTTTGTGTATTGCAGGGTTGAAGGGTGGATTTACTAGGCGGGTTGAGAAATGGGTGAAAGCGTAGGGGGGGGGGGGGAGGGGTGTTGTATGTGAGGTCTGGGGTCAGGGCAGTGCTTTGGATTTTGTTCTGTGCTTTGGGGTTTTGGTGAAGTGTTGGGAGGTGCTTTGTGTTTTGGATTGTTTTTGGGATTTCGGCGTGGGATTTGCTGGGTGGGTTTGGTTTTGGATGTGTTATGAATTATTGAGTTAGTGTCGGGGCATGCATGCTTTGTGCCCTGTGGGCTTGGCAGGGTTGATGCATTAGGCGGGTTGAGAACTTGAGGGCGGGGTATTAATTGAGTGTGAAGTGTGGGGTCAGCCATTGCTTGCTTAAACATCCCTAAACATCCCTAAACCCTAAACCCTAAACCCGAAACCCTAAACCCCAAACCCTAAACCCTAAACCCGAAACCCTAAACCACTAAACCCCTAAACCCTAAACCCGAAACCCTGAACCCAAACCCCTAACCCCTAAACCCCTAAACCCTAAACCCGAAACCCTAAACCCCAAACCCCTAAACCCCTAAACCCCTAAACCCTAAACCCGAAACCCTAAACCCCAAACCCCTCAACCCCCAAACCCCTAACCCCCAAACCCCGAAAAGCCGCCAAGGCGCAACGGCGGCATCCTCCTAGTCCCAGCTGGCCCAGGGCACCAGCGCCAAAGGCGAACACGTGGCGTTCCTTCTTTCTAGGTTTAGGGGTATAGGGTTTAGGGTTTAGGGCTTAGGGTTTCGGGCTTAGGGTTTAGGGTTTAGGGTTTAGGGGTTAGGGCTTAGGGTTTAGGGTTTAGGGTGGGGCTATTGTTCTAAACTCCGGTCTAAGTTTATGGTCTAGGGCAAGTGTGGGGTGTCTGACCTAGACTGCGCAACGGCAACAGGAATCCGGACATTCTGCGCATTCCTTGCCCCTGCTGCGACAGCACAGTGCAATGTCCCTGAATTGTTGCCAGAGTGCTTTTCAAAACCATGAATCCGAAACCTAAAAACCTCAAACCAATAAAACAACCTTCGACTCACAAGCCTTTGAAAGACCTCTCCTGGGTACCGCTTAGGCCCGGACAGCGGTCAGCACGAGCGTGTGATGGAATCCACACACAACCTCTTCAAGTCTCGTGCATCATGCAGTGCATCGCAGAGGGTCTGGATTTGTGCTAGGGCTTGGGGATGAGGGTTTCGGGCTTAAGGCTTCGAGTTTAGGCGTAAGTTTGGGGTTTAGGGTCGAGGGCGTAGATAACGGGGGCTGACACGTATCGCCCTCTCAATCCCGCTCCATCCCTGCCTCTTTTGCCCTCTGTGATCTTTGAACAATTTAGGGTTCGGAGGGAGACCGGGTTTTAGGGCGACTTAGCTGTTTAGGGATAAGAAGGCATGAGCAGAGAATGAGGGGCCACGGCCAGCGTTCAGCAGAAAGCCGGAGCAGCATGCGCCCCCATGATTCCAGAGACGGAAACATCTCAAACGTCGAGGTACACCCCACCCGAGACTCCCAAACCCAGATGATCCCAGATGTCTGGCTAGCTGGGGTAGGCAGCACAACTACACGGCTGCGACTGGTTACTACAATCCTAAACCCCTAAAGCCCCAAAGGCCACGACATAACAAAAGCCCTACCAGTAACTCCCCAACCCTCTATTGACCCTGAACCCCTGCGCACAAGCCTCCGTGACCTTCGGCAGCCCGGGCACAGCCCGCCTCGACTGCACTTGAGGGGCTTGCCCCTAAACCCTAAACCCTAAACCCTAAACAAGTGGAGCTGCAACTCGGAAGGCCCCAGCCGCCAAACCCTAAAGCCTAAACGAAACCAAGCCGAAAGCCGGTTTAGGGGTTCGGTCGGGGGCTGAAGGGTGTAGTGTCCAGGGGTTTCAGGGGCTGAGGAGCTGGTTCAGGGGTTCAAGGTTTGGGGTTCCTTCTCTCCAGATTCTTTGGCTTCGCCGTCGGCTTTTCTCGGATGCAGCTCTGACGGCTTAGGCTCTTAAACACGGCTTGAAGCCTTCAAGGTGCAGGTGTGTTTTGGAGACCACACAAAACAAGCCGGTTTAGGGTTCAAGGGTTGCGGGTTTGGACTGTCTGCGCAAAGCTGAATTTCGAGGTTCCTTACCCGACTACTAAGGTGAGCAACCCAAAACCCTAAACACTAAACCTGAAACCCTAAACCCTAAAGCCTTACGTAACCCTTAACCCTAAACCCTAAACCCTAAACACCGAACCCGAAGCCAATGAAACACCAAGGTACGCAGTCGGCCGGTCGAGGCGCCCCGCTCTTGAGGCGAAGGCCTCAGCAGCTGATGGGCCGGGCCCTTCAAGATTTGTGCCCTAAACCCCAAACCCTAAATCCTAAACCCTAAACCCTAAACCCTAAACCCTACATCCTAAACCCTAAACCCTAAACCTGTGGTTTCGGGTTCAGAGGGTTTAAGGCCATTGGGCGTGACCGTTTGGGGTTTCAGGTTCAGGGCTGGGTTTAACAGGTTCAGGGTAGGTTCGATCCCCGTCCCTGGCAGAGCACCATTTTCCGATGCTTTCCCAGCGTATCCATTCCATTTTTTCTACAGGCCCTGGGGGCAGACACCTCAACGCTTTAACCCCGTAACCACAAGTAGGGTTTCAAGCTAAATCTCAGGGTTTAGGGCGACGGGTGGGGCTTGGAGTACTTGGAGTACTTCATCCCCAACCTTGAGCTTTTTTGTCTGCGCACTTCATCCACACCCAGCCTCTGAGCGCGCCCGATGCATAACCCGAGCGTAAACCCTCTGCAGAAGTCGGAAACTCCGGCCTCCTAAACCCTAAACCCTTGGGCCGCAATCAATCTTCAATCCCCCTCCCCTACGCTTGGCCACACCCGATAGAGTGTAACCCTCACAATATGATATCAGAAGCCTGAAACCATGAAACGAAATACCCCAAACAATTGCATGTGCCCCGCAAACTACACACCGCGCGCTTTTTCCCCAGCAGCGAGGGCTTCAGGGTTTAGGGCTAATTTGGACCCTAACCCTGAACCCTAAACCCAGAACCCTAAACCCCAAACCCTGCCTGCGCCCTAAAAACCCTTCAACCCTAAGCCCGAAAACTTCAGAATTCTAACAAGGCCCCAGAGGCCCTAATATAGGGGCCTGAATAATTAGGATAGGGTTTTGGGTGTTGTTTAGTATACTTGTAAAGGGAATACTATTGGTATTTATTCCGACCCCTATATCAAGACCCCTAAATGCGTAAGGGGTCATATGGAAGTTCAGGAGTCAGAGATGGCTTCTACTGGCTCCAGGTTCTCCGCGGGGATGAGAGCCTCACAGGTTTAGGATTTAGGGTTTGGGGTTTGGGGTTTGGGGTTTAGGGCTTAGGGCTTAGGGTTTAGGGTTTAGGGTTCAGGGTTCAGGGTTCAGGGTTCAGGGTTCAGGGTTCAGGGTTCAGGGTTCAGGGTTTAGGGTTTAGGGTTTAGGGTTTAGGGTTTAGGGTTTAGGGTTTAGGGTTTAGGGTTTAGGGTTTAGGGTTTAGGGTTTAGGGTTTAGGGTTTAGGGTTTAGGGTTTAGGGTTTAGGGTTTAGGGTTTAGGGTTTAGGGTTTAGGGTTTAGGGTTTAGGGTTTAGGGTTTAGGGTTTAGGGTTTAGGATTTAGGGTTTAGGGTTTAGGCTTTAGGGTTTATGTATTTTGGGTGGAGGGCGCGGTTGGGTGTAGAGCTTCAGGTTTGGGGGTTTAGGGCTTTGGGGGTTTCATGGGTTTGGGGTTTGGGGTTTGTGGTTCAGGGCTCAGGGAGATTTAGGGACCAGTGGCCGAGGGTAGAGGTTGCGGACCTTCGAGCGGTCGAACTGCAGTGCGAAGCGTTAACGGTTGAAGGTGGGCGCAATGCTGCTGTTTTTGCCTCTGCATGGGTTTGGGATTATTTGAGGGTTCGTTTGCTTTTGTGGTCTAGGGGTTGGGTACTGAGGGGTCTAAGGTGGGTTTAGGGTTCATGGTAAATCCTGACCTGCATTCTTGCCTTGGTTCTCAAGGCTTAGGGTGCAAAGTCCGCTAGCACCCCGAGCCTTGAACCCTGAACCCTACGCTGCACTGCCCGTTCAATCCTCTTCCAAGAAGGGAAGGCGCCGCACCTCCAGCCCTGAGCCCAAACCAGGGCTGAGGGCTGGAGTTTAGGGCTTAGGGTATAGGGCTTAGGGTTTGGGGTTTGGGGTTTAAGGCTTAAGGTTTGGTGTTTAGGGTTTGGGGTTTGGGGACTCGGTGCCTGGATGCCGGTGAAGAGCTCTACAAGCCACTTGGTTGCTGCATGATTCCACTCGATGAGCCTGTGCGCCATGCGAGCGTTTCTCAAACTCGGAGATCCCTGAATCCCTCAATACGAGCCAGTAGCATCCTCTCATAATCCCTACGAGATTGCCCCTGAATCCCTCAAAAAAAGCCAGTAGCATCCTGTCATAATCCCTACGAGGTTGTCATGCGGGGCTTTAGGGTTGAGTTTGTAGGGCCGGCTCTACTGCTTTGCAGTCCCCTAAAGCCCCCCCCCCCCCCAAATTGCCCCCAAATTGTAGGATCCCCTTCAAATGTGGACAACTGTTTGGTGGATCCCAACATCGGGAGTATCCTTTGCTTAGAACCCATGCTGGCCCATGCTAGCTTGCTGGTTGAGTGAATTACTCGGGGAAGAATGGCAAAGCTTTGGGTTTCAAGGGGGGGGGGGGTTGTAGTGCGCGGTTAAAGGTCACCTACTCAGCAGCTAAGTTAGAGCTCTCGGCCTTTGGGGCTTTTAGGCGCATCCCTCACTCGCATCGGTACGCAGATGTCGTTCATCGCACAAACAGGGCATGAAGAAGCAGCGAATTGCAGTCTAGTTTCGTTGCCACTGTGCCGTTGTAGAGCTTCCCCTGTCCAGAGCGAAGCCCAACAATCTTCACCTTCCTAGGCAGCAAGCTGGGCGCAGAGCGACCGGTTTAAACACGTGGGCGCATTCGACCAAACAACCCCCCATACCTCCCTAAACCCTCAACCTTAGACCCCCACCCAAAATCATGTGTAAGAACCCATTCAAGGCTTCGGACCCCTCTGGGTATCCCGGGAAACTTTTGCGGCCGGGCTGCAGCTGCAAATTCACCGGTGGAATGGAAGCCTTCCGGGGAGCGGGGGGGGGGGGGGGGGAATTAGGGTTTAGGGCTCAAAAACTCTCGCCTGCCTAAGCCCTAAATCGCACTCTCGCCAAGCGACAGAAGCGCAGGCAGCTTTGGCACGTTAAGTCCCCTGAAGCTTGGACAGCGTCACCACGACGCAAACTACAAGAAATGCCACCATGCTGGTACAGGGTTTCGGGCTTAGGGTTCACCCGCGGGGTTTAGGGATATTGGGGAGGTGCTTTAGTAGTTGGGTCTGGAGTTGGAGGCGACGGTATTCTTACACAAGAAGGTTTAGGATTGGGATGCTTCCCCCCTATAATAATAGTCCGCAATAAGGATTATAATAGGGGTCCACAATAATCCCTACAAGTATTAAGGACTGTTCGAAAAAAGGAAAAACATCCCAAGTTTAGGATGTAAAGGATGTTTAAGGTCTGTCCTTTTGGCTTCTGGGCCCAATCTACCAGTAGGCAACAAGGGAAGCCCGTGCCTGCTCTCCTAATTTCCTACACCCCAGCTGAGACCTAAATATAACTTGGGATGTAATAGCAGGTACTATAATCCCCATTAAGGACTGTTAGTATAAGGGGAACATCCCAATATATAACCCCCAACGGGCCCCAAACTACCCCATATCGTAGCCGATGACCCCAAAACAGGGGCTATCCAGAAAATGTGGCTCCCTTTGGGTATTTCAGTTAAACCCACACCCATCAACCCGAAGCCGCGAAACCCTGGCAGTATGGGGGGTATCGAGCCTTCTGTCCTCCTGGTAGCTGGACTACCCATTTCGGACCTGCAGGGCGGGTTCTTCCCAAGCAGGACCTGGTCTTCAATTTTGTTGACCCCCCCCCCCCCCGTGTCCTTCAAAAACCCTACAAAAATCACACAAACCTTATAAACCCCGAAACACACCTTAAAAACTTAACACTGCAAAATGCCCCTAATCACAGAAATCTTAATTTAAAAAAGAACCTCGCTGAAACAAAGTTTGCGTGCTTGCTTCGGTTTAGGGCACGGGCTGCATCTACTAAGGTACTTCGATAACCCTTGAACTACAATTGGGGGCCCTAATAGGACTTGATTTACAATGTGGGGTCCCCAATAGGGGGGACCTGATTCTCCTTTCATTAGGAAAGATATAGGTCATGATGCCTACAGCGGGACCTACTGTAGAATAACTTCAGACTGACAAACAACTCCACAAAAGGACGGGTTGAGAATCGACCGTTCGTCCATGTCGTTCGTTGCGTGCAGTTATGCCAAACCGGGGTTTAGGGTTTAGGGTTTAGGGTTTCGGGTTTCCGGGCTTCCGGGTTGCGAGGCATTCTCCAAAGCTTTTCTTGTCTTCTACTTCTACGACCTTGGCATGGCTTTTTGGGACCTGAGCTTGATCAAACATGCGTGGATCCTCAAGAGAAAGTACTGTACAACCAGGCGAAAACGAAGCAGGCAGCTGGGGACGGAAGGCTAGCCGCGCCGAGAGCAGCTATCTGGATTGTTTTGCTCCCCCAGGGAACTCCTAAGCCTTAAAAGCCCTGAAGCGCTTAACACTTTCCGCCTTAAACCCCACTCCCTTAAGCCCTATTTAAGCTCGGCCTAGACCTTCACCCCCCAGCCTTCGGAATGGAGCAGCGTGACGGTCCTTGGGGTTTGGGAGGTTCAGGGCTTAGGGTTTCAGGGTTTGGGATTTGTGGCTTTGGGGTTGAGGGGTTTAGGTGTCCAGGCTTAAGGGCAAACACACCCCAAAGCATTCAGGGTGTCAGGTTCAGTGTTTCGGGCTCTTAGTAAGGGTGAGGGGTTTTGGGCTAAACACCTTAAAGGCCGAAAGCGTAAACTTAGCTGTACTTGGAACCCATTTAGCAAATGTCACTTGGTCCATGATGAGGGTCAACTAAACTCAAAAATATGTTTTCTGAAAAAAGGGTGTATACACCCTAAGCCTTCAAGCCAATACATGGCCCGTCAATCTGTCGTTGAGCTGCGGCGGGAGGGATGTGCTTCTGCGTGTCGTGCGTGCGTGCGTGCGTGCGTGCGTGCGTGCGTGCGTTGCGTGCGTGCGTGCGTGCGTGCGTGCGTGCGCGCGTGTGGTGCGTGTGTGCGTGCGTGTGCGTGCGTGCGTGCGTGCGTGCGTGCGTGCGCGTGGTGCGTGCGTCGTGGTTGGTGCGTGCGTGGTTGGTGCGTGCGTGGTGCGTGCGTGGTTGGTGCGTGCGTGGGTGCGTGGTTGGTGCGTGCGTGTGGTTGGTGCGTGTGCGTGGTTGGTGCGTGCGCGTGGTTGGTGCGTGCGCGTGGTTGGTGCGTGCGCGTGGTTGGTGCGTGCGCGTGGTTGGTGCGTGCGCGTGGTTGGTGCGTGCGCGTGGTTGGTGCGTGCGCGTGGTTGGTGCGTGCGCGTGGTTGGTGCGTGCGCGTGGTTGGTGCGTGCGCGTGGTTGGTGCGTGCGTGGTGCGTTGGTGCGTGCGCGTGGTTGGTGCGTGCGCGTGGTTGGTGCGTGCGTGGTTGGTGCGTGCGTGCGTGCGTGTGGTTGGTGCGTGCGTGTGTGTTGGTGTGCGTGCGTGTGGTTGGTGCGTGCGTGTGGTTGGTGCGTGTGTTGGTGCTGGTGTGGTTGGTGCGTGCGTGTGGTTGGTTGCGTGGTGTGGTTGGTGGTGCGTGCGTGTGTGTGCGTGTGTGTGCGTGTGTGTGTGTGTGTGTGTGTGTGTGTGTGCGTGTGTGTGTGTGTGCGTGCGTGCGTGCGTGCGTGCGTGCGTGCGTGCGTGCGTGCGTGTGTGTGTGTGGGTGTGTGTGTGTGTGTGTGTGGGTGGTGGGTGGTGTGTGTGTGTGGTGTGTGTGTGTGTGTGTGTGTGTGTGTGTGTGTGTGTGTGTGTGTGTGTGTGTGTGTGTGTGTGTGTGTGTGTGTGTGTGTGTGTGTTGTGGTGTGTGTGTGGTGTGTGTGTGTGTGTGTGTGTGTGTGTGTGTGTGTGTGTGGGTGTGTGTGTGTGTGTGTCTGTGGTGTGTGTGTGTGTGTGGGGTGTGTGTGTGTGTGTGTGTGTGGTGTGTGTGTGTGCATCTGTGTGTGTGTGTGTGCATCTGTGTGTGTGTGTGTGTGTGCATCTGTGTGTGTGTGTGTGTGTGTGTGTGTGTGTGTGTGTGTGTGCATCTGTGTGTGTGTGTGTGTGTGTGTGTGCATCTGTGTGTGTGTGTGCATCTGTGTGTGTGTGTGTGTGTCTGTGTGTGTCTGTGTGTGTGTGTGTGTGTGTGTGTGTGTGTGTGTGTGTGTGTGTGTGTGTGTGTGTGTCTGTGTGTGTGTGTGTGTGTGTGTGTGTGTGTGTGTGTCTGTGTCTGTCAGTGTCAGTTCGGAGTACTTTCAGGCTCCAGACCCGAAACATGGCCCGGGACCCCTAAAACCTGCAGAGGGCTTCAGAGCATTCGCGGCTTGATGTCACGATCTTATCTCTCCCAGACCCCCAACAGCCCTCGACCACCCAAAAGCCCCCCAAAACCCCAAATCCTGCTTTGCCCCAACCCCCCAATGCCCTCTAAAGAAAGCCCGAGAACCCTCACAAGACCCGGTCCAAGACCCCTAAAACCCAGGCAGTTGCTGGCAGGCATCAATCCATTAAACTTCTCCGCACCTGCCTGGGAACTAGCGAGCCAGTCACGCTTTGGGGTGTCTTAGGGTTTTTTTTGGGGTCCTGAGGGTTGTCGGGGTTTAGGGTTTCGGGTGCTTTGGGGTTGAGGACTTTGGGCTCTACCACAGCTTGGGTTCGAGTCAACCGAGGTGGACAACGGCAATTCGGCAAAAACGTGGGTGAAGTGACCTCCACTGCTTCTGCGGAGATGGGGGACTCAGAAGAGAAACTGGAGAGTCTCGGGTTTGGGCCAGGTTTGGGGTACAGGGTCCCCGAGAACCACCTCGGAATCTGAAATTCGTAATCTCCGACGCCTTGGAAAGAGATATTCCCAAAGGCTCAAGAGGCCAGTGGTTTAGGGCTTAGGGTTCCTGAACCCCTAAACCCTAAACCCTAAACCCTAAACCCTAAACCCTAAACCCTAAACCCTAAACCGAAGCTCTGATTCACCCCCTAGCTCCGTGCTCAAGCCGCAGCCGCAGGATTCGAAGGCTGAAGGTCTTGGGCTTAGTGCACCCGTACCCCGTTTCCAACCGACACCAAAAAGCTTGAACCCAAGTAAGATCACTTCCGGAAAGATCATCTCGAATGCCCTTAAACATACCCTAAATCCTAAACCCTAAACCCTAAACCCAAACCCCAAACCCCACCCCCTCCACCCTCAACCCCCCCCCTCCCCGATGGCGCCTTCCGAAGAGCTGTGAGCCGAGCCGTGTGGCCCGGCGCCAGCACCAGCGGCCGCCTTGGGCCCGGATCCTCAGGTTCTGCTAAGAAGAGGGGTGTAGGGTAGGGGGTTGAGGGGCTGAGGGGGTTGAGGGGGTTTAGGGGGTTAAGGGGGTTGAGAGGGTTTGAGGGGGTTGCGGGGGTTGAGGGGGTGAGGGTTTAGCTTCGGGAGCAGTGATTGCATGGATTTCGCTTGCCTTGAGTGAAGAGAATTACAGGGAACGGCGCGTGAACTCATTAAGAGTATCTCGCTGACGAGCAAAGAGCGATGGAGCTAGAGTACCCAACTGAGCTTTCGTGTGCTCGAGGCAAAATCAGCTAAACTGTGTTTTGCACGGCTTGGCCTTTGCACATCCTTCCTTTCAATTCTCGAAAATACTGTAGTCAAAACAAAAGCGACTAAAACACAAAAAAAAACTCAAAAACACTTAAAGTCCTTAAGTTGACTTGTCCTGTCTCCCCCCGAAGATTCCAAACCGTATACCCAAGAAGCTGCTCTTCAGAGATTTTCGAAGCGACCGCCCCTGCCCCTGAATTCCATAAAGCCTCGAAAGGTTCGTGTCGAGCTTGGGGTGTAGGGTTCAGACGCTCAGGTTTGAGGCCGAACTAGGGCTTAGGGTTCAGGGTGCATGGCTCAGGAAAGCTTACATTGGGGTTGGAGCTGTGGGCGTCTTGGGCTTCTGTAAAACTGGTGGAGTAGAGCGCGCTCCTCATCCGAGTCATCCGTGCTGACATCCTCGGAGTCATCCTTCAGGCAGCTTAGCGTGCCAGGGCCTCTGAGCCAAACCGAGAACCCTTCACCAAAATCCGAAACCCTAAGCTTCTCTTTGGCCCTATGAAGGCCCTAAGACCCAGAAGGCCCGAAGCCCTTAAAGGGCCTTGGCCCAGTAAGGCCAACTTGGAAGCGCATAGCTAGTCGGCTGGGTTATACGACAGGGAAATTGGTTGCAGCGGATACTTCTAGCTAGACCCAAGCGCCCACACTATGGAACCCGACTACACCAGGACCATTCAGCTATCCACAGAGTCTGAGTCCAAGGGTTTATGTCTTTTTGCAGCTTAGGGATGGGACGGTTTAGGAGTTTTGGGGGTTTTAGGGGTCTGAGAAGGTTTCGGTGGCAAGCCACGACAACTCCTGACCCTACACCCATGACACCGGACTTCCAAGAATGGGCCTTATGGCTTTCTGCGTCACAGGTTGCTAAGTCGGCTGCCTTGTGATCGGACTCATAATCCTGAACCATGGAAACCAAACCTCGATGCCTTTGCCCAAACCCCTAAGCCCCTGAGCATGCGGCCTCAGTGTCCGCCTCGGCATCCAACATGGACAGGGGCACCTGAGCAACTACAGTTTCGTGCAAAGAGGGCCGAGGGGTGAAGGGGGTAGGCTTCCTACAAACCCCAAGACCCAATAGAGCCTAAGCACCCAAGCTTTCTTTCGGAAGGTTTTGGGCTAAAGACCTAAGGTTTCAAGGTGTTGGGGGGATTTTTAGGTATCAAAGATTCAAAGATTGGCTCTGCGGTTCAGGTTCAGGATTCGTTTTCGAGGGTTGTCACCTGCATTCCCCCCTTCACGGGTCCCACGACCAAGGCGACTGGGAAGGAGGGTCCAGCAACGTGATTCCCCGGAAACTAGGCAGTAAAGGGTGCCCTGAACCCGAAAGGGCTCCGAAAGGGAACAAGGGAAGCAAGGAGTAGGGCGTCCAAGCACCCTGAATATCCTCCGTAAACCCTAAACCCTAAACCCTAAACCCTAAACCCTAAACCCTAAACCCTAAACCCTAAACCCTAAACCCTAAACCCTAAACCTAAATCCTAAACCCTAAACCGTAAACCCTAAACCCCAACGGCCTTATGCTTCATCTCCTCCATGGCCAGGGCTGCCGGGTCTTCGGTCGCTATGGCCTGGGCCATCAAATGGCTAGAGGTTCTTAGGGTTCAGGGATTAGGATTTAGGGTTTAGGGTTTGGGGTTTAGGGTTTAGGGTTTAGGGTTTAGGGTTTCGGGATTTAGGGTGTATGTGGGGCGCGGATGTACTGGTGCTCTGCCATGGAGGAGTGAGCATAGATGCAACTGTTAGGGGCAAAAACAAGTTTGGATGACATAGGGGCTGTTTTCGGGATCCACTTCTCCACTCCCCTTGATGTGGTTGGTGTTCGGGTCACCTTTAACAGCCCTTTGCGGGTTAAGGGAAGAAGGCTCAAAGCCGAGTTTGCAAAGCGAGCTCTAGGAGAGTATGAGTATGTGAACCCTTAACGGCATGAATAGGGGCAAAACAAGACGCACATCCGGACCCACAATTCAGGGCCCTCTTTCGAGATGATCCAACTTCTGGAGCCTTTTGAGGTCTCTCTTCGGCTATATTCCTTCTAGCTTTGTATCACCAAGTGCCCACAATTTAGATCGAACCCAATCACAGTCGGGTCGCACGTCAACAAAGCCAACAAGATCCTGTGATGTGAATAAATCCCCATTGCTGGCTGGGGACCTCCGTTTCCTCCACGTCCTCGTCGCTGTCATCCTCTTCGTCCTTACATGCTTCTGGTGGCAGGATGCGGCGTTGCGCCAGGTGACGAAGGATCGGGTATTCCAAAGCGCAGGCGTGAGCAGAAGAACGATGCCGCGCAATTAATTTCAGACCTACCTGTACACCCTAAACAAGTACCCTGAACCCCACGGATGGCAGGCGCCTTCGCCGTTCTGTCAGCGACATCCATCGAGGCTTCATCTGCGTGCTCCGTGAGCGAGCCTGACGCACCCCACATCCAACCCAAGCACACAGTTGTCCGGGGTTCAGGGCTCGGAGTTTGAAACCTCCAAGCGCTGAGGATTCAGCCTCTGTCCCCGGAACGCATGTGCGAAGCCCATCACCCTGAATTCTTAAACCAAACAGGGCTGGTTTGCACATGCGATGGGCATCAAAATCCAGCAGACATTCACTTGGGTTCCTTAATTGGAATCACTGTCTCGGATTCCTCTTGGAACACGCACCCATCTTTTTCGGGGATCTTTTTCGGGGCCCGGTATTGATCAACCCCCATTCGGCAAAAGCACCCACGATGCTCGCAACCGGGCCGGACACAGTGGGCGGCCTGGCCAGAATGGGGCTTAGAGCTCAGGGTTTGGGTTGATGGTACGTGGAAAGTCATTTTGTGGGCGGGCTCAGAGTCCAGGTTTTGGGGCTTACATGCGGCGAGCGTTAGGGCAGGGCAATGAGAACCGATGGTAGCACCCAAACCTGAGTTGTAAAGTCTCATGCCCAAGCCGGAAACCACCCAAACCCTAAACCCCATATAAAAAAGCCTACAACGCACCCTGTTCAACCAAACTGTCGCCCTACAGCCCTGATGTGCTAAGGGCTTGAAGGTTCATGGGCGGTAGGGTTTAGGGTTTAGAGTTTGGGGGTTTGGGGCTTAGGGTTCAGGTTTAGGGCTTGGGTATAGGTTATACGCAGGGTTCTTGGTACCCCTATACTTACAACGTGCAGCTTCCAGAGGCTTCGGGGTTCTGAGGCTTTCCGCCGTGAGACCTGTGAGTAACCCGAAGCCATCAAGAGCCCCACAACCTGTGGCGAAACTCGAGAACCTCATTCCAGCCACAAACCTCAACTTCTAAACCCTCGAGTTTAGGGTTTAGGGTTTAGGGTTTAGGGTTTAGGGTTTAGAGTTTAGGGTTTAGGGTATAGGGTTTAGGGTTTAGGGTATAGGGTTTAGGGTTTAGGGTTTCAGGTTTAGGGTAGGGGTTGGGGTTTCGGGTTTCGGGTTTCGGATTTAGGGCTTAGGGTTTGGGGTTTTGGGAACGCCAGCCAGTGCAGCCGCGTTGCGGCGGTACAGAAAGAGGATCCTTCACGTTCCCCGTCCGAGGATCCCACCTGCTACATAGTAGGCCGTGAGACGCCGTACTGAAGCCTACACCCAAACGCCCTTGTGGTGTTTTGGGGTTTAGGGTTTTTGGCACGTAGGCCCTAAGCAACTAATTAAACCCTAGACGGCGTTTAGGATTTTACAGTTCTTAGGGTTTTGGGGGGAGTTTCATTGAACCCAACAAGTACAAATCATAGCTTGCGAAAGCTATGTTCGAAGACCATTGCATCAAAACCTGACATGTGTTTGGGGCTTAGGGGGTTAGAGTCTCACTGCCCTTCTGTTCCAGCTAGGGATTAAGACTTTAGGGTTTTGAGCGGCCTAAACCTAAACCCTAAACCCTTTTCCCTAAACTGTAAACCCTAAACCCTAAACCCTAAACCCTAAACCCTAAACCCTAAACCCTAAACCCTAAACCCTAAACCCTAAACCCTAAACCCTAACCCTAAACCCTAAACCCTAAACCCTAAACCCTCAACCCTAAACCCTAAACCGTAAGCCCTAGCCCTAAACCCTAAAACCGAAGTAGTTTGGTTGTAAATTGAAGTGCGGCGGATAGTGCGTACCCTAAACCCTAAACCCTAAACGACAAACCCTAAACCCTAAACCTGAATCGGGGAATTGGCTACCCAGCAGCTTTAGCTTCCGTGCCCGGGCGTCCATCACTTCGAAGCCGAGCCTCGGCTCACAGCTTCATTGAGGGTTGAAGTTTAGGGTTTAGGGTTTAGGGTTTAGGGTTTAGGGTTTAGTGTTTAGGGTTTAGGGATTAAGGTTTAGGGTTTCTGGTTTAGGGCTTAGGGCTTAGGGTTCAAGGGTTTAGGGTTTAGGGTTTACGGTTTAGGGTTTAGGGTTCAGGGTTCAGGGCTTCGGGGCCTCGTAGGGTTTAGGGTTTGCGGTCTAGAAGGTTTCGGACTTGGGGTTTGGGTTAGGCTTAGGGTTTCCAGCATCTGAAGTCAAAGCATTCACTAGCCAAGCAGCTTGACGGAGACATACCCACCCGCCCAGTGGGTCCCACAACAGTAGGAAGCTACTTCACTTTGCATGGAACTCGTCAAACCAGCTTACATCCCCTAAACAGCCAAAGGCCCAGTAGACCCCAAACCTTAAACCACAAGGCCCAGTAGCCCCTAAGCACTAAACCAAGATGCCCGCAGCCGAATGCCCACGGAAAACTTTACCAAAATGCCCATGGCGCCCAATGCCTACAGAAAACTTTACCAAGAATGGGCAATGCCCGATAACTTTGGGCAACGCCCGCTAATTTTATGCACTGACCGACAATTTGGGGAAATGCACGAGGATTGTGAAGAGTTTAATCAGCCTCTATACATTTCTATATGTTGGGGTTGTCCTACATGGAGTTTAGAGATTGAAGCTGTAGGGTTACGATCTCGGGATTCAACATGCGCCTAATCCGCCCTACATCCTAATCAAACAGTGGCCTTGGAGAGCAGGACGTCAACAATCCGCTGCAACTCTGACATCATCAAGGCCGAAACCCTACACGAAACTAGTCGCAAAAACCCGAAACCCCCCCAACCCCTAAACGCTAAACCCTGAACCTTAAACCCCTAAGCCCTAAACCCCTAAACCCGAAATCCTAGAGCCTAAGGACTCAGGGTCGTCTGCATGCCAAGCCGCAAGTAGACCCTGGGCTGCGAGAGGTTCCAGGCTTTGGTTTTGTCGGGCTTAGGGCCTCAGGGCCTAGGGCTTCGGGCTTGGGCTCAGGGCTTCGGCTTGGGGCTTCGGGCCAAGGGCTTGGGGCTTTCTGCTTAGGGCTCAGGGCTTTCTGCTTGGGCTGAAGGCTTTACAGCGTTCTGGGGGTCTTAGGGCGGCTACTGACACCAATTTTTCACCTTAGGAAGGTCAAAAAAACTCGAAGCTCCGATCCAGCAAATCCACCTAGAGCTTCGGATTCAGGGCTTTAGCAGCATACCGGTTCCCACCAAAGAGCATACTCGTGGTGTGGTACTTCTGATGCTTGGGCCATGCGCGCTGCGCCACATAGTAGTCCACCTGGTGGGCATTCGAGCTTGTGGGTTTGAGGCTCTGTGGCAGCTAGGGATTGGGCCACAGTGTCCTTAGATCCTACTGCTAGCTCCTCCGACATATCCATCGCAGCACCTATGGCAAGGCCCTCAATCCGAGACCTCGGTGAAAGCTTCGCAGACGGCCCTTCCGCCACTATTGGGCACATTGGACAACCACGATCCGCCTCAGATGAGGTGGGCGCTTCCTGGCCCACAAGCAGAAAGCCGCCGCAAAGCAGCCTCTGGGCTTCGGGGCTTGAAGGAGTTTCCGAAAAGGGCTTATGGCTCATATACCTGAATGGGGATTCTAGTAGTATAGGGTGTATGACCCGGGTTGAGGAAGTTTCGGGGATGTGAGGGATTTGGGGACATGTACGCTGAAGGTTTTGGGTGCTGCGGGCTTTGTGATTTGGGAGTTGTTTTGAGGTCTGGCTGGTCCCTCTGAAGCCACAATCCTAAAACAAGACTCTCCTTCACCCGATAACCCATTCTTAAAGGCAAAACATACATGTTCCCGAGACCCCACCCTGAAACCTACAGTTGCAGGGTTCCAGGCGACCAGACTTCCAGAAAGATCAACATCGCCCTAGTAGTTAACGCCCTAGTAGTTAAGCCTAGGAGGGCTTAGGGCTTAGGGGGAATTAGAGTTTAGGGGTAAGGGATTCGGGTTGAGGGCCTCTTTAGAGTGCCAGCAAGTGTTCAGGGCTTTGGGCTTGTTGGGAGAGCTGCTGTAGGCATGACGTGCAGTGAGGGGTTCAAGGTTGAGCAACTTGGCGCGGCAGCTTGTTCGCAGGATAGGCTGCAATATGCGGGACTGTGGGGTTTTGAGGGTGTGGGGCCTAGGTTTGAGGCCTAAAACCCTCACAGCCTCTGCACCCTCGTAGACAAGGCCATGAGCAGCAGGGGCGCCACGAAGAGCCTCGCCGAACCTCTAAACCGTATACCCAAACTGCAAGCCACATAGGCCCTAAACCCTATACCCTAAAATCATCCATACCTTAAGCCCCGAAGCCTGTAAACTCCTAACGCTGGTCTGCAAGCCCTTCGACGCTCCTTCTACTGAACGACTCAATGCATTCCCTTCGGCCACCTACATCTTCAGGATCTTGCCGGGAAGGGTGGAGCTTTCTTGAAGGCGTGGCGCCCCATCCCTGATCCCCTGGTGCTCCTTACCGAAGCGCTGAGACCTAAACCCGGAACTAAACCTGTCTCAGCGTCAAATTTGAGAAAAAGAGAAGCGTCCGCCCGCTGGATTCCCGAAGCGACGGGCTTGAGGGTTTAGGATTTGGGTTTAGGGCGTAGGGTTTATGGCTTTGACCGCAACCCACCCCCTCCATCAAGATTTATGGTTTAGGCGTTGGGGTTTGGGGCATGTGTGTAGGTCCAGGTGTTACTTGCAGGATGGCGGGCGGTTTAGGGTTCAGGGTTAGGCAGCCCTAAGCCCTTAAGTGAGAGCTCAGGGTCACAAGGGTTCAGGATCAACATTTCTACCAATCCGTTCAGATTCCCAAAACGTACAAACTCAAAACTCAAAACAACAACAAAAAAAAAACAACTTACTCCAGCTCATCATTCTGACAAACAGGGCCTCTAAACCCCAAGCCCTAAAGCAGAGAAACTCAACATCCCACCCTCGGGTTCTCTTTAAGGTGGAGGGCTTAGGGCTTAGGGCTCAGGGTTTCGAGTTTAGGGTTTGGGGTTTAGGGTCCCCAGGGGCTGATTAAGGTTGAGGGCTTAGGGAAGCCATCCGAAGTGAACTGCAGACGGCGCTGCGGCAGCGAGATGAAGCCGGCCCAGGAAGCCTCTGCCTGCTGTTTAAGGGTTTGAGGGCTGTCTCCACAACAAAAACGCGGAACACAAAGGTGACCGCCGAACACCTCCAAGCATAATGGGCACTTGGGAAGGTGTAAACTGGTAATACACTCTTATAGGGCTTGTAATGGGATGATACTACACTGTGAAACACTAAAACCCATCACTTTGATGACCTGGGCAGATGTTTCTAGCTGACCTGGTTGGCGCTGATTTCTTTGGTGTACCTTGTTTTGACACCCACCTGCTCAGTCACACCGTGCCTCAGCGAGCGAAGGCTTGAGGAAGAGCTCCTGGCAGAAATATCACACAAGGCAGTGCCCAATATAGCTCGCTGCTGTGTGCAAAAGCCAGCGGCCTTTTCGAGACGTTTTTTGGCAAGGCCGCTTGCTGCATATGGCCCGTCTGTACAGTACAACCTATAAATATGGGGATCTATACAGCCTATACATGTGTGGAGGCTGGCCGCATTCCACATGCAAGGCAGTACTACCTTGCATCCAGAAGTCAACCAAACCCACGCCAGCTGCACCATGGAGATCAGCTGTGGTATCAAGGCCAACAATGCCTTCCTATTTAGGTGGTGGCAGGGCGAACTGAGGACAAGGAGTATAACGAGCTAGGAATCTGGATCTGGATGAAAGTGCGCTTGATGGGCAGGCCCTGCTGCGTACTCGGATCTTGCAGAGCGGTGAGCGGTGGCGAGGTCACTTGCAGCTTCGCCTTCCCCTTCAGCTTGAAGCTACCACGCTCACGTCGAGAGAGAGCTTGGCAGCTCGTGCTGATCACTTCCTCCACCACCTTCTCCAGGGCCACGTCGACGACAATGTGGCGCTTGCACAAAACCATCCCGCGCCTCTGCAGGTCCTCCTCCACAAGCTTGAAAGCCCCGGCCGGCACCAAGAACTTTGCACCGCACTCCAGCTCAACACGGTGCCCGGCTTCTTCGATTTGTCGCCGGCGCTCTTCAAGCTCGGGCGCCACGGCCAAGGCTTTGCGGAGCCAGGCCTCATTGCGAGAGCATTCCAACACAACGACGTCAAGGGAAAAATTCGGCGGTCTCGACTCCAAGAGCGCCTCCATCAGCGGGGCATTGAAAAGCGCAGCGCGCTCCTCCATGTGGCGACTGCTCGCACGCAACGCCGCATTGACGTCATAATCAGCAGGACTCTGCCAAGGAGTGGCCTGCGGAGGTAGTGGAGACCAGGCCAGGTTCACGCGCTTGAACAGCTTCCGCCCAGCGCCATCGACCTGAACAGCCACGCGACCAGATGCAGTATCTCTTCCAAGGACTACGCCCCGGCGCCCATTCAGGGCCCTTCCTACTTCTGTTTCAAGACCATGAAGAATGACGTAACTACCTTTCACAAGTGCATCGGTCTCCCGAGGCTCCAGAGAACGCAAGCTCTCAAGGAAGGTCGCAACAGATGTCGGCGAAGAGCCGCCTTTAACCAACTCCTTGAGCAAGCTCATGGCCAAGTTGTCAGCATCCTTGCAGCCAGCCTCTTTCAGCCGCGCGCGCGTTGACACGGATAGGTTTGCCAGAGCTTCTTGAGAACCCTTCAGCGCGCCCTGCACCCACATCTCCACTGCCTCATCATTCCTGCCCTGCTGCTTCAAGACGTGCCCCAACATGTTCATAGCACACAGGACGAATTCTTTGTCCTCATGGCAGTCAGGAATGATCGACTGTGGTCTGTTGATCACATCGCGGTAAAGCACCTCTGCCTGGGCAGTGTCACCGCGTCGAAACATCATTTGGGCAAGATTGTAGGTCGAAAGCAAGTGGCCGTGTCGGTGGCCCTCCCGATACAGCTCCTCTGCCTGCTGAAGTTCACCCATCTCTTGCTTTGACCTTGCTAGGTTGAAGAAAGCGGACGCACTGAAGCCCGGACCCGCTTGCGTGGCTTTCAAAAACATGGCCTGAGCATCTGCCACTCGGCCCATTCGCTTGTAAACCTGGCCCAAGTTGTTAAAAGGTCTGTGTCCAAACTTCATGGACTTTTCGTACCACTCAGCAGCAAGCAGATCGTTCTGCCGTACCCCGAGCCCCATGTCGAAGTGGGATGCCTTGTGGCCGCAGGCTAGCGCGTGACACGGATCGATCTCCAGTATTTTCTCAAACTTCTGGAAAGCTTGCTCATTCTGTCCCCGTATCTGCAGGATAACCGCCTCCGCGAACAGCACCTCGACTGGAGCCAAGTCTGACTGGAACTGACGGCAAAGTGGGCACAGGCCTGGCAAACCCGATTGGCGCAACTTGTTGATACAATGTTCGTGCAAGACGTGTCCGCAATCAAGCTTCTGGCAGCTGAGCCCAGGAATGTCTAACCCATCCAAGCAGATGCAGCAGCAATCTGTTGCCATAGCAGGCTCACCCGTGGGCGCGGGCAGCAGAGCCACTACGGTCGCTACAACTTTTCTGCTGGTGATCTCAATAGCTTCAGCCAGAGAGGCCTCGCACTGATTGCATCTAATCCCTCCAGAGGAATTCTCTGCTTCACGGAGATCAGGACTTGTGTGACTTTGGTCCCTTGGCCCATTGACTGTCAAAACAAATCAAGGCCTGGCACCTTGGTTTTTGTGGCCCGAAAGCCCCTAGGAGCCCCAAAGCGGGGAACCTTGGGATTCCTACGTCGACTCTACAGTGGATTTCGCGTTCAGAGGGGTTTGGGCCAAAGCCTCAGACTTGGGTTTCTGGGTTTGGGGTGAGGGTTGAGGGTTGAGGGTTGAGGGCCATGTTGGGGTCCTTGGATCGCTTAGCCCTCCAGATGCCCTGATGCGAACGCTTCGAGCCGGCGCTCCTGCGCCAGAGCATAGCCTGCTGTGCCGACATAGAGCAGCCTGTGACCACACGGATGGCCGCCGCTGGCAAGGCAAATTTTGCTAGCTCCGACATCCGGAAGGTTCGTAGCCTGACTGTGTGATGGTTGTTGGCATTAGGGGGTTGCGGCAAGCTGTTCGAGTTCCCCAAAATATTGGTATCCATATCCTTGTAGGTCATCGTGGCCATTACTGCAGCATTTTGCTTGGGATTATAGGAGCCTGGAGGGTGCCCATGCTTGTGGCCAATCCCATAGCACAGAGCAGCTTTACTGCATGCAGCCTTCCTCCGAGCACCCCAAGCCGAAAATACCCTGCACCTCCTCATCGCACAAAACCATCAAGCCTCCAAAGAGCCTGAACCCCCTAATCTCTCAAAACCCTCAAACCCTGACTTAAAATCCCCAAACCAAGCCGTATCCCTAAACCTCAAACTAACAACCTCCCGAAACCTCCGCAGCTCCTCAAACTACCCCCCCTCCCGCCCCCCCTCGCTCCCTTGCCCTGAAGCACCTCAGGGCGGCATAGGAGACCTCATGGCCTGAAAGCGCACGACAGGCGAGGAGCCCAATCGGGCTTAGGTTTTTGGGCTTTTGGCGGCACCCGTCCTTCGAGAATGTACTTGGAACATCTTGGAACTAGGTTCTAGGGTTTAGGGTCAAGTCTGGGGCTCTGAGTTCGAGTCCCTAAACCACAGAATAGATGAAGGGGATACCGGGCCTGAAAGGTAAGCTATGGATGCAAAAAGGCTGACAGGGTTTAGGCCTGGGCCTAAGGCTATCCTGAACTTGAACTGTTCTCAGAAGTCCCTCTTCAAACGGAACCAACTAAAATCTTGCCAAAGATGTTCAACCCTCACCCTGAGCCCGAGGTCGAGGCCGAACCCCAAAAAAGCTCTCCCAGAAAATACAGAGAATCTGGGCCTTGGCGATACGGGCGCTTGCTCTGACGCAGGAGCTGGTACTGCGGAGCACGTCTCACGGAAGCCAAGGGCCGTGCCCACGACTCTAAACACTAAATTCGCAGAGACCCAGACAATTCTGCAAACTCCAAATCCTAATTCTAGAAACCCTTAGCCAGCATGAAGCACATACAGCCCTATACCAGTAAACCCCAAGTCCACACAAACCCCAATGCCTCAAAGCTAGGTTGAAGGCTTTTCGGTGTGTGACACGTATGTTCTTTTGGGGTGATTGAGGTTTAGGGCTCAGGGCTCAGGGCTTAGGCCTGAGGGTTTAGAGGTTTGGGGCTTCAGTTCAAGGTTTGGGGACTTCGGTGTCATTCTCCTGTACTGGATCCCGGGTCCTTGAAGGCCCAGTACTCCAGGAACAGGGCTACCGCGGCGATCCTCGGCAGCTTGGGGGACTCCGCCTTCAGAATTCTGGGCTTGGGCAGGTGCATTTGGGGTCGCAGAAGCATCCGCAACATCCACACCCCAAACCCTGAGCCCCCCAATCCAAAGGGGACCTGCAGAACTTCTCCCAAACCCTGAACCCTAAACCCAATATACACCCCAAACCCTAATCCCCAATTCCTCTAGGATCAAACCCCACACACCCCAAATGGCCCCCTCTCCAGGACTCCAGAAGTCGAGGCTCAGGATTGCGTAGGGCCAGATGGGCATGAAGATGAAGCCCAGGGAGAAGGTGAGCCTCGACTCAAGAGCATATGGGGGCTGAGGCTGCGAGGGCTTGCAGGAGTTGCAGGGTTTAGAGGGCTGAGAGGGCTGAGAGGGCTGAGAGGGTTTGGAGGGCTGAGCGGGTTGAGAGTTTAGAGGCTTTAGGGTTTATAGGGTTGAAGGGTTTAGAGCGTTTCGAGGGTTTTTAGGGGTTTAGGGTTGAGGGTTTAGTGATGACCTGGTGGCCGTTTTAAAGGTAAAGGACTTCCAGCCAACCGGCTGTCATCAACACTGCCCTTGCGAAGGCCCTGAACCCCGAACTCCTAAACCCGAACAAGTCCAAGGCAAACCCTAGACTTATTTCCTACTAGATAATCCTTTGCTGAACTCCGTAAGTCCCTACTCAAACCACGAAAAATAGACTTGTTACCCTAAACAACCTGAAACCCCTGCTTTCCCCGTAATGGCGAGGCTCAGGATCTTCGCGAAGGGCCGCGTCTGGTCCATGTCGGGAAGCTCAAAGAACGACTGATACCTCTGCTCATGGGGCTCAGTGGGGGTTTGATGATTTTAGGGCTTGGAGAGGTTTGGGAGTTTAGGGTTTTTGTGGTGTTTGGGGGGTTTGAATAGGTTGTACTGCAGGGTTTTGGCTTTCTGGGGTGCAAGGTTTGGGTTCGTTTAGGTTCATGGTTGAGGGCTTTGGGGGCCTTGGGGTCGGACTAAGGTCGCGAGGGCTTTTGGGGGCTGTGGGTTTGTCGGCCAAAGTGTCGGGGCTTCCGGTTTGGTGCTTGGAGGGTTCGGATGAAGACACCCTATGTACCCATGAAGTTCCATGAAGCTTCAAGTCGAGTCCCTGAACCCGAGCTGCCTCTTCTGAGTGAGCCCTGGTGGTGGATCAGCCAAGTCCAGGCGAGAATCCCGCAAGATGCGCCTGTGCGGGGGATGCTAGAGGCCTTCAGAGGATGAAATGGCTCACGGGCTGGCTTTCAAATGCAAAGGGGTGTCAGGTTGAGGATTGAAGGAAACTTGCAGGGTTGATAGAGGTCTTTAGGGTGTGCAAGCTCTGCGACCCTTCGAGAAAGAAAAATAACCCCAGACCCTACAACCACACCCTAAACCCCATAAATCCTAGCTAGGCCCTGGGCTCTGAACCCTACACCCGAAAGCCCTGGGCCTTATAAACAGATTGCAGCCGAGGATGATGGAGACCGGGATGGTAATGCAGTTGATCCTTGCGAGGCGGCTCGGCTTCGGAATCGGTTTAGGGCTTGATGGTGTAGGGTCTGGGGTAGAAGCGGGACAATCATTTTAACCATGCCGTGCGCAGCTGGTCTCTCCTCTGTTTGCTGTCAACTCGGACCCACAATTTGTTCAGGAAAGTGCCCACCTCCCCCGCCCACCTCCCATGCCCAAGACCCTAAGCCCTTAACCCTGAACATCGCGGTTTCGGAGTTTGCGCCCGAAAGCCCTAAAGCCTTTCAAAAGGTAGTAAGCCCTAAGCCCAAAACCGCCTGAGCCACAAAACCTTAGACCAAGGCTTTGAACACTAAACATCCTCGTCGGGTCACAACATAAGAGACGAGATGTCCGAGACAAGGCCGCCAACGGTGTACCTCTTCAGCAAGCTGTTTTCTGGCTGTCCAAAGCTACCCGTGCTTGAAGAATGCTCAACACAGCACCGCGCCCTGGGCACGACTACCCCACCCTTCAAGGACAATGTCCTCTACACTACTGGAGTCCTCATGCAGCTTCCACCAAACCAGACTAGCATGCCGAAACGAGAAGGGATGTGCGCTCTTACTGCCCCTTACTGTGCACACCCAGACAAACTGTTGGGCGCACCACTCCCCCTGCATCGGGTCCCAATTGACGAGGATGGCAATCACGCAGTATGCTGTCCTAGGCCCCGAAGCTAGCAACACGACCTCCCATGCAGCCACGATGTTGAAACAGCAGGGTTGACTACACTCTGCAAAATCGAGCTGTTCACTGTGGAAGGCCAAAGCCAACTCGAACTGATATGGCACACAGATGAGCTGCTGACATGGGCTCAGGAAACGTATATACTGCTCCCACGCGAATCTAACATCTAACAAGCACTGTCGAGCCATCAAGCGACTCGGCAAGTCTACGACTAAGCGCTTGCAACTACGCTTGCCAGCAAGGCGTCAGGTAGAACAGCGCCAGCTTTGTCAGCAAAGAGACGTCGCGAGTGGTCTTTGTCCTTGCTCATCTCAAGCTTTCGGAGTCAGGGCTGATTCCGCAGGCCTAAACTAACAGAACTCTGTCCCACAACAGCCCACCCTGGTAAGCATTGCCACCTTATCAAGAACCCAAGACCTTCCTTGTGTATGTTACAAACTACCCTCCAGCTGTGGCCCAACAAACCTTTCAAAAAAAGCTGCTGGCTTTTGTATAAGGTGGAAGATGCATCTTGGAGTTTAGATCTTATAGGGCGAAGGGGACTCAATCCCAAACTCTGGCACCTGAACACCTGAAATTTCTAAGTCGACGAAGCCAGGTTGAGCAATACTCCACCGGACTGAGGAAAATTGCGGAAGCTTAGCACAAGGTCCGAGGATCGCCGATGGTTTAGGGTTTAGGGTTTAGGGTTTAGGGTTTAGGGTTTAGGGTTTAAGGTTTAGGGTTTAGGGTTTAGGGTTTAGGGTTCAGGGGTTGAGGGGTTTAGGGTTTAGGGTTTAGGGTTTAGTCTTGAATCTCGATTCGAGCATATCCCCTTCCGGTTTCAGATCCGAGCAGCTCGTGCATCTGCTGCATCACCTGCTTCCTGCGGGCGCGCCCAGGTGGTTCGGGCAAGCAACTTGGGTAAAGGACGCCAAACAGTGCGGAGCTCAAGCATGAAAAGGAGGGTAGGTAGAGGTTGCCGTGCGGCGCGCGGCAGTGCACCCGTCCAGGACGGGCGCGTTTTTCTTGAAGGCTACTCGCTTTTAGGACTAAACTCACGCTCTGGCCTAGGCGTGGGCTTGGCCGCGCTGGCCGTCCTCGAAGCTGTCATCGCTTCTTGGCTTCTGCGTTCGGCCCAAATGCGAAACTGTTGTCGCTTTGGACATCTGGGTTGACCCAAGATGAAATTGCCATTTCTGCTCTGGCATAATAGCAGAGACATAGCAAATACTTTGCCTTCATTACTATGGCAAGTTAATTTAAGGTCCTTGCAGCCCGGTCCTGATGGTGCGGGAAGCCCAGATCCTTGTGCCCATCACCACGAGCGCGACGAGCAAGCTCCTTTGGCTGAAGCGAGGGCCAGGACTCCAGGGTCTAGGGCTTAGGGTCTCCGATGTTTGTTGTGAGGGTTTCGAGGTTTAGGGGTTTTAGGGTTCTAGGGCTTTAGGGCTTACAGTTTAGGATATGGTAGCTACCGTCTCAGAGGGCAGCATGTTGTAAACAAGATCTTGGCCAGTCTTTTCAAGGCGTGGACTCCTTCTCGACAAGGGCCAGTGCCCACGGCTTGCGAATAGTGTGTTTTGGTGAAGTATTCAGGGCTGTCAGGCGTTTATAGCCTCGTCTGTGACAATCACGATTTGGGATAGGAGCTGCAGAATCATGCAGGAGGGCTTGGTGCCGAGGGCACAAGTTCTCGGTCTTGCTCCATCTATTTTCCTTCCCTCTTTGGTTAAGAACTTAATCAACCTTTCTGGTACCGGTGCCCTCAACCCTAAAGACTAAACCCTAAACCGCTACATGCTAAGGAACAGAACAGCAAGTTGCCACCAGGTCTCGAGAGCGTTGCCAAGGCCCCCGAGACTCGAGTGTTCTGAGCCACGGAAGGTTGCAAGGGGCCGAAAGACTAAGAGCGGATTTTGGGGATTTAAAGTTTATTCTGACGCTCAGGGTTTAGGAAGGGCTGGGAGGATTGCTGTTTTCCGTACAGTTTAAACACCGCGATGGTAATCGGTTACAAGGCTTGTGGTGCCCATGTCCTCAGCTGCAAGCAGCTCGCTTTTAGGGTGACGGGAGCCTCGATTGCTGCGGTGGTCTCGGGCTTAGGGCTTCACATGTTCGGGCAGGTGGCGCGTGGCTGCTCTTTGTTGTTGTCATTTTACATGGCTGCTATGGAAACTACATATAGCAAAGAAGCTGTCCACCGAGTCCCTGAATCTGTGATCGTGTAGCTCTGCGCCGGGGGACCCTTGCGGCCTTTCGGCCGATCGTTTATAGCAACTTGATTGAAACTTCTTTCCGGCAACCCAGAGCGGGAACATATATGCGAAATTCCAAACTATGGGCCCTTTCGGGGCTGCCCTATACACAAGGCTCCGTGTTGCCATAGGATCACTGATAGAAAGGACCGCAACTTAGCTAACCTCGCATCTAGATTCTTTAGGTTTGGGGTTGGACTTCGAGTTGGAATCCAAAACCCCAAGTCCGAAAACACACTGGAGCCAAAACCCAACTGAACCCACAACAGTAAAGACAACGAAGACCCTGAACCCCGAACCGCAAACCTTAACAAACTCTGCAGCCGGACCAACCCAAAACCTTAAACCGTACCACCCCACCTTCCTTCCAAGCGCCCCATCCAGGGCCCAGTTCAAGGCCACAACCAGACTAAGGCAAGCGAGGAGAATCCTCGGCGGTGCTCCAGCCCAAGCACCCAAGAAGCCCAAAAAGGACACACCACCATCCCTTCTACCAAGAAGCATGCAGGGTGCGACCCTTCTTTGTGTGTCTGATATGAACCAACTTTGGGGCGTCAGGTTGTTCTAATTTTGCGGGTTGGGGGGGGGCGGTGGGTGGTGGGGGGTGCAAAAATCCAGCGCTCTCCAAACCAAGAATGCAGCAACCAGAGCTCGAGTGCGAAAATGCTGCAGACGTAAAGACAACAAGCAGTGCTATTCAAGCAAGACGCTGTCCTGCTGCACACAGAACAAGACTAAAAAGGAGCGGCGTCTGCCTTGAGCCCTCTGCCCTAACCCTCGGAGCCAAGGCGCAGGGCCACAATGCCATAGGTCTTCGCCCGCAGGTAGAGCCGCGAACGATGTGAAGTCTCAGGCTCTTCAGTCAGGGTGGGGGACGGAGGATTTAGGGTTTGGGGTTGCAGGTTTCGGGTTTGGGGTTTGGGGCCCCTAGTTCGATGAGAGTTGGGGGCTTGGGGGTTTAAGCTTTAGGGATGTACTGAAGAGGGTTCGGGGCATGAAGGTTCCCTTACTTCCCCCCCAAACCCCTTTAAATAAACCTTTTGGGTTAAGATACTATAGACGAGCCTTGCAGTTTTATATGTTTCGATTTACGGCCCTCCCTCCCAATGATGATCACCTGTTCGGTGCCCCTCAATCTAAGGCACTGTATGAGAACAGAGAATTAGAAGGGGCCAGAACTTAGAACAACCCCCATACAAGGTTTCGGGTTTGGGGTTTAGGGTTTAGGGTTTAGGGTTTAGGGCTTAGGGTTGTTTAGGGCGTGGTGTCTCGCTTAACAATTTTTCTATGCGAAGAGACAATCTTAGAACCGTTTGAGTAAACCCTCCAAACCCTCAAGACAAGATCCAATAACCCCAAGTCCGAAGCACCTGAACTTGTTGACACCCTAAACTAAAGCCGCGACCCTAGACCCTGAAGCCGGCTGTCTTTTTGCAATGCTCCCAAAACCTGCCAAGGCCCGCCAAGGCGCGCATCATCAGCATCAGCCGGCTGTCTTTTTTCAGGCTTCTCAAGTCCTGCGGTGCTCCCAAAACCTGCCAAGGCCCGCAAAGGCATCATCAGCATCAGCCGGCTGTCGTTTTGCAAGCTTCTCAGGCCCGCGGTGCTCCCAAAACCCGCCAAGGCCCGCAAAGGCGAGCATCAGCAGCATCAGCCGGCTGTTTTTTTGCAGGCTTCTCAGGCCCGCGGTGCTCCCAAAACCCGGCCAAGATCCGCAGCATCAGCCGGCTGTCGTCCCAAACCCGCCAAGGCCCGCAAAGGCGAGCATCATCAGCATCAGCCGGCTGTCTTTTTTCAGGCTTCTCAGTCCTGCGGTGCTCCCAAAACCCGGCCGAGGCCCGCAAAGGCATCATCAGCATCAGCCGGCTGTCGTTTTGCAGGCTTCTCAGGCCCGCAGTGCTCCCAAAACCCGCCAAGGCCCGCAAAGGCGAGCATCATCAGCATCAGCCGGCTGTCTTTTTTCAGGCTTCTCAGTCCTGCGCTGCTCCCAAAACCCGGCCGAGGCCCGCAAAGGCATCATCAGCATCAGCCGTCTTTTTGCAGCTTCTCAGGCCCGCGGTGCTCCCAAAACCCGGCCGAGGCCCGCAAAGGCATCATCAGCATCAGCCGGCTGTCGTTTTGCAGGCTTCTCAGGCCCGCGGGCAAAGACGAGCATCAGCAGCATCAGCCGGCTGTCTTTTTGCAGGCTTCTCAGGCCCGCGGTGCTCCCAAAACCCGCAAAGGCCCGCAAAGGCATCATCAGCATCAGCCGGCTGTCGTTTTGCAGGCTTCTCAGGCCCGCGGTGCTCCCAAAACCCGCCAAGGCCCGCAAAGGCGAGCATCATCAATATCAGCCGGCTGTCTTTTTGCAGGGGTGCTCCCAAAACCGGCCGAGGCCCGCAAAGGCATCATCGGCATCAGCCGGCTGTCGTTTTGCAGGCTTCTCAGGCCCGCGGTGCTCCCAAAACCCGCAAAGGCCCGCAAAAGCGAGCATCATCAGCATCAGCCGGCTGTCTTTTTGCAGGCTTCTCAGGCACGCGGTGCTCCCAAAACCCGCAAAGGCCCGCAAAGGCGAGCATCATCAGCATCAGCCGGCTGTCTTTTTGCAGGCTTCTCAGGCCCGCGGTGCTCCCAAAACCCGGCCGAGGCCCGCAAAGGCATCATCAGCATCAGCCGGCTGTCGTTTTGCAGGCTTCTCAGGCCCGCGGTGCTCCCAAAACCCGTGCTCCCAAATCCCGCCAAGGCCCGCCAAAGGAATCATTAGCACCAGCCGGCCTTCTTTTCAGGCTTCCCGTGCCAATCTCAGGTAAGGCCCTGGCGCCCAGATTCTCCCACAGGATGTCCGAGGGATTTGCCGCCCGAGTGATCCGAACCTCAGGGTTTGGGCTTGAAGTTAGGGTTTTGGGTTCTGGGCTTGGGGTTGAGGAGAACTGGGGGGGAGGGTGGGGGTTGGGGCTTGGTCTTGCAAGCTGCTTTCGTCTTGGGGTTTAGGGTTTTTGTTGTCAAGGGATCGGGGGTTTAGGGCTTTTGGGGGTAGGGTATCAAAGGTCAGCATGGGGGTATACAGCTTGAGAAGAAGTGGTTCGGCTCGAGCATCGTCAGCATCAGCCTTCTCGAGTTTGTGGCACCCACTGACAGCCGACAAGTGAGGGCTTAGGTTTAGGGTGTTAGCGGGTTTAAGGCTCAGGGTTCAGCTACCGACTGCCGCTGATCCAAAGCTTCTTGTAGAATCGCCAAATTTGTCTGTCAGTTCGACCCCAGCGGGGGAACGAGGGCTTTAGGCCCTAAAACACTTTCACCCTACACACCCCATAAACTCTAGACTCTACTGCTCTGAGAGACGAGGTGCGACGTGACGTCCCCGGAAGCGTGGCTGACGGCCTCCAGGCATTAGAACCCAATCCACAGGCGAGTATGGGTCTAGGGTTCACGGTTTAAAGGTTGTGGGGCTTCAGGGCGTCGCACTGTCGTCTTGGCACTACCGCCTTAAATGACAATCACAAATCCGGGAGAGGCTTAGGGTTTTGGACTAGACTCGGTTCGAGCAAAATGAACGAAGCCCGAGTTGCTGTTGATCTTCAAGCACTGCAATGATGTCATGAGCCACTCCTCCGTTCTTGTTGGATCTTCAGGAAGTAGGGCTCAGGATGTAAAGGTTTGTTCTAGGGTTTTAGAATGATTACAGGGTTCCGGATCCAGGGGTCATGGTTAGGCGGGCACGTCTTTGTGGACCAGCATCGATGGATGCACCAAGGAGACGGTTAGAATTTCATGCCTCTACCTACGATGCCACAAGCGTGACCTCGCATACATCCTGAATCCTCAATTTGATGCCAGCCCAGATGATTTAAACAAAACAAACCAAGCCGCTCTACCTGTGAACCCGCCGAGGCTCATAGAAAGTGTCCCATTCCTCGAGCACCTCGCGATGCTCGCTTTGTGAGCGGAGGACCACCACCGCCTGGCCTGTCACGGGTGCTTGAAGTTTAGGGCTTAGTCGGGCCTAACCAATCCTTCCAAGGCCCAAACTCACAAACTTGAAATGTGCACTTCCATCTGCTATCCCAACCCCGATCGAGGAAAAACCAGGGTGCCTGTTTTGGTTCAACAGGTTAAATTCGGGAATGAGGGCACTGAAAAAGAGAAGAGGAACAAGGGTACTACTGGGCGTCCTGGCGAACTGGACTACTTATAACTCATCATTACATGTGTATATAGATTTATTGATATCTCTAAGTTTTGTGTATATGTGTATCTATATAACAAAATCTGGATAGCTGCCTGTGCAGGGAAGCGCTTCCCGCAGGGCATCGGAGGACCTGTCGGGAGGGTGGGGGCTTGAGTTTGTTAGGGTTTAGGGTTTAGGGTTGTAGGGATTTAGGGTCTACGGTTTTGGGGATTTAAGGGTTTGGGGTCTCGGGTTTTAGGGATTTAGATTTTTTGGGTTTAAGGGCTTTAGGTTTTGGAGTTCTTGGGTCTAGGGTGTTAAAGTCTTAGGCTCTCGGAATTTGGGCTTTAGGGCTCAGGGCTGCTGAGGGCTTCAAGATCTTAGGGCAAGTGGCCTCTGACCGCTAGAACATGCTAGAGCCCCGTTCGCCCCGCGTTGATGTGGCTGGGTTCTTGAGGGTTGAGGTAGACACGGGGGGGGGGGGATTGAGAACGTCAACTCAGAACAGGGCCCATACATGATCTAAGCTCATGGCCTGTAAAGCTTCATCAGAGGGTAAACTTGAAGGTTCATGCATAGTTCTACGTTGGGTTCCAAGTACGCCACATGAGGTTATGATCGGTTACTACTGTTTATAACCCCGCCCATCTATAGAGGGAAACAGAACCCGAAACAGCAGTCGCCGTAAACTGCATGCACCATGAAGTGTCGCAGTAGCGATTCTTGGGCGTTCAAGCCCCGAAGTCTTCATGGAGATGCGGAAAGTCAGAAGCTACGGCGAGCTGCTGAATCTACGAAAGAAGTGGGAACCCAGACCCCACGCTCAACCCTACCCCTGAAACTGGAGAGGCCTAAAGGGAGCTCGCCGCTCTCGCAGCCGAGCCTGGAAAGGGAATATTCACGGAGCGTGGAAGTTCTTGCAAAGCTCCGATGTATTCGGGCCGGGAGGTAGGCGCCCAGACACGCATTCAGGCACTAAAGTCACTATAGGCGGCTGCAAGTGCAGTTAGGAGCTCGCAGACGCGGTTAGGCGCTCTTCGACGCTGTGGATTTCTTTGGATGCAGCTTCGGAAGCCTCTAACTCCAAGCCTCTAGGCTTCTGCCATCTCATGCCCACATTACCCCACTTGCAAGTTCATCAGCAGTTCTACCCGTGGTGAAAGGGCAGGAAAGCACTCTGATGTTTGTTGCAGACGATAGCCTCACTAGGGTTACAGAGAAACCTACTGCCTACCCATGAACCCTCCAAGTAAGCCCCCCTCCTCGAAGACGGCTTTCTCCATGGTGGGGGCCTCTCGGAGTTCCTCTTACGGCAAACCCTAAACCCTAAACCCAAGGGCTCTGCGACAGGGGTTTCATCTACCGCAATTCAATGCTGCTCATCCCTTCCGCCTAGAAGACTGCGTTGGGAACTTCTGCCTCTCCTCCTCATTAGGGTGGGTCCCTGAAACCTGCAGCTGAATACGCTTTGAACCCTCAATCCCTTCAGCACTTCTCCCCGAAAATCTCAAACTCCTAAAACCCCCAAACCACCCTCAAAACCCCGAAAACCGCTGGCGGATGGAAGGAAGCCGAAACCTAGAATTAGGACTTTGGTTTTGAGCTTTGGGGTTTAGGGTTAGGGCTCAGGGTTAGGGGTCTGGGGCTAAGGGTTTGAGTCTGGGCTTCAGAGCATAATCTGGCCCTGCATGAGAGCTGTCAAAACTTGCTTTGGGTTCTGGTCCTCCTTCGCCTCCCGAATGTCTGCCAGCATCGATTGGAACTTTGCCACATCGTATGCGATCGCTACCTGAGTTCTTGAAAAGGACAGGACAATGGGGCTTCGGCCAAGAGCTCGCTGGCCCAGAATGTGCCGGTTCAAGCTTCCATTCTCTCCTCGATTTTGGAAGGTCTCCTCGTCTGAAGAAAAGATCCGAAGAGGCCTAGCAGGGCCTAACAGCCAGAGTCAAACCCTGCTTAAGAGGCAAGAAGCCATGACCACGTCGGTCTCCTCGCCCTCCCGCCCATGGGCCTCCTCAGAAAAAAGCTGAAGGTTGGACCCTCCCATGAAAGAGGAGAGCTTTAAAGCCCTCTCTTCCCCTGATTCCCATGCTTGGCTGAAGCAGACATGGTCTGACTGAGGCCGGCGGCAATGAACTGCTTGATCTCCTCCTCGTCCCTGCCGCAAAAGCTCTTCCAAGCTTATCAGCTCAGCTTGACCAGCAGAGGCCCTTGAGGCACTTTCACCCCAAACCACCCCAAAACCCCGAATCCTTCAACTTCGAAACCTCGAAACAACCAGGATGCTGAAGCCTGACTTGGTTCAGGGCATAAGAGTTCAAGAGTTTTGGGCCCAAGTGGACCATACCCTAAAACAGGGGCGGAGCCGTGGAGCGGCGACGCCTATTCGGGAAGTGGAAGTCTACTAGGCTCACTGAAGCCAGAAAAACAGCGGAGCGCTCCCATGCAACACAGGCAGGCTTTGGGGGGCTACGTTGGATGCTCAGGGCTTAGAAGCCTTTTAAGGCCTTTAACGGCTTATTAAGATGCAATAAAAGATGTGGGCCTCGCATCCTCCGGCAGGCCCTCGATGAAGAGGGCGAAGTCGTCTGGATGCACGTGCCTGGTACACACTGATGGTTTGCAACTTGGGGTCTCGCGGACGAGCTGAGTTTTCAGGGTTTTGGGATAGGGGCGCCTGTTTGCAGGCCTTGGTGACGAATAAGATACCTAGCCAAAGAGCATGACATTCTAAAGCGTATAAGTCCTAACCCGAAAACGCCGAACATCCGGCTCCTCCGTGCCTATTGCGGCCTGTCACGCCTCAACCTAAGCCTTAAACCCTGCGCCCCATAACCAAGAGACTCGAAAATAGATAGCCCTCCCCCAAAACCCTTAACCCGAAACTCCCCCCATGTGCTGCATCAAGGTGCTGCCGGTCGACGTGCTGCTTGGTCCAGTGCTGTAGCCTGCGTGGCACCCTATACAGGCGTGGCACATTCTAGAACCATGCAGGTGCGCGCTGTGAGCATAACCTCCCGGAGCTATACCTGCCACACCCCGAAACCTCAAACCCTAAACCCCAAACCCTAGAAGGAATCGCATCGCCACCCACCCCCGCCTGGAATACTGCGGAAGTAGAAGCAGCATCACAACAGCCGTGGCCAAGGAGCACAGCCATGGCCTGTCTCAGGGTTTAGGGTTTAGGGTTTAGGGTTTAGGGTTTAGGGTTTCGGGTTTAGGGTTTAGGGTTTAGGGTTTAGGGTTTAGGGTTTAGGGTTTAGGGTTTAGGGTTTAGGGTTTAGGGTATTAGGGTTTAGGGTTTAGGGTTTAGGGTTTAGGGTTTAGGGTTTAGGGTTTAGGGTTTAGGGTTTAGGGTTTAGGGTTTAGGGTTTAGGGTTTAGGGTTTAGGGTTTAGGGTTTAGGGTTTAGGGTTTAGGGTTTAGGGTATAGGGCTTCTGACCCTGACCTTGAATGCAACTAAGGCTCCAGAAGCGTTGTGGGCTTCATGGGTATAGGGGGAGGTCACTTCACGGGTATCAGGGGGGGGAGCTTAGTTTAGGGCTTAGGAAAGTTTAGGGTTCTAAGGTATAGGAGTTTAGGGCTTAGGCATTTCTCTTACACATTAAACCTTAGACCTTCAACCGAACTCGTTCCAGAACACTTTATGGGCTCTAAGCTGCGGTTCTTCTTTCAGTGGCGTATATCACATCCTTGCCTTCCCAAGCTCTAAGCCTACTCGCCCTACTCCAAACACTTGCAACAAATCCTGAAGCAAAAGCCCTAGACCCTAAAGCCCGCTAAAGCCCCAAACCCTGACGCCAACAAGTCGACCCCGGAAGCCCAAGCGGCCATGACGAAGAAGCGCCGTGAGGGCCCACGTTGCCCGCAGTGATCCAATCAAAAGAGATGGGCTGATCCCTGAGCCCAGGTTCGGTTTGGGGTTTGGGGCTTGGGGTTTGGGTGTTTGGGGTACAAGGCTCGGGGCTTAGGGTTTTGGGTTAGAGGGGTTTCTAGGGCTTAGGGTTCAGGGTTTTGGGGGGGTTGGGTTTGACGTCTCGGCTTCGTAGGGCTCGGTACCTTGTTGGATCCCGAGCTCAGGGCTTAGGCGTACGATTTACTCCAAAGCTTAGAGTTTGGATCTACACATGTACATGAACCTTCTGAAGAGATGGCAGCAAGACAAGACCCTAAAGCCCTAAGCCCTAGGCCCTGAACCCTAGATGCCTGTTGAAATATGGCGACACCGGGCCTCTTCGTGCCCGTGTGATTGCGCCAGGACGCCAGGTCTTCTGGCGTCGCAGCGCGGAAGACGAAGTAGGAGGGCAGCCTAAGTTCGCTTAAAGGGGTTTAGGGTTTAGGGTTGAGGGTTTCGTCTAGGGTTTACTGTTTATAGGTTTGAGGCTTCGGGGTTAGGGGTTTAAGGTTTCGGAGTACGTGGGCAGCCAACTCTGGGGCTGGGGGCTTAGGGTGTGGCTGAAACATGGGTTATGAGTTCTAAGTGGTTGTATCCAGTTAACACCTTATTTGGGGTATGTTTCTCTTATCACCTCCACTTTGACTACCCACGAACCTTTAAGTACGTTAAGCTCGCTCAGCTTGTGAGCCCACGATCCCCGTGACAGTTTTCGGGCTTTCGGTTCGGGTCTGGGGTTCTCGTTTAGGGCGGGCTTCAGGTTTGTGATTTCGGCATGACGGAAGTTTTTTAAAAGAAAGGGCCTTGCTGCCCAGCCACTGGAGGACGAAGAGGAAGATGCACAGAAAGCCAAGGAACTGCACCTCTGTGCGTCGGGCAAATAGCAAACCTGGCCTTTCAGCATGCTTTCTCAAATGACCCCAACTAATCGCCAATAGGGGCCCCAAATGCAGGAAGATGCTGAGCCCTACTGCAAACCCTATTCCCGACATGAACCCTTCTCAACCCGTCAGTTAGCCTACTCACATTCTACAAGGAGCGGTCCTCCCAAAGGTTGCCTGAGGCCTAAAGCCCCTTGTGAATTAGGACCCTGTGTAGTCCGTAAAGGGCTCTAGAAAAGGGATACGAAGCACCGAATTCCACTTCTTCCCTACTCAGGACTAATAGCACCATCAGGATGGGCGCAAACGAGCCCTGCCTAAGCCCAGCACCCGGAACAGATACGAAAGCACCACAAACCGCACACCCGAAACCCGAAAAGCTAAGCCCTAAAACCCCAGAACCCCCCTCAAAACCCCCTGAAGTGGCAAACCTGAAACGCAAAAATCCCCAACTCTAAACCCTAAACCCTAAAACCCCAAACCCTAAACCCCAACACCCTTGAAAACCCCAGGCCCTGAGGACAGCCAGGGCGCAAAGTGAAAGAAAAGCACCCAACCGGCCCCGAGCTCCCCGAGCTCCTGGCAGCCCAGGGCTTCGGGGGGGGGGGGGGGGGGGGGAGGTTTAAGGGTGCTTGAAGGGGGTTAAGGGTTTAGGGTTTAGGGTTTCGGGTTTAGGGTTTAGGGTGTAGGGTTGAAGGTTCAGCATCTCAAGTTCAAGCATTCACTAGTTTAGCAGCTTTTCAGGCGTCTGAAAAGCACCCACCCTTGTAGTGACCTTGCCCGCTATCTTTATGACAAAAAGCGGGCAAGGTCATTGAAATAGCGGGCAAAGTCAAGGGTTTGCAAGGCGGGCTTTTAATGGGGGTTTGGAGGGGGCTTGCGAGCGCTTCTTGACGGTTTGAGGGTTCAAGGCTAAGAGTTTGGGGGTTTTGTTTTTTTGGTGTGTGGAGTTGCATCCTGCCACCCAAACCCCCACCGATCAAACTAAGAAACACTCAAACTAAACCACCCAAAAAAAGCCGACCCCTTCTGACTTCAAAACCCTAAACCGAAAACCCGGGACGTAAACCCTAAACCCTAAGCCCTGAACCCTCCTGAACCCTAAACCCTAAACCCTAAACCCTTAATCCTAAGCCTAAACCCTAAACCCAGCATCCTGGATGTTGCAGAAGAGGCTGAAGGGAGGTGCTTGGTTGAGGGCCTTCGGCCGCACCGAAGGAAGACCAGGAGGTTTTGGAGGCCTACAGACGGCTTGGAGTTTAGGTTATTGCTTTGGGGTTTGGGGATTTGGTTGTTTGTTTACCGGTTTTTGGGCTTTCGGGTTTTCAAGGCTTTGACCCAGAATTTAGGGGGTGTATGGGGGAACTCTCCCTTCCCCGCCGGAGCTACCCCAAGTTCTGAATCCCGCAACCCCAAACCCTAAATCAAGTTTTCTTCCAAACGCGTGAGCTTTGGGTGCTGGAACCCAAAGAGATACCCTAAATTTCTAAATTATATTCTATTTCTGTATACGAATATTTAACAGGAAAATGTAATAACGAAACTGAATAGTTTGGAAATGATAACAACAAATACTTTTGCTCGTGGAAATTTACATCACGAAAAAAATGTATAACAGTATTGTTTTTACAAATGACTTTGTTTGAACAGCAGCGAGAACAAAATTATTTGCTCGAATGGTAGCGAGAACAAACATGAAAATATCGAAACTACTCATAGTGTGTTCATGTTCACCCCAAAACTATACTATGATGAAAATACAACTTTTGCAAGATAAAACTCATATAGCAAGATCTAAATATGATATAAATAACGACACATTACATATTCAATAATTTGTAGAAACAAATTAAAAAACAAATAAAAACTGCAGAAGGCCCAGATGAATACTTGACTAAAAATTTAGAATTATTCATGGCAACAACAGATTTTTCATGGAGGTTGTCTTGTTTTTAAGATAGATGACAGAATTTTGGGACACATTCGTAGAAGATGTGTAAATAATACAGAAAGTGTTAGTTTATAAATATCCATCATATTGTAAACATGATGATACGGCTTTTTGTGGAACATTATTAACAGGGTATATTGCTGTATGTATAAACAATGGAAATATAGATACATGCACCATACTGATTGAATTAAGATAAAAACATGCCATACACTTGTAATATTGCTTCTATAACTACATAAATATAAATTTCCTGGCACGTTCCCTTTATCCTTCTTTCTTTATCCAACTGTTCAAATTTGGCAAGAAAGATTCTTAACGCATCTAACCCGCATAACATTTATTTCACTTGATCCTTTCATTTCCTGAATATTCAATTCTTCTATTTGGTGAATGGAATCATCATCATCATCATTATTGTTGTGCTGTTTACTACTACATAATCAAACCCAAAAAATATTGATCAATATAACGAAAAATCCATATGTGTACCAAACATAGAGAATGTTTCTGAATATGTACTTGAATTCTATCAAAAATATACCATAAGCGATAGAAGCGGACAGATGTTAAATGACATAAGGTTGCACAAATTTCATTTTCTTTCAAAGGAAAAATGAAATTTCTTGGTTCATCATTCTCACAAGTAAAAGAACAGAAATTGCAGCAAGTACAACTTCTACAAGAAGAGAAATCTTAGTATAACAATTGCCAGGGAAAACTAGTACAATTCTAGTAGACAATATTTTGGAAATTAATTAACTATTCAACCCATTAATAAATGCTATTTGAATATAGTACATGTAAGAATTACTAAAAACATTAACTAATGATAATACAAATGTAAATTTTGTAAAGAACATTTCGCAGAAAATCGGTTTCCTGTATTATGGTCTGTGCAAGAACTATATGACAAAATGAACATGAATGTATGTTACTTTTTTGGAAAACGGTTAAATTTAAGATGATTCAAATACAATGTTAATATAGCTTATCTCCAAGATGTAAGAAAACTATTCAATATTCTGATAGATAAACTGAAATGAAGATATTCCTCTACAATATATTAATCATGACAAAAACACTAGTTGAGTATTTAACTTTCAATATAAGAATTTACTCTCTCTATATATACGTGTGAGATTTTAACTGGTACTGGTATCTTAATAGCAAAAGTATGACCAAATTATGTACTGCTGAAATAAAAGAGGAATGGAATTATAGTGTATATACTAAAACATTGAATAATACAATAAATACCTCAACCCATAGTAGTAAAATGAACAAATTGAAAGACAAATTATTAACATCATTATATTCAAGAAAACGAATGGACTGCACAAGCCCCATACCCTGGCGGTAAACCCAGACCCTAACCGAACCTTCACGACATGCTGCTGTCTTCCTCGGAGGGCCCTTAAAACCCTCTGAAAAATTATCCCTACATATATATATATAGTATCCCTACATATGACCCTCTTAAATCCAATAAAGGGGAAATATAAATTATATTTCAAGGGCCTACCTAGCTTCTGAACCCGCCTGCAGCTCCTTCTCCGCCGTGCTCTCGCCGAGCTCGGCAAGTTCTTCGAAGGCCTTCCTTCGAGGGCTTAGGGTTTGGGGTTTAGGGTTTAGGGTTTAGGGTTTAGGGTTTGGGGGACCTTCTTGGTTGACAGTTGCCGTCATTTCGGTGGGGTCTGGGGTTAAGGGCTGCGTTGCGAGTCACTCTGAAAGTTTCTATCCGGCTTCCAGGGGGGTACGGGCTAGGGGTCTCTTGACCCGTTGAGCCGAAGCCTGGACAGAAGAGCCATGTACGCGAAGGCTTACAGGCATAAAGTTCAAGCTTCAGATGAGGGAGCTTGGGTTTTTTTGGAGGCTTTCGGTTTGGCTCTCCCCCCCAAAAAAAACCCAACCCCAAAACAAGCGGCTTGGGGTTTAGGGCTTAGGTAGGGAAACCCACTGCCCACGTCCTGACAGAGAAAACGCCACTGTGATGGCCGTGCACCTTCTCGACAGGGCATGAGGGTTTTTCTGCCTAGGATTTAGGGTTTTGGGTGTAGGGCCGTGTAGGGTTTAGGGTTTAGGGCCTATGCCTCAGGATTTAGGGTTTGACTCAGCGTGAGGTTCGCGGGTAGAAACTGGGGTTGTCTTAAGAAGCTTTATCCGTATTTGAGGCTCTACATACAGCTGCCCACGAGCCTTCGGGGCGTGTGAAGCGGCTCGCAAACAAGTGAACGTTGCAGATCACTTTGCGGTAACTCTAGTCCACTTTGAAGGCTATAAGCCATCACGGCAAGCCTTCTGCTTGCGGTAACAGACCTCAAGCATGAACACCAGAAACCTCCTCAAAGCTCCCGACCCCAAACCCCCCACCTGCCTAGCGTAGCCTGCTTAACTGTTGCCGCTTGAGGAGCACCTTCATATGAACCAAACCCAACTACCCATGAAGCCCCATGAAGCCCAAGGCATCCCAACACCAAGTGGTCAGCGCTCAAAATGTCCTGATTTTTCAAACTCAGCCTGAATCGTGTTTGGGTGCGGCGTTTTTACGATGTTGACGCTGTTGAAATGACATGTGTGTGTTTTTCATTGGGGAGGGGAGGTGTTCCAGCTTGGGACATGCGATCCTTGCAACTGCTGTCGCTTTAGGAGCCTTAGCTTGACTTCGCAGGTCAAAAGTACACTGCGTGCGATTGTCGCAAATGCCAAGGTTTTGGGAGCGTCCGTTCATCGTCGCATGCCAACAGCGCTGACAGTCAGAGGGATTCTGGTCATCAAGGACCAGCCTAAAATCTAGAACATCGATTTTCCCTAAAGGGACGCGATGTTTGGAGACTCTTTGAAGGAAAACATGTTATGAACAGCGCTCGGCATACTGAACTGCTGCAGTTACAGCGGCTCTGGGTGGCCGGTCGCTCGAGACTCTGCAACTTGCCGCATTCCCAGGCGTTCCACAGCCCTTCAAGAATTACACAGAGACCCCATCTGCAAATAGAATGATGCTAGGATGAGAGCCGGAACGAGGCATATAAGCATCGAATGGATTCATCGCGCTTGCCAGGCTAACAGAAGAGCGGGTGAATACAACGGTAAAGGGGGGGTGCAAACACAGCGACGGTGGTCCAAACCCTAACAAACCCGAAGAAACCCTAAACATACCCAATAAACCGGAGTAAACCCTAGCAAGCCCTAGTAGGTCCGAGTAAACTCTAGTAAACCCTAATTAAGCCCTAATAAGCCCTTATCAACCCAAAAAGGAAGCCTCGGCCAGCTTCCGGGAGAGCGCCGTGATCGTGGCGTTCTCCGTGACGCCGGCGCCCTGGAGGGTCTCCTCGTCCTGTCTGAGGGGGGGAAAATATCCGTGGGGCCCTGATTTTGGGGCCTGAATAAGTGGAGTCGGGGGATAGTATACTTACAAAGGGACCATAAGGGGAATAATAATAGTAATTCTTCCGACCCCATAGTATGCACGGGGCCCTAATTCTGAGTGTCAAGTTTGGGGGAAAATTATTTTGGTGGGCAGCCCCTTGGGGCCACCAGCAGAGCCACGCTCTTGTCCAAAGCCACACTCCACCCCACCACGGCCCCTCTTCGTGTTAAGGAGCCAAATTTTCCTGCTTTGGGGAAGTACGAAGAAAGGATTGTGGGATCTGGGGTAAGCAGGTAAGCAGTCCTGGAGGACGCGGTCATTGAAGGTCAGCGTGATGTCCACCTATTTCGGGCTCTTGCTGGTTCGCGCTTCAGGGCTGAGGATTTGCAGGGCTTGGGATTTGTAACTTGGGTTAGGGTCTAGAACATGAACATAAGGTTTAGGGTCCGAACTTAGGGCTCTAGGCTGAACGGTGTTTTAGGGCTCCAACTCAGTCGCATGTAGGGCCACTTCAACCCTCCGCGCCCTGGAGGGCTGCCTCTGTGACATCTTCCTCTCCCTGCTTCTGCAGCTGCTGCAGGAAGATGCCCTCGAGCTTGGACTTCACCTTCTCCGGGTTCACGAGTTTGGTTTAAGGGTTTGGGGGCAGGGTTTTGTTGCAAGGGTTTAGATTTGAATGCTTTTAGGGCTCAGGGCTTTGGGTTTCTAGGAAGCAGGGAGATTAAGCGTTCTTTAGGGCTTTTGTTCTTGGAGCTACCCTACTGAACCTAAAGGCATCCCATGGCTCCTGTAAGAGGAACCAAAACACCCGGAAGCAGGGTTTAGGAGGGGAGGTTCAGGGCTTTAAGGTTGAGGGCTTTGGGACAAGGAAAGCCTGAAGCCCCGGATCCTACAGCCCCAAGCCATGAAGCCCAAAACCCAGCCCTGAAACACGGGGCTAGCCTTATTTAGGAAACCCCCATATGATGTTGGCCAGGGATCGTAAAGGGGACAGTCTTCTTCGGCTTCTGTATCACCCAAGAGCCCTCACACCCTGAGTTAGCCCTTAGCCCCGTTTAAGGTTTAGGGCTTGGGGGTTGTGGTTTAGGAATTGGGGTGTAGGGTTGTAGGGTGCAGGGTTTAGGATTTAGGATTTAGGATTTAGGATTTAGGGTTTAGGGTTCAGGGCTCAGGGGGATCCCTAAGACGAGGGAAGCCAGGTGTCGACGGCAATCGTGTCGGAGGGCTGGAAGCTCATGGGCGTTTCTGAGCGCAGGGTCGAGCTTCCGCGATTTAGAGGCTATTGTCGTTTCGGGTTTAGGGTTTAGGGTTTAGGGTTTAGGGTTTAGGGTTTAGGGTTTAGGGTTCAGGGTTTAGGTTTGCACAATTCAAAATTTGGAGCCTAGGGCTTCGAAATCAAAGGGTCTCAGGGAGCTGTGGGGGAAGAGAATGGCTTGACGGTGAAGATGTTCTCCCACAAAACGACAACACAAGCGACGATACCCAGTCCGAAACAAAAACAAAAAAAAGGGGGGGAGAGAGGGGCGGAGAGCGGGGGGAGAGATGGGGGGAGAGAGGGGGAGAGGGGGGAGAAGGAGGGGGGAGGTGACATCCCAAAGCTCGTTGGCTGAAGCAGCTCAGCGTCTGTTGAGAACCTCGACGAAGACGCGCATGGCTCGAGGCTGCTGAGGCCGACTTGAGGGTTTTTGGCTTCGGATCTCTGAGGCTTCCCCGGCACGCTGGGAACAACAAGGGTACCCCTTTTTTTTGGATCCAATGGGGATTATGAGGGAAACCAGTAAAGATAGGAACAAAAGTTTGGGGTTTGGGATTTGGAGTTTGGGGTTTGGGGTTTGGGGTTTGGGGCTGACACGGACTTGGAGTTTTGGTGGTTACCCTAAACAGTAAAATGTGGCATGAAGCTGCTGAGCCTGGCAGCGCATGGAACCCGAAAGAAACGCTTCGGGCTTAGATCTTTTTGGGGGTGGAGGTGGCCCTCAAGCCCCAACTTCGTCGATTTAGGGTTTGGGGCTTAGCGTGCGCAATCTGTCGGCTAACTCTTTGTGGGCCACAAAGAAGGGCTCCTAAACCCTGGACCCTGGACCCCCCAAACCCTGCGACTTTGAGCGAACTTGCCGATGGTCCCCAAACCCTCCGGGGCTGCAGCAGCCTCCTCCCCCAGCCAAGACCAAACCTCAAAAGGGCTTGAGCTGTAGGGGTCAGACGGTTGGGTTTGGGGTTTCATTTGGGACTCCTGGAGTTGAGAACTTTGGGAGTATGGTTCAGTGAGCTTTGCAGGGTTTGTGCTTAGATTCTAGAACCCTGGGGGCGAAGTCTTTGGGTTTTTGAGCGGGGGGAAGGTTGTAGGTTGAGTGCAGGATCAGAGTTTGGGGTTTATTCTGAGGGCACCCTGGCCGACCTTTCCTAAACCCTACACACTAAACTGGTGCTTCAGGGCGACAAGATCGGACGAGTCAGTAGAGGCACTACTGTCAGGGCGTATATGGAGATTCTGCGGGCGTGAACGTAGGAATTCTGACTGCCCGCTAGATTCCGCTAGATTTCGGTCGACAAGATTTGACAGAAGTACCCCCCACAAGTTGTGGCTCTTGTAGAGTCGGCTGAAGCGTAGCTTCCAGAACCTAGGGTCTACGCAACCGCCCCAAAGTGCCCGAAACAACAGACTACACACCTACGGGGCTGCGGATCTTTGTTTGGGGACTTTGGGGGGGGTTCTTTTTAGGTAGAACCCTGCAGGCGCCTCACCCTCAGTCGAAAGGAAGAAGGTGGTGGTCTCCCCCGCAGCACAGGAGACGATCTGCCCCTGACGGGGTTCGGCAGAATGTCGAGAGCCCTCAGCCGAGGCAGCAACATGGAGCTGCGGGCTGTAGCTTGCTGATGCTTCTGGGCTTTCGGGCTGTGGTTTAAGACCAAGGGGCTTTCGGGCGCAGGCTTCAGGACTTGTTAGGTTTTGAAGGGATGTCGGAGCTTTTCCGGTTCAGCTTTTCGGGCTTAGGTGCTTCGGTTCTGCAGTAGCACCTGAAACATGTGGACCCTTCTTGTCTTCTCTCACGTGGGAACCTCACCCCTTAGAGAAGGCCCTTAAACCCCCCGAATTCCTGAACCAGAAAGCAAGGTGCCACTGGTCCTAGGATCCACTTCCGACCTGCGGCTGCGCGGAGGCATCGGTCAGCTGGATTTCCCGCACCTCTCGGCTAGAAACTTCGTCTTAGTGCGGGGCTTCAGGTTTAAGGGGTTCAGGCTCTGAAATCCTAAGTCGCCAAACCAAAACACCAAAATGCCTGAAACCGCTAAATCCACCCTAAACCCTCTAAGCCCTAAACTCGCACAATCCCCGCACAACATACTGTAAAGTAGCACCGAATACCCATGCTTCGGACCGCCTCATAGCCGCCTTACCCCGACTACCCCTTCTCACTAAACAGGGCCCCCAAACCCTACACTGGAGCCTTTTCATGCCGATTCTAGTCAAACAGGGAGGGCCCTTTCCCCAAACCCAAAACCCCAAACCCTAAACACTACACCCGAAACCCTAAACCCTATACCCTGAGCCTAAACAAGTAACCCTAAACCCTTGGGGGCCTTGGGGGCCTTGGGGGCCTTGGGGCCAAACCCCAAACCCTAAACCCTAAAACCCTAAACTCAGGGGAGGGGCCTCGCTCCGCCGCGAGGACGAGGAGCTGGGCTCCGCCGTGGGCAGCCGGCCTCTGCAGCCCGCGGCGAGCCAACTGACTTCTTTGGCTGTGGGGTTTAAGGGTTGCAGGGTTTAGGGTTTAGGGGTTTAGGGTTTAGGGTTTGGGGTTTAGGGGTTTGGGGATTAGGGTTTAGGGGTTAAGGGTTTAGGATTTAGGGTTTCGGGTTTAGGGTTTGGGGTTTTAGGTTTAAGGGTTTTTCGGGTTTAGAGTTGGGGGTTTTGGGGTTTAGGGATTTCAGGGTTCAAGGGTTTAGGGCTTAGGGTTTATGGTTTAGGGGTTTTGGGTTTTTGGGTGTCGGGTTTAGGGCATTAGGGTTCAGGGTTTAGGGGTTTAGGGGTTTCGGGGTTTCAGGGTTGGGGGTTTAAGCTTTTCAGAGCTCAAGGACTTATATTTTAGGGCTGAGGGTCCAGGGGTTCGGGGCGGTTTAAGGGTTCAGGGTTTAGGGTGTAGGGTTTAGGCGTTATTGGGTTTATAGGGGCTTATACTGGTTTACAGGATTCATAGGGTTTGTAGGGTCTAGGCTTTGCACGGTAATAGGGTTTGGGACTCAGGGCTGCTTGGAAGGCTTGTAGCAGGATTTGGCGGTTTGTGGTTTACTGTGAGCCGCGTCAACCCTGACTCCAACTTTCCAGCTTGCTGCATCTCCATGACCAACTTCGCTAGCCCATTTGGGAGGATGCAAAGATAACTTTGGGCGTGGGGATACAAACAACAGGGCACCAACCACATTCCGAACTTCCAGCACTTCGCTTTGATGCATCTGGATGCGGCAACGGCACGACAGGAAGAAGGTCGGAAGACTGCTTGGGTTTCTGGTTCTTAGGGTTAAGGGTTTTTTCGGGTCTAGGGTTCTTCGGGGTAGTGGGGTTCTTCGGGTTTAGCTGTAAAGGGTACTAAGGGTTTGGGGTTCAGGGTCATGCCGACATCGGCCAACCCATTGCAACCCAGGCAACCCCAAACCCTGGACCCCAGACCTCAAGTCAAAATGTTCCCCAACTCAGACCATGAACCTACCTTCCAAATCAACCAAAAGAAACAAATCAGTGCATGCAGCAAGGCAAAAAGCAACCAACGTCCCTCAAAGTCACAAGTCACGCCCTTAAATATCCGAACAATCCGTGTTAGCAGCAAGCCCTGGGACTAGAACCGCTAATGAAGCAGCGTCCGCCAGGGCTGGTGACGAAGACCTCGGGGCTTCAGGGCTTAGGGCAACAGTGTGCTATGGGGGTTTGGGGCTCAAGGGTTTCCGTGTGTAGGGGTTAGGGGTCGGCTAGGGCCTAAGGCTTTAGGGTTTCGGGTTTTGGGCTTCGGGGTTTGGCGTTTTGGGCACTCCCAAGGCCCGGACACTACCTCAGACAACTTTTTAAGTATAGGGCTCAGGGTCTAGGGTTGAACTAAAACCCCAACACGCCCGAAACCCCAGACCCTCAATCACAGCCGAACTTGCGGTTCTAAGCCTGCAGTTTGGGTGCAGGCTTTACCTTGCCAATCCAACGCCTTCTGTTTGTAGGGCTCCTAGAAGTTCGATCTTCGGGCTTATCGAAACTTACGCCCTAAAAACTAAACTCTAAACTTGAATCTCTAATTCCTAAACCCAACGATACAGTCGGTTCGGGTGGCTTTGAAGCGGGACCTCCACCCCAAGTCCCCTGAAGCCCTCGAGCCCTAACCCCTACCACCTTAAATGTACCCTCATGCCCTGAAGCCTTCAAGCCTACCTTACACAAGCCGTGAGCCCTCAGCCCTAACCCTAAACCCTAAACCCCAAACCCCAAAACCTAAACCCTGAGCGCCGATGCGGAGTGGCTTCGCCCAGCAGCAAAGTGGCTCACCGACTCTCCCGACTGGCGCAGGGGGCTTTTGGGTCTTTGGGTCTTTGGGGTTCCATGTGCTTTACAGGTTGAATATGACATCATATAACATCATAGAACACTTTATAGTAGAAGAGGATAAGTATGAAATTTGGGTTCGGTGTTTGCGGTTTCAAGGGCTTCGGGATTCAGGCGGTCCTGTCGCAGAGGAACAGTCTTGCAGCAACTAGTCAGTTCTCTTAGTCAGTCTGCTAAGACAGTTCGGGGTTTAGGGTTTGGGCGTTTTGCTTTGGGTCCCTTTGTTGAGATCCTTAGCATACGGGGCCCCCGGCTCTTTAGATCACGACCCAACAAGGTAAGGTAGGGAAAACCCAGCGGGGTAAATTTTTGTCCCCAAGCCGCCCTCTTGGGACTGTCGAAAGCGGGGGGGGGGGGGGGGGGCTCCAAGCTTCAGCTTGCCTGCTCCTTATGCTTCGCAAATGTCAAAACCTTAGCCTCAACAAACCGCTCTGATCCAACAACCATTTCATACGTTACGAATTTCCTTGGCTTAGTTCCCTTTCAAGACTTTGTACTTTCACTGGAATGACATTAGAAACTACAACCAATTAATGTCGGCAGATAGCTGATCCATGGTCAAGAAAATACATGCAACAGTGCCATATCTCAGGGTTATTGCCGATAATGAGTTCAGTTCGGTTGATTATATTTGATGTGAGTTGCTACATGCGCATAAACTGAACAACGATGTTGACATCTCAAATACGCCTGATGAACTCTTCCGATCAGAACCCTTCACCCTAGACTCGAACCCCAAAACACCATCTCTTCAGCAAAGAGCCCCTAAACTCTTCGGACAAGAGCCCGAGACACTAAACTCTTTCGGATAAGAGAACCCCTTCGGATGAACACACCAAACCTGAACCGTAAAGTCTTTCCGATGAGAACATATAAATCCTAAACCCTTTCGGATAAGAGCCCTGGACCCGTAAAGTTGCACACCCCAACCGCAGGCCTCCTGTAAGGACTGGAGGGCGTCAGCCTTCCGACTTGGTAAGTGAAGGTTCTTGTCTCATGGCGTTTAGGGCGGGCCATGGGTTTCGGACCTTTACTTGGCAGAAAGGGAGCCCGTTTTGGCTGAGCGGGGTTTGAGGGTCGTTTGCCTTGTGTTGGCTTAAAAGGAAGCCGAACCGCTAGACAAGATAAATGGGGCACCACTGGTACCACTGAGGGCAGCGTTAGGTTTCAGGGTGGAACGTTTCGGACTTCGGGAGTTGCTGTTCATAACGTGTTCAGCGCTCTTGGGTTAACATTTAGGGCTATATCACGCGATATAGGCATAGGTAGACAATGGCTGATTGTGCATGCCTGGAAACATGGCATTTTGGGGCTGCACCATGCTGGTGGAACGTCTCTAAACTCCAAATGATGACATCAGGAAATCCTCTTAAAGACCCAAACCCTGAAGGCCTGAATAGAACACAAGCCTTCCCCTTCGAATTCACAAACCAGCCTTGCAGGGTGCCGCCACGAAGGCGTCGTCGGCGTTGTCTGCGCCAAGGCCCAGCCTCAGCAACATTTAGGCAGCATTTCGGCCTTAAGGCCTTCAGATTTGCAGCCGCCCTTGCTACCGTCATCCTTGAGTAAAAATAAACAACTCCCCCCGAGTAATCCTAAATTACTCACCGAAGGGCTTTGCTCTGGGGGTGGCCTTGACATCTTCCACATGGGGGGGGGTCCGGGGTTTAGGGTTTTTTGGGCGCCCTGTCAAGTATACTGCAACAGAGACCCTTGCAAGGGCCCATAAAAAAGGATCAACCCCTTTCTGTGTTGCAGAACTGGCTTCGTGCACAGGGATGTCGTGTTGAACGTTGAGCTCGAATCTCCGAACACGTCGCGAAACCTTAAAGCCGAAAACCTGACGTCGAGAGCACCCAAAGTCCATAAATCCTAACCTCTAAACCACCCCCATCCCCCCACCCCCCCCGGGCCCACGCTTCCTGGGCTTCCGACTGTGACTCGCCATTGGCTCCCCAGACGAAGATCTCCAGGCAAGGCTTGAGGAGCCAAGGCGGCTTTGGCTGATTAGTGTCCCCGAATTCTTGAACCTTAAACCCAAAACCCCAAACCCAGGTTTTAGGGTTAGGGCAACTTGGGGGCTAGGGTTGCCCCACCAGAACACCGCCCCGCTCAGCCCTGCCCCACCTCGCCGGTGGGCGCCCGTGCCAAGTTGTGGAAGTGGCCGCAGGCCAACTCAGAGAGGCCGGAGACCTGTTGGCTTGAGGCTTTATGGCTTTTGGGCTGTTTGCGCATATAGGGTTTTGGGGTTTTAGGCTTAGGCTTTCGGGGTCTTGCAAACTATGTTGCTTCCCAAGCTCAACCCTTTTCTGGATTTAGGGCATGGGGGTTAAAGTCTAAAGCCAGCCACCTCCAGCGGACGAACATCCGCATTTTCAAGGCCAGGCACCTGTGTGCGAGTCAGTTGAGATGTGGGAGGCAATATAAAGGACCCAATGGCTATGTCTTCCTGGTAACGAGAATAGACCACAATTGTGATAAGACGAGAATCCTAGGTAGTTGATTTTGGCTCTCGGCTTAGAGAAACTCCCCGCCGCTGTTCCGGGTGCTCACCACGCCCTACACCCTAGAGTGCAGTTGAGCCACAGGTTGGGATTGCAGGCTTCTGTGAAGAGAAGTCCTGAACCCGAAGCCCAACAACCCTGAAGTCCGAAAAAAATCTGAACCCCCCACAAGCCCTGTAAAAAAAAAAACAATCCCCTCAAAGAATGGGGAGCTCCGTTAACAAAAAGGTGGGGAATTAACTACCTTGCATGGGCCTTCCAAGACTCCCTAATCACGTGTGTATCTGGCTGTTGAATCTGCCTACTCCACCGGCTTCTGACGCTCGCATGCGACAAAATGCACGAAGCCGACGAGCTTACCCCACCAAGAAATGCTGCAACAAAGGTTTGGAGGACGTGCACTTGCCCTGTCACTGTCACTGTCACGAACCTTTGCACTGCGCCTGTTGAAGGGTATGTTCGGATGCCCTCAGCCAAACGACCAAAGGGACCCTCCACCACGTGCCAACACAAACAAGGACACACAAAGCGCGACAAACGATCAGTGCCGGCAGAGTCCTGCAGAACCATCAAGGACAAAGGATGTCTCAAGCAAACCGGCAGAAAGAGAGAGAGAAAGCGAGAATGAAACAAGAAGAGACTGACAAAGTGAGCCCTAGATTCCTAAACCCCCCAACCCTAAACCGGAAAAAGGCTGATGCCTCCACGCCCTCTGTGACCACTCGCCGGCCCAGCTCTCCATGCTGGCAGCGGCCGAAGGAGTACCACCTCAGTGCTCGGGTGCTTTTCGAGGTGGACACTTTGGGTCACGCCCTAGGGTTTATTGTGAGGGTCTGGGGCTTGGGGCCTAGGGGCGTTCAGAGTTTCACAGTCAAGCGTCGACTGATGGGTGTGGAGCAAGCCAAAGATATGTGATTTCGTGCATGCACCGTAGCACCCTACATAAAACTAGCCACGAACATCTAGGCAGCGTCAAGGGTGTAGGGTTTGCGGTTGCAGTCCCGGAGCCCCAACAACCCTGAACATGGAGGCGTAAACCCCCAGGTCCAAGGTTCAGGGTCGTGCGCGGATCAGGTGGACCGGAACGGCCGGAGGGCGGGGGCGCGGAACGATGTATCGTCGTATCGGTGCATTGGTGTATCGGTGTATCGCATCGAGGTATCGGTGTATCAGCGCGAGGCTGTTTCTATGATGCGGTTCGCAGTCACCCTGATTCTTTCCGCTTGGAAGCTGAGGAAGCGCAATGCAGGCAGCAAGCGCACAAACGGTAGCCGTAAGACTGAAAACCGATTGCATCTCACTTGCATCACGGTCCCTAAACCTAAACCCTGAGCCCTAAACCCTAACCGCCCGAACCCCTAACCCAAACCTAAACCACTACTTGTGAAATTCCTACGCTTCCCAACTTCTTACCTTGAACCGATCGAGACCTGCCCGAAGCCCCCAAACCCCAGATTCTTTGGGGACGTGCACTGCAAGGAATCTGGGCTTGCGAAGGGACTCAGGCGAGGAGTACAGGAACCTGGCACCCAAAACCTATATACAACCCACACTCCTGACCCTTACAACCTCGAAAGCCTGAAACGCCCGGGTTCCTAAATCCCTGGGCCCTAAACCCCAAACCCCGAAACCTAAACAATAGTCCCCTAGAGCACCAGGACCCACACTCCGGCTCACTACCCATGGCGCATGAGGCTTTCAACTTAGTGTAGGGGCTTGAAGGAGTATTCTCGGGCTGAGGGTTTAGAATTTATGGTGTAGGTAGGTGTGTTTGTCTGCTTGTAAGTTTTAGGGCATGGGCTTGGGCGCGGGGCTTGGGAGTGGAGGGTTTAAGGCTCAGGGCGACAGACAACCTGGCGGTTGCGGCCCTACTTGGAAGATATGGATATGGCAGCGGCTGCAAGTAAGGTAACGGGTCTACTTGGAGATTGGACTTTTGGACTTAGGGGTTGAGGTTCGGGCCATGAACTATTGCAACTGCAGGAACACTTCGAGCTTCTGCTAGTCCTGATGCACATCAACCCCCATGGGGCCTCCCCAGCAAGATAAAGCACAACTCCCAGATAACAGCGTCTCAACTCAAAAACCACGCGGCACATTGCTTTCGGTCTTAATGCCCGAGCGCATGATCAGGGCTTATGGGATAGGCAACACGACTGAAACTCACCGGCATTTGCACCCGTGGCACTGGCCTTAACAGCAACAAACAGCATCTCCTAAACAACAACAATCAGCATCTCCACGCCTCACAAGGCGCAGGTAGGGATCGCAACGGTAAAGGGGTCCACTCAGCAACTTCAAGGTATAGATTCTGCTACAGCGAATGACTAGATTTACAACGGGTCCACTCAGCAAACGAACGAAACTCCTGAAAACCCCGCGTCAAGGTATAGATTCTGCTATAGCGAACGACTAGATTTACAACTGACAACAGACCAGCCGATCTGCCTAGCCTGAAACACCGCTGAACAGTCTTTTTTGTCTTGGGTACCAGATTAGAGGTACACCCTCTCATGCTTCGGATCCAGCGGCTCAGTGGCTGTGGCTGTAGCTGTGGCTGTGGCTGTTTCAGCCTTTGCCACTTGTTTCCGGGACAGGTCCTTGTAGGCATTTACGACATCACCCCAGAGTCTTTGTCGCGGGGCTGCATTGTTGTTGCCAGTGTTGGCTGCGCATGCTGCGCTGACGTGACGTTCGGGGCCCGGGCTAGCTGAGCTGGCCGCGCCCGTATCAGCGGGTGCACTCAGGCGCTTGTCTAGCTGATCCAGGTCGTCCTGCCAAGGCATGTAGGCACGCAGTCCATCTCGTCTTCTCACCAGGTCCTGCAGAGAACGCCGCCTGTGCAGAAACGACGCTGTATCATCTCGCGCTTGTGGATCACAGCGGCGACCATGGAAACTCACCAGGCAATCACGACACTCAAGGCATGCTTTGCGCCTTTGTTCGCCCGGAGCCTTTGCACCCCAGTACTCCGCTTCATCAACTGGCCGGCCACCATGACCATCTACGACGTTGGGGTCAAAGCCTTGCTCAAGCAGCTCACGGACACCTTCGCAGAATCCAACACCTGCAGCATAGTGAAGAGCTGTTCTGCCACTTTTGTCTGCACCCAGTCCAGCACCTCGCGCTAGAGCGGATCTGGTCGCCTGTATGTCGCGACCTTGGCATGCCTTGCGCAGGGCCAGATCAGCTCGCGAGGAGTGCACCGCCACCACCTGACTGCCCATGCTGTCAGCTACAAGCACCTCTTCGGACCCCATTGCAATGTCTGCACCGCACGCTACACTGCCCACTGACTGCAGCCAACACACGCCACGGTGGTGCAACAATGCCCGAAACGCGCAACTGGCCGGACCACACCATATGCAGCAGACACCACAAGTCGGTACATTACATGACAAGCCAGGTGAACCATCCTCTCTTCCATGAAGCAATGACTGCCGGCAGCAGCGTCAGCAGCGCGATTGCAGGAAATGTCTTCGACACTCCCGGCCGCATTATCACACTCGCGCTTCAGGTGGGATGCGCGGACTGACAGACTAAACTAGGCCTGGAGGTGCATCTATCTACAACTCCAGCGGGTGCCTCATCAGAACCTGCACCCCAATCACTGAAACGCTACATCGCTACATCGTGTCACTGCGCTTTGGCGGTGATGTCCTCTCCCTGCTTCTGGAAGGGCTGGCTCCTGGGCTAGCAAAGGCTGGACTCAGCAAGGAATACCTAGGACTCAATTTGCTCAAAAATTGTGGGCTGCTACCTACCCAAACTGTAGGCACAGCGAGTTCCAGGTGAGACTTAAGGGTTTCGAGCCTGGGGCTCAGGTTTCTTGAGATTTGCCTTTGTGGACCGAGCGCCTAGGCTTCCGGAGCTGATGGTTTGTAGGCTATGGGGTGTAGGGTTTAGGGTTTAGGGTTGAGGGTTTCGGTAGGGTTTAGGGTTTAGGGTTTAGGGTTACAGGGCACCATAGGGCTTAGAGAACCCTAGATCTAATCCCAGCACCCATGCCCGCCAGGTCGCGGAGTGCGGCACGAGCGGTTGCCGTTGCCTTTGCCAACGCCTTCCCGGAGGTCACAACTGGTGATTCGGGGCTTGAAGCGTCAGAGGATGATGGAACCCCAAACCCTAAACCTGACAAGTTTGCGGCTGAGAGTTCGGGTTCAAGGCTTCGGCTGTACGAACCCAAGATCGGCCGAAAGCCTCTCTGACTCTTGAGGCCCCAAGATGCTTCGGGTTTAGGGTTTGGGTTTAGGGTTTAGGGTTTATGGTCTCTTCCGCACAACTTTGTGCTCCGTGTGATTGCGGGGGTGTCAAGGGGCTAAATGATTGCGGCGGAACTGGATTAGATTAGGCGCTTAGGGGTATGGGTGAGGGTTTTAGGGTTGCCGGGGGCCTGCATTCTAAGTGGACGACGCTTTGGGCATAAAGATTGCCATCGATTCATGCCACTTAAGGTTCCCCAAGCAACTATCTGAGCGGACCCTAAACCCCCCCGCCTCCCCGTCACCTTGAAAAGATACACCGCTAAGTCTCAAACCCTAAACCCAAAAGCAAAACCACTAGCCCCGACCTCGGAACCCGTAAAACCCTCAAAACCTTAACCCGACGCTCAACGACACGAAACTAGACAGCCCGAGCCCGAAGCTCTCAAGGGTTTGGGGTTAGGGTTCAGCAGATTCTGGTCAAGCAATCTCTGGCAGAGCCGCTGTTTCGACTATAGAACCAAAAAACACCCACCCAGAGAATCCCAAAACATTAAGAAGTAAAAAGTCTATATGTTTGTTTCATCAGCCAGCCCTGTCCCCCAACCCCACTCTGTCATGGAGCAGTCCACCCCACCTCGAACCATTCAATCGGCCCGCGGGAGACAAGAAGCAACAAAAAAAACGTCAACCTCATGCTTCTCCCACCCCACCCTCGTACCGGGCACGAACAGCCAAAAACACAACCAATTTTTTTTACTCCCACCCCACCCTCGAACCAATCAAGACGAGAAAGAATAAGGGGGGGTGGGGTGTCGACACCCTCATCTGCCCCAGACCTAGGGTTTCGAGCCCAGAAGAAGCCCTTTCGGCGGGTGAGGGGGGGAGGGGGTGGGGGGGGTGCAAAACCATTGGCAAGTTCGCCAGTGGCCACAGTTTTTGCCAGTGGCCACTGTTTTCTTTGTCAATGCCACTGTTTTTTGCCAATGTCTACGGCCCCCATGGGAGAGGGTTTACGGTTTAGGGCTTAGGGCTTAGGGCTCAGGGTTTAGGGTTAGGGCTGAGGGCTGAGGGCTTAGGGTTGAGATTTAGGGCTTAGGGTTTAGTATCAACAGTAGCAGGCCCTCAGGGTCGCCTCACGCTTCACCGCCAGCACCTCTTTGCCGGCCTGGGCCCTGCGGCGTGAAGGTCTCAGGGTGGAGGCTGTGGGACTTGCAGGGGTTTAGGGTTTAGGGTTCAGGGTTCAGGGTCTCGGGTTTGGGGTTTAGGGCTCAGGGTTTGAGGCTTCATGCAGGTCAGTTGAGGCCTTTTGGGGCATACAAGCCCCTTCAGCGATGAGGGCTGATGGCTGTTAGTTTGGGTGGGGAACACCCTGACCCTTGACTCTAAAACCACACCCGAACTGAGCCCTAAAACCTTAAACCCTAAACCCACCATGAACCACAGAACCGCGGGGGGGGGGGGGGGGGCAAACCCTAAACCCCAAACTCCAAACCAACCATGAACCGCAGGGGGTGCGTGAATGCCGTCTCGCCTGTTCGCCTGTTCGGGCATTTGGGCTCAAAGCTTAGGGCTGCCATCAGGCTTGCAAGGTTGAGGGTTTAGGATGTCAGGAGCTCGACGTCACGTTGCCAGTTCTCTGTTTGGCTAAGACCCCTTATGTTTCCGGGGATGCCTGAAGGGGACCATGACTTAGGGGAAGCTGAGAACCTTTCCGCAGTCCGATCCCTAAAGCCCTGCTCTCCGGTGCCTGGCTTCTGCATGGAGACCTGCTTTTTGAAGGATGTGGGACCTCGGCCGGTCTGAAGAGGGGGGGTCCCTAAACCCCTAAAACTTCGGGTGCCTCCTGATCCAATACTCTCATGTCTAGCCATGAGGGTTCTCAGAACTCACAACAGCGAAGGTTAGGATTGGCACCGTTTGGTTTGGGGCCCTGGGGGTGTCAGGATGCCAACACAGCGTCGGCTACTGCAAAGAGAGCAGGAGCCATGAGCCTGCAATGCGATCCTCCCTGACCGCCCTGACCCCCCCGAACCCTCATCGCACCAGACACTCAACCCTCCAAGCCCTCAACCCTGCCACTTCTTTGGGGTCTAGGGTTGAATTTGGTGACCGGTTTCAGGGCCCAGAAATTTAAGAACCAACTTTTAGAGGGTTAATCCTGCTGGCTGATCCTGTGGCCCCGGGCGGCAGCTGCATCTCTTTGTTGATAACTCCCAAGCGCCGCTCGCTGCTGACGGACTGCCCAGGGGGACAAGGGTTTAGGGTTTAGGGTTCGGGGTTCAGGGTTTTGTTTGCTTAGGGGTTCAGTGGCAGCTTGTCAGATTTGGGTCTTATCAAGGCGTCTTGGGTCTTATCAAGGCGTCTTGGGGAGCCTCACAAGGGGTTCATGGTAATCAGGACCTTCAAGACATTTGGGCACTAAAGGGTAGGGTTCAGGAAAAAGGGGACGTTGCAGGGGTTCGGTGTCGAGAGCTTCAGCAGCTGTTGGGCTTCTTGGCTTGCGTCAGGCTTTGGGGTTGAAGGACTCGAGGCTACCCAGTCTACGTGTGAGGTTTAGGGTTTGGGAGTCTTGGGGTGTTGAGTTCAGGATTTGGGCTTGGGTTTGGGGCTTTTCAGGTGGAGTTTCAAGTTTCGGCTCCCGACCACTCCCCTATCACTCACAGGGCCGGGCCTCCCGCGAGCCCTTCCAGGATGATCCGGAATCCTGTCTTGGCGGGGAGGTGGCAGGGTTTAGGGTTTCGGGCTTGGTTCAGGGTTCAGGGTTCAGGGTTCAGGGTTCAGGGTTCAGGGTTCAGGGTTCAGGGTTTAGGGTTTAGGGTTTAGGGTTCAGGGTTCAGGGTTTAGGGTTTAGGGTTTAGGGTTTAGGGTTTAGGGTTTGAGGGGAGGGGAGGTAGTTTGTTCCTTAGACCGACTACCGGCTTCTCTCAAGGCTTAGCCTGCTAACAGCCACGCAGAGAGAGCTTCTCGTGTGGGGTACCCGCTAGCTTGAAGGTCGGACCCCAAGAGCCACGGTTCCACAAACAGATACAAACAGGAGAGACTTGGCATGGCAGGGGCTTGGGCTTTGGCTCAGCTTTCAGGATATTCGCGCCTAGAGATGTTCGCGCATCGACCGTGCAGAGTGGCGGCCCATGGTGCATGGTGCGTGCATCGACGATAGCTGGGAACAGCAATCCAGAGAGTCTGTGGTTTAGCTCCCTTCTGATCTCCTGGATGTTGGTGGCTATATCCTAAACGGACGAGGTGTACATTTCAGCTATTTCTTCATAACCAGGCTTCTTAAAAATGAGCAACAAGTGAAAAGTTATGGCAAAGTAGGGGGAACTATTCCCAACGCATGTGTACGGTTCGGGGTTACAGGTGGTTGAGGCATCCAATCAGCCTCACCGAAGCACTATAGTAGAATTATGGAAGCACTTTGATCCAGTGGTCCATTTTGCTTCAAGCTACGTCCATGATCCCTCCACAAAGGAACATCTGCACAAAGCTTCAAGAGCTCATATACCCCAAAATACGAAATCATCATTGTAGGCACCCCCAAAAGGCCAGTTGAGGCCTGTTTCCCAAATCCTACATCCAAGGCCGGGCTTGGGCTTGACCCGGAAGCTACCGACCTGGACTTCGGATTCATCCGGCTCCGGTGGCTTGAAGGTGCAGATCCTGCTTATTGGGTGGCTAAGCGTGTTGGGTTGTTTGGGAGGATTTGGGCGGGGTGTTGGGGTTTTAGGGTTTTGACACACTCTAAAAGCATTAAGCACCGAGTGTCCAGAAGGACTGGACATAGCCGTGCCTGTAATTCTTGGTTGCAGTGCTCCATGGTTGCAGAAAAACAAAAACCGCCTGATACTTAGATATCTGCAGTAAAGCTTCTTTGAGGGTTTAAGTCAGGTTGTGGGACACAGGTTGACCCGAGCCACCAATCAAACCCTGGCCTCAGGATACGTGTGCGGGCTTGAGAGGGTTCGGGGTGTAAAATGAAGTACCTGACTTCCCATGTCTCCAGCTGGCCTGCGCCTCAGTCGCTGGCCCTCTTGCTCGCCCCTCCTGCGACAGGAAGATGTTGTTTTGGGATCCTGAACCCCAAAAACCCCAGACCCTGAACCTTGAACCCTCAACCCTAAAGCCTAAAACCTAATCGTCATCTTGAGGACGCGGTGGTCAGGCCGAGACTCGTCTCATGCCGACACGAAGAGCAATGCGTTGAAAGTACGGGACCACCACAGTTTTGCTTACAGCTCGGTTCAGGGTACAGGGTTTAGGGTCTCGAGGGTCAGGGCTCTGTTTGATGTTTCGTCTTCTACCGTCCCCCGTGTCTCTCTAATGTTGCATACTCCAGATTCGGTGACTTCCACGCTCTAGCCGGACTCGGCGGTCCCGATCTGAGGTTCACGATTTCGGGTAGTCCTGGCAGGTTTCAAGAACCTTAGGCTTTAGGTTTAGGGCTTACGGCAACCCTAAGCCCCAAACGCTCCGTAAGGACCGCAAAGGCAGCACCTGCCTGAGCGCCACACCACTTGTCGAGCCGGAGCTACTGTTAGAGGTTGGAGTTTTTAAACCGTCATTTTGGGATTGGTGAAGAGACAATTAGGGGTTTAGCGATGTTTACGGTGGCTTTTTGCCTCACTTGACCATCCAGAAGAGCTGGTCGGCAGCAAGAAACAGCTGACGCCCGTGGCGTGCAGCAAAGGCCATCGCAGCGCCAATAATGTCATTGAAGCCCCTCCACCGTGCAGGAACATAGTAGAAGTCATGCCCCAGCAGAACTCCGCCTCTGCGCAACAGGGCCCAGAAGCTCTCCAGGTGGTGCAGAACAACCTTGAACCGCCCTTGCGTCGCATCGAGGAAAACCACATCGACGCTGCCAGGATGAAAACGCTTTGCAGCCACGGTGGCATTGGCGAGGTGTAGGAAAATGTGCCCCCCCATCCTGCTTGCAGGATCCTAAAACGACATCAAGAAGAATGCCAAACAAGTTGTTATCTAGGCGCGACTCGGTCGCCGAAGCACCCCACATGTGCCTGGCAGCAGACTCCACGCACGCGAAGCGAGCCGCCTCCCCCACCAGCAAGGAGCCACTGCGGGGCGTCTGGGCGCACGAGTCCGGGCGTAGGGGGGAATGAATCTGAAAGCAGCTTGACCACTGCGGAACTGCTGCCGCCACCCGCGAACCTATGCCAGGGATGGGCACACTCTGGAGTGCAGAGATGTGCAGAGCAAGCTGCCCTTGTCACCCTAAACCTGGAAGCCGAACACCTAAGCTCTTCTTTATGCATGCACCCAAGCTCGTCACGAACCTGCCAGCTGCAAATACCGACTGTCCGGCTCGATGAGATGCATCTCCTTCCAGGCAAGCCCCCCCGGCCACCATCCCGATAGAAAGGAACAGAAGTCCTGCGGTTTAGGGTTTGGCGCGTTTTGGGGTGCAGGGGGGAAAAAGTCCATTTGGGAACTAAGGTTAGAGATAGTGTTTAGGGCTCAGGGTCTCCTGGTCTCCTCATTCGGGATGAACATCTTTACGCCCCCCCCCCCCCAAGCGCCTTCATCATGGGCTGCGCCACCCTGGCCAGGTGGAGAGCAGTGTCCTTAGGGGCGAGGCCCCTGCTTCGGGCGGCCGCGGGGACCCAGAAACTGGCCCAGACACCCGATCCTACACCATGAACCCATATTTTCGGTCAGACAACGGAAGAACTTGAGGAACAAAGCCCCACCTGGGTCCCGACTACCGAGTATGTTGGGTGACTTGGTTGTGGTAAGATACCATTTTTTGTAGGGTTTGGGGGTTGCAGGTACGCGTGAATGCTCTATGAAGAAAAGCCAGGTCTTGGGATTAGGGCTCTGCTAATCTGTCTGCTTCAGCGTGGGATGGATGCTTTTGACTGAAGGAAGCTGGGAGGAACCCCGGAAACCCTACCGCCAAACCCCAAAGACCTGAAGCACTTTAAGGCTGAGGCCCTAAACCCGAAAAAGCTTAAAGTGCCATTCTCCCTTCAACGACTAGATGCAAAGACTCCCAACCCGAATGAACAATGCACTGTTGAATCCGTAGGCTTAGGCGTCTCCCTCGAAGACGCCCACCTCAACGTAGACCAAGCGCCTGTCGCTCCCCTGGTAGAGCTCGAGCATGTCGGCGATGGCGTGGTACCTCAGGGCGAAAGCCCTGAACCCCTGTTTACGGTCTAGGGCTGGGGGCCTTAAAATGTAGGTTTTGTCGTCTAGGGAGACACTTTCCCGAAACCCTTAACAGACCGATTGAAAGTTTAAGACATCCCTGACCCACAATCCCCCGCTTCGAGGGGACTTGAGGGGATCGGAGGGGACTGGAAGGGAACCACCGGAGGGCCTCTGCGCCGAAGCCGCCCCGAAGCGGATCGTGGGACGGCCCCTTGACAAGTAGCTGCCTGGGATTGGAGTTCAACGATTTCTGGGGTTTAAGAAGGTGTTTTGGGCTTTGACTTTGCATGCGGATGGTCGCCATTCGGACATTGAACTCATTGGGTGCGGCTTGCTGCCTGGAGGCCGGCGGCCGCCACCTGCCAGAGGTGCGTGTTGTGCCGCTGCAGGACCTCCGACAGGCCCGCCGGCGCGCGGCCGCTCTGGATGTTCCAGAGGTCCGTGTAGGCGTCCATCATGGAGAGGGCCAGCAGCGGTCGGCACAGGACAGAGATGTCCAACGAAGGCACAGGCGGCAGGCACAGCAGCTCGGAGCAGCGGCCCACGAATTGAAGCCAGCTCAAAAGAAGGCCGGAACCTTGAAGCACGCAGGAGGCCAAGGGCCGTCGCGGCAGAAGCCGCGCACCACGCGGGTCTTCTTGCAGTCGGTTCACAAGAAGCACATCGTCATTCAGCTCCGGCCACTCCGGAACCGAACTCGGCTGGAGGGGCTCGGCAGATGCACCAGGCAGCCGCTGTAGGCCCCAGGTGGAGCCATGCTCCCAGCAACACCTTTCGTGGGTGTACAATCTCGTGAAGCAACCCACGTCGCCGCCGCTGCAGCACCTCGCTCTCATGTCAGACGTGCCATTGGGCCAGCATGCTGCCGCTTCAAACAGGATGGGCCCAACGGCTTCCGCCACCAGGTTTGGCAGCGTGGACTGGCCATGGCCGTAGTGCAGCTGCGGAAGCAGCACCTCCATACCGGGCTTCTACAACCTGCGTCCCCCACTGCATGCACACGATCCACGCGATCGCTGATGCCATGGTAGTTCGGGGCTGCAACTGGAGACTGCGGATGTGGATCCAAGCCCTCAAAACCCACAAAGACACATTGACAAACCCCTGCAAAACCGTGCAGAGCTCCCGAATCCCCCAAATCCGAAAACACTGGGTATGACCTCCAAACACAACCCGCAAACACCAACCAACCCTGCAAATTCTGCCCATTCAAAGATCCAACAGCATAACTTCATGATTTTCCTGTCTTCTCCCATGTGGTCCTGAACCTTTAACCACTGCAAACCCAGCAGTATACATACTACAGACCCTTGCCAGGCATCCTAAGGCGGCCCTACCCCGCCGCATCCCGACAATCAGTCCTGAACCTGTATATACTCTAGGGTCTCTACATAAGCCCTAACGTACATTTTAAGCGGCTCTCTACACAAGATAGGTTCTGGAAGGACAGGGTAGAGCTAAACCTTGTTCGAGTCCCGAAGCCGACCACCAACTGCTCAATGCTGATTTCTGCCTCACTTGACTATCCAGAAGAGCTGGTCGGCAGCAAGAAACAGCTGGCGCCCATGACGGGCAGCGAAAGCTATGGCAGCGCCGAAAATGTCGTTGATTTTCTGGTAGCGCGTGTGGACATAGTAGAAGTCATGCCCCAGCAGAATTCCGCCTCTGCGCAACAGTGCCCAGAAGCTCTCAAGGTGGTGTAGAACAACGTTCAGCCACCCCGGCGTCGCATCGAGGAAAACCACATCGAGGCTGCCAGGACGAAACCGCTTTGCTGCCACGGTCGCGTTGGCGAGGTGAAGCAAGAGTTGTCCCCCCGTCCTGGCAGTGCGACACCATTTGAGAAGTCTCTGCCCCTTTAGCCGACTTTAGCCCCTTTTCACCGAAAGCCATCCGCCCACTCCGCCCGCCCTGCGCCTGCCAGCCGGCGGCTCCTTGCATGCAAAGTGAGCAGCCTCCGCCGGCCACAGCGAGCCATTGGCATGCGGGCGGGCGACCTGCGTGTGCCGGCCTGCTGAGCGCTGGGAGCAACTGGACCAGCGCTGAGACTGTGCTGCGGCCGCCACCCGCCAACCTGAGCCAGCTACCGGCAGAGTCTGATGGCAAGCATAGAAAGTTCTGGTCTCACCAAAACTGGCAAGCCTGCCAGACGCAAATACCGCCGGTTCGGCTCAATGAGGTGCATCTCCTGCAATGCGAATGCAAGGGACAATTGCCGTGTAACCCTAAACCCAAAAGCCTTACGATTCCATATTCGGAACACATGCAATGACCATATCTTGGGGGCGACACCAGCGGCATTCATCCCGCAATGGTTTAGGGTTGAGTGCCTGGCTCACCCTGCGCTTCGCGTGCTACATGTCGCAACTCACACCCCTGGCGATGCATGAAGATTCGAGTTTGCAAACCCGAAAGACCCGAAAACCCTTACTCAAACCTAGAAGCCTAAACCCCACAACCCTGCAGCTAAAGCCCTCAACACGACGAGGCTCCTTCATCGCCGGCAGCGCCGCCTTGGCGAGGTGGAGGGCGGTGTCCTTGGAGGCAAAAATCTCTCCGTTAAGGTGGAAGGGCTTTAGGACTTTTGGCTTTTCTAGGCCCCCTGCCCCTGAACAAAAGGGAAATGCAGGGGTTAAGGGTTTGGTTCTGGCTTTGGGAAGGCTATGGGGTTTGACCACCGGGGTATAAAGCTGAGCCAACCAACGCTCATGCGACCCAGAATCGCCCTCGAATACGCCCACCTCCGCGTAGACCGCACCTCCTGGCCTTCCAGGCCCACACGTCTCGAGGATCCCGGCGATGGTGTGGTACCTCTCACATCGGTGGCCTAACTTTATCGACGCAAGCTACTGGGGGTGGCTGAAGCCTTGCCCTCCAGACTACCCTCAAAATGGAACCCTGCTTGGGCTTGGGATGCAAGAGCTGCGTGGGGTTTAAGTCTATGGAGCCTATGGTTTGTAATTTGGGTTCGGGCCACCCCGCCAAAGTTGTAGAGAACCGACTTGGCAGCCCCTGGAGCGCACCTCTGCCCTGAAGACGGCCCGAAGCGGATCATAGGACGGCCCCTCTCCAGGCGGCTGCCTGGGATGGTCTGTTGAGGTGGGAGGGGGGGGGTGCGTTTAAGGAATGGTTTCTGAATCTGCTGAGAAAGTGGTCTTATGATTTAGGAACTTGCAGGTGGCGGGCTTGCATCTCTTGGAGTCAACAAAACGGTCAAAGGGGTTGGGTTCCACTCCTTTGCCGTCTTGCTGCCTGGAGGCCGGCGGCCGCCACCTGCCAGAGGTGCGTGTTGTGCCGCTGCAGGACCTCCGACAGGCCCGCCGGCGCGCGGCCGCTCTGGATGTTCCAGAGGTCCGTGTAGGCGTCCATCATGGAGAGGGCCAGCAGCGGTCGGCACAGGACAGAGATGTCCAACGAAGGCACAGGCGGCAGGCACAGCAGCTCGGAGCAGCGGCCCACGAATTGAAGCCAGCTCAAAAGAAGGCCGGAACCTTGAAGCACGCAGGAGGCCAAGGGCCGTCGCGGCAGAAGCCGCGCACCACGCGGGTCTTCTTGCAGTCGGTTCACAAGAAGCACATCGTCATTCAGCTCCGGCCACTCCGGAACCGAACTCGGCTGGAGGGGCTCGGCAGATGCACCAGGCAGCCGCTGTAGGCCCCAGGTGGAGCCATGCTCCCAGCAACACCTTTCGTGGGTGTACAATCTCGTGAAGCAACCCACGTCGCCGCCGCTGCAGCACCTCGCTCTCATGTCAGACGTGCCATTGGGCCAGCATGCTGCCGCTTCAAACAGGATGGGCCCAACGGCTTCCGCCACCAGGTTTGGCAGCGTGGACTGGCCATGGCCGTAGTGCAGCTGCGGAAGCAGCACCTCCATACCGGGCTTCTACAACCTGCGTCCCCCACTGCATGCACACGATCCACGCGTGCCATGGCACAACCCGGGCAAGGAGTTCCCGGCATAAATTTTAAAATGATGTTCAGCATGATGGTGGTTGGGCTCTGGCACATGGGTCACAGTTCGGTGAAACGAGGGTAGCGTTTTGTGCTCTCCCGAGTTGGTAAGATATCGCATTAAACGAGTACACTGAGGGCGCGGGGCATCTGTCTTATTTGAACTAAAGTCAGCAAGACGTGCCTTCAGCAAGCCCCTCAACAACTCAAACTCGGCAAATGGTTGACGCCTAGCCTGAATGGGGGTCGATTTCTTCGAGCGACTGCCCGCGAATGCTGAGCCGAGGTCCCAACAGGTTGAGCGCCCATATGGATGACTGGGATGGGGAAAGGTGCGCTGCCACCCTAAGCCCCCCACGGACCCCTTCAAAACCCGTATTGGCCTCTGCTGCGCTTCCGCCAGCCGTTGTCGCAAGGGTGGTGGCGCCGCTGCGCTGGCATCGATGCCTTGGGAGCACTTGCTGCTTCATCTAGTCTTAACAGCTTCAAGTGAGGCTGTACGTACCCCAATACAAAAACATGAACCTCCCAGCATGCGTTTTGCGGAGTTTAGAGGTCTATCACTGCTACATGCCTTTGGACAATTCCGGGCAATGTACCGGAAATTGCTGCCGAACTGAAAGGTTTGTGGTGAAGGGTAGTGCAGTAGAGGAGTGGCATGTCAATCCTGGGGTGGTCTCTACTTTGGGGTTTGGCGTGCGACTCAAAAAACCGAGCGATCAAGACGCCACATGCACATCATGTTCCGTTCATGTGCCAACCTTCCTTGCATCCCCAGAAACCAGAAGCGCGCGAAACCCCAAAAACAGGCATCCACTTCAATGCAGTCCAGGTCACCCCAGAGGTTGCGGGCAGCAAAAGCAGTGAAGTGGGGGTGCTCCTGAGCAAGGGCCGGATGGGTGAGCCTAAACTGAAAACTAAACCCATGCTCGAGGACGTAGATTTTTCCTGTCGGCGTTGCGGGATGCTCTTGTGATTGATTGAACTCCGAGTGACGCACAGTAGACCTGCGACGAAAAAGCACCCTAAGGCCCCAACCCCCCCCCCCCCAAATGCAAAGAATCCCACGTGTTGGGATGTTCCACGTATACTAACAGTCCTTAATAGGGATTCTAGGGATTCTAGTACGCCCGATGACAATCCCTAATCAGGACTGAGTGGTTCCTGCATTGCATACGGCAGCCCTTGGCCAAGCTGCCTACCAACACGACGCCCACGTCATGTGCCATTCAACCCTCAAGGCCTGAAGGCCGAAAGCCCAAACACCCTAAGCCCTGAGCCCTAAACCCAAAAGACCTGCAGCCTCAAACAAACTTGTTAAAATCCATCCTAAACTGCCTGAACCCTCAACTTTCCCTAACTCCCTCAACTCTGAACCCTAAACCCCTAAACGCCCAGACCCCACACCCTCTTGAAGCCCGAAACGCTCCCGATCCCTCTTGAACCCTAAACCCTGAACCCGAAACCCCAGACCCTAAAACCCTAAACCCTAAACCCGAAACCCTAGACCCTACAACCCTAAACCCTAAACCCTAGACCCTGAACGCCCAGGCACCGCGATGGCGACCGCCGCTTCCACGTGGCCGTGCTCGGCGGCACAGAGGAGGGCAGTGCGCCCCCACCTGCACCAGGGTTTAGGGGTTTAAGGCCATTAGGGTTTACAGGTCTTTCATCCGTAAGAAGGGGTTTAGGGCTTCGGGATCTAGGGTGCCTTTGGCATTTAGGGCTTAAGGGCTTCAGGGAATCTCGGGTTCAGGGCTTCAGGGCTTGAGGCTTAGGGGCGTATGGTTAGCCCTCAGCAAAGGGGCCACCCCAAGTCAAAAGAGGCCGATCCCAAAAAAGGACCGCTCACCACCTGGCAAACCACACAAACCAACAACGAAAGCTAGGGCTCCAGAGACCGTGGAAGTTCCTTTTAGGGTTTAGGGTTTGCGGCTGAGGGTTTAGGATTCAGGGTTTAGGCATTAGGCCAGAAAAGTGTCCCCCGGCCATGTGGGGGCTCCGGAAATTTTTTGGTTTTGGACCCCTTTACACTTTAGGGTGCCAAAACCTGAAACTGTCGGATGGAGATCCCTAGAGTCCTACCTCGGGCTTAGTGTTGAACCCTAAACCCTAAACCCTACACCCTAAACCCTAATACCCCAAACCCCAAACCCACCTGTCTCGGCGATCGACCTCCTCCTCAAAGCTTTGCGCCGACAGGAGCGTCTTCACCGCCTCCCAGGAGCGCGGCGTTGGGCTCAGGAGTGAAGGGCTATAAACTGGATAAATTGCTACACCCTGAACTTTCGACCCTCAATTTTTTGGGCGAGGGGGGTTTGGGGGGCTTCAGGGATCTGGGGTTTCGGTATTCGAAGGTGTTTTGGGCATCTTGGGGGGGGTGGACCCGAAACGCGCGTGACGCGGCAAGACATGGAAGTGGTGGGGCCTTTCGGCGTTTGGGAGGAGGGTTTTGGGGGAGTTTGGGGCCGGCCCGGCTGTATGAAATAGGGTTCGGGAGTTTTGGGTGCAGGGCTGGCAGTCTGACTACACCACAACAGCAGTTCAGGGCTTAGGGTTTTGGAGTTTGGGGATACCCTAAACCCGAAACCAAACCCCAAACCCAGCATTTTTCCCTCCCTACCTCGGCATGCCCTTGAATCGCCGCCACATGCAGCGCGGTCTGCCCATTCCGACCCAGGCATCCTGGATGGGGTCGGTTATGCTTCGGTTTGGTGGTTTACAGGGTTTTCAGGGTTTACAGGGTTTAGGGTTTAGGGCTTAGGGTTTCATTAGGGTTCAGGGTCTGGGGTTTAGGGTTTGGGGTTTTGGGTTGAAGGGCTTCGGGGGGAGTCAAACAAATATGGGGTTCAACAACACCGTAAAAAGGGGTGCTGGGTTGTTCTACATGATGGCGCCTTTCAGGGCACCGTAAATCTAAGGCCCGTAGTATAATAGGTATCTAAAATACAACGGCCCTGTGTTAACCTATGTCACCCCCCTCCACCGAGGTGCCATTTGTAAGGTTGAGGGCTTAGAAAGCTCAGGGTAGAAACTGACCTGGTAATGCCAGGAGCTCGTCGCACTGCAAGAGCTCACGGAGGCAGCTTGCCTCAACCATGTCGCCCGTTTAGGGACTTGGGAGTCTAGGGTTGAGGAGATCATGTGGGGGTTGTTCTCCATGAGGGTCCAGCGCAGTATATGCTTTTAGCTCGAGAAATGTAAAACAACCTCACAAAGTTCAGCCCTAGGCCCTGAACCCTAAACCTAAGTTGGATGCTGACTTGCTTCAGGGTGTAGGGCTCAGATGATAGGATGTGGGGTGCAAGGCGTATTCTATGATACATGATACGAAGAGCAGCCAAGCTAGTTACTTGACAGAGAGGGAGCCCACAGCAGAAAGCCAAAACCCTCAACCCTAAATCCTAAACTCTCCAACCCTAGACTAAATGGCCTCGCCATTCTGTGCCGCCACGTGCAGTGCCGTCCACCCACGCCAGTCCTCCGAAGAAAACTAGGATTGCGGCCTAAAGGTCTTGGGTAGTAAGCCCGAACCCAGAACCCTAAACCCTATCTTGATTAGAAGGGCTATGTTTGGATTCTATTTAGTGGGACTTTCAGGGGATAATCTCTGGCTGCTGCATTCGGGAAGTCGAGGACTGCGCCCGCGGGACTGATGCTCACAAGCAGATCTGCAGAGCGGCCTGTTGAAAAAGGACGACAGGGCTTAGGGTTCATAGTTTTTGGGTTTGGGTGACAAGCTACCCTTGGATTCTCCGGTCAGGGCATCTTCCATCAACATCGACACGAGTGGACAAAGAAATGACGCACGCCGCAGCGTGTCCTTTGCCGCCGCGAATCCCTGTATGCCTGTCACACGGACTTCGGGCGCACGAGTTCTGGGGTTTTTGTGTTAGCCTAGCTGTCAGAGAATCCTCTACATGGGGCTCATAAACTGAATAAAGGTACAATCCGAATTTCGCTGGGGTGTTTAGGGGTTTTGGTTTGGGGTCTACCATTCTTAGACCCTCAACCGCCTTCCGGGGGTTAGGAGTTGGTTTAGGAGTTTAGGACTTTAGGGTTGTGGAGCTTTGGCTTTGGGGGCTTAGGAGTTAAGGGGCTGAAACCTGAATCCACCCCAAGGCCCCCAAGTTCTGAAACCTCACAAAACAGGACAAGCCCAAACAAACCCAAAAACCTAAAACCCTATAGCACCCCCTCTTCCTGCTGCCAACATGAAACCCCTCAAACCCCTCAAACCCCTCAAACCCCTCAAACCCCTCAAACCCCTCAAACCCCTCAAACCCCTCAAACCCCTCAAAACCTCTTGGCCTCGAAGCTTGGAAGCTTGCACCAGTTCGGCGCAGAGAGCATCCAGGCCCTCCTGAGCCGAGACGGCACCCCTTTGGGCATCCGAGGGTTCAAGGGCGCCACTGAGACTTTTGGGATTAATTCTGGGGCTTCCTCTAGGGCTCATTGTGGGGCTTGTTACAAGGCCTTCTGGAGATCATAGTGCTTCGGGGTTGGAGTATAGTTGACTCACTGATAAACTGATAGACTAAAGGATATGTGGAGAAGTTTGAGGCGAGCTGGAGCCCTAAACCCTAGATCGAATGCTGCGATGGACATGACATGAGTGTCCATGTCTTCACACCGGCGACTCCGTTAAACCAGCCTGCGCTGCCGCATGCAGGAGAGACTGCTGCGAGACCTCGGCTTTCAGGTTTAGGGTCTTTAGGGTTTCGGGTTCAGGCTTTAGAGGTGGCGAGCCCAAACTGAGGAGCTACTCTCCAACGGCACCCAAACTCTGCAAACCATTCTTGACCTGACAGCATGAGCCCGATTTGCCGAATAGGCACGGCTACACCTCCCACAATAACTTTGGGTGTCGGGTCACGGCACAGGTGGTGCTAACATGTGCTAACGGATTTGGCAGCTGCCGAG